GGAAGGTTAAAGTCAAGGCAAACTGGACTTGGTTGAAGATACTGGAAGACGTTTCGTCCCTCATCCAAAGAACTTCTTCAGTTCTGACTGACTGGCAGGGAAACTCAGCTATTTAACCTCAGTGGGGTCGTTTGCCAGGGTCATCGATACCGCTGGTTCGTTAGTGTTCCTTGTTGCTGTGACGACAGTCGTTACAGTCGTTAAGACTACCTGTGGCCAAGACTGAACGACCCTCGTTGGTATCTTCAGCTGAGGCCAATAGGTTACGTTTGTTGAGTTTCCTGGGAAGTGATGAAAGGACAGCATTGTAAGTGGGGGATAAGTGGTGGCGTAGACCCCCTCCTCTGTTCAATGACAGCTTCTCAACCCTGGTGTAGATGGCTTCCTTGACACCTCTTTCAAACCATCCATCTTCTCTGTCTAAAATGTGCACCTGGTGGTCCTCAAACGAGTGTCCTCTGTCCTTCAGATGTAAGTAGACTGCAGAGTCTTGACCTGAGGAGTTGGCCCTTCTGTGTTGAACCATGCGTTTGTGTAGTGGTTGTTTAGTCTCCCCAATATACAGGTCTGTGCATTCCTCACTGCATTGGACCGCATACACTAGATTGCTTTTCTTGTGTTTGGGTGTGCGGTCTTTGGGGTGTACCAGCATCTGTCTTAGTGTGTTCTTGGGTTTAAAAAACACAGGGATGTTATGTTTGTTGAAAATCCTCCTGAGTTTCTCTGATACTCCAGACACGTATGGAATCACAATGTTGTTGCGTTTGACCTTCTTTTCCTCCCCTGTAGTTTTGTTGTACTTGTGGCTGTTTTCACAAAGGTCCATTTAGGGTATCCACAGGCTGTTCTTTTCCTTCTGTCTGGCTTGGGCGCTTGTTGGTATGTTTTCCGCTCTGTGGTGCAGTAAACACCAATCTGCAGGCTCCTGTCCTCTTCAATGTGTACAGCGCAGTCCAGGAAGGGCAGTATAGTTTCCGCCACTAGGCTAAATTGAACCCCTGCAAAGGGTAGATAAACCCCATGCTTACCTGTTTACGGTAGTCGCAAACTCACAAACAAAAGAACAAGCAGACGGGAAGCACGGTAGAGGCGCTAAACTTATAGACAAATAACAAAGGAAATTGCTAGGTTTTCTCTAATGCCCTCGGGAAGCGGAACGAGGTATGTTGAGCGTTGCTGGAGTGAAGTGTCTGTTTCTTCTTGTAAATGGGTTTGGCTACGCCTTGATGAAGAGCAATTAGCCTTGATGTGTTAATCCAGTATGTGATCTATTCTGTAGAATGTAAAGTTTTAGTGTAAAGTGACAGTTTGTGTATTTAATTAGGGTTGTTGTTATAGCATGTTTGATTTTAGCTAAATGTGATGTAAAGGTACTTATGTTTATATTTATCTGTATATTTTATATTTTAGTTTTAAAGACATCAGTTGAGACACTCTGCATCTTGCTTAAATCCACGGGGGCAGTTACACATTTAACTTGGTAAGCTATGAGGAGAGGAAATGTCCGCTGGCCACTAGGCTAATTCATGCTATGTAAAATGCCAGAGGCTAAGCTAATAACTGACTAAAAAAATATTGATAGTTGTTGTTATTAATTGCCCCCCCCGAGAGATTGCCACTGCAGCTGTGTATTCGGGGCGTGGCTTAGCGAAGGGTCAATTGCATAACTTTTGTAACGCGTTACTCCAAACACTGTGTAGGAATCCCAAATCCTAGTAAAACTGGTTGTGGTGGTGGTGGAAGCCCAGCTGACGGTGAGTGTCCTGTTTATTTCTCTTTTTGTTTGTGATTCTGTTTTCCCCTGTTTTTCTTCCTGTACTCTGCCTGCCTGCCTCCCTGTGTCTCCTCCCCTGCATTTGCTCTCTCTCTCCCTCCGCTCCTGAGCCCAGCCAATGACCTGAACACCTGCATCTCGTCAGCCACCTCCTGCCTGCCACACCTGCCAGCAATCCACCTCATCCCTGCCTCGTCGTTGCTCCTTACGTCGGTGCCACTTCACCACTCAAGCTCTTGAGTATTCTGTGTCGTCACAGTTTCCTTGTACTTTGTTTTCCCAGCTTCTAACCCTGTCTCCCCCCCGGGTTGTTAGACAAAAAGAAGCCAAGTCCTGCTGAAATCTGAGCCTTTTCTTTGAATATATTTGGGTCTTTGACTTTTTGTTGGAAAGCAATTTGAAGATGTCCCCTTGGGCTCTGGGCAATCGTGAGAAGCATCCTTTACTATCTTCTGATATTTAAACAAATATCTGATAATGATCATTGATCTTCTTGGGCAATGGATAGCACATTTGATTAGATTGCACTGTACTATAGTAATAGTACAGGCAATAGTAATACATATACAGAATAAAGAGATGGAGGTATGATATGACTACACTATAGATCAGATATATACAGTAATATACTGTAAATAAGAATACACTACAGTTTACAAAAACCTGTTTAGAGCTGCACTGACATCACCACAATGGGAACAGGGCTGAAGTGACCATTAAAGATTCAGTATTTAACAAAGTCAGAGTCAAAGAATGTACATTTATTTACTTGGAAGTGACAGGAAGTACGTCTAAAGATTGGGCCATTTGCTTGTGACTTTAAGTGCTGATTGAAGTGTTAAGGATGGGTTTATAGATAAAAAAAATGTCCTTTATAATGACCTTTTACTGGTATTTGTGTTGTCATGTTCTGTTTTTCAGCTTAGTCATACACTAAAATTTACCTCCACTTTTATAGCTCAAGCGCACTGCGGAGACCGCAGACAGAGATAATACATCTTAAGTGCATTTGCAATAAATGAATTACCTTTACAACATTCAAGAAAGCTATAAACCGTGCAGAGACGGCTTGTACATCCCATGATTCACTGCAAACTGAAGCACATTCCAGTTGGCGTTGGAGTTTCCAAGCCCTGGCATCACTTAAGTGGTTTGCTGTTTTTAGAGTCTGCCAGCTCCCTTTTGTCTGTAGCAGTGATGAGCAGCAGTGGTTTACCTCTAAGAGAGGTGTTGTGTTTTGTCTTTTAAGGTTGGCTGCAGACAGAGACCCCTCGCTGCTGCTCCTCATTGTAAACAGAAGTCACGCTGTAATGAATGTGCAACGGCTAGAGAGTCGGAGCAGACTAAGTGCACTGACGTCCTGTGTGTTCAAGGCTGTCTGTCAGCTGCCTGTTGTTCCTCACAACCATTTACAGTCATTTCTGTTTGGGACAAAGCTGTTTGCTGCAATGTCGACACACAGGTTTGTCAATCGGGAAGTACCAACCACACACTGGAACATTTTTTTCCAACCATAGTCTGCAGCTTTTTCACTGATACTAAACCTTTGGTTTATAAAACCTTTCCATTTCTAAATATTCTTCAGCTATTGAACAGCAACATTACAGAACTCAAACTTGATTGACAACATCAACGACATTTCTGGAAAAGTGAAGAAAAGTCTCAACACTAGAAGAGGATCAAAGTTATGAGGAGTGATTCAGAACTCATTTCATTTGGATTTGTATGTTTTGATAATGATTATTAGCTGCAGTCATCACTGGTTTTATTACAGTATGTGGGGTGTGTCAACATTGTTGACACAGTTCCAACTTCTGCCCTGCCAGACACTGGAATTAATTAGACTATATATGAAATATGAGGCTCATTTTCCTGGTAACAGAAATCCCTTTGTCTCAGAGGAAGGGATTTCAGACGTCATCATGGGCAGTGTTTTTTTTATTTTCTTCTTCCAATTATAATATATATATACAATATATATAGGAAGAAGCAATAATGCACAAGTAAGTTCTTTGGAAGAAGCTAGCTACAGCGGTGGTTTACCTCTAAGAGAGCCTCTGCCATGATTCTCAATATGGATATCATGGCAGAGGCTGTGAAGAGACAGAAGAAGACATCAGAGGAAGCGAGGAATAGAAAGGGAGAGAGTGACTGAGCAAGAGATGGGAAAAGAGTAAATGTCGACTAGCTTTTACTTGTTGGTGTAAGAGAGCTGGGTTTGATTCCAATATATTTATTATTATTTATTTATTACTATTAAAACTTATTAGCTGGCTTGCTATGTCTTGTGTGGTCCATTTGCTTGGTGTTTGGCTGTGTTTGCAAAGTTGTCCACTTGCTATTTGTTTTGTTTAGTAAAGTAACCATAACAAATGCGCGTGTAAAGACATCCATTTTTATGACATCATAATGTTGCTTTAAAGTCTTTTTTTTTTATTTTGTTTTTTGGTCAAGAAACCACATTGCTTCACCTTGCAGAATTGGACTGACCTCATCACACCACAGACGCTGCTGCTTGCATTGTGTTATACCTGCAGTGGAAGACCTGATTAAATTATACTTTGCAATTGGATTCATTTAGCAATAAGGAAATAGATAGCGTGTGTGTGTGAGTGAGTTAGTTAGTCAGCCAGTCATAACTTCACCAACACTAATTGAGTGACTACAGAAATAAACAGACACACAGGTACTCCCTAAGGGGTAAACAGTCAAAGTCTACATCCCACACACACATGCAAACAAAGTCATTGTAACATAATTCATCTCTTGACTTTATGGCCACTGCCAAATGAAAACTCAAACAGGTTGGAGTTTTTTTTCTCTCTCGCATATTTATGAGTTAATAATGTCAGAGAGTATCGGATTTTTTTTTCTCAGAAATTTACCTTTTAATCTCTGAGTTTTTTTAAACCTATGGCCCTGATAAGCAGTTGTATAATCCTGTTGAGTCAGTGCTTTACAATTATTGATGATGTGCACAAATCATTCCCTTATTAATTGGGGAATTTTGCAACTGAGTTTTTTGTGCATCACTGCAATGAATAACAGGTCACAAATTAGAAACATATCTATACCTGCAGTGGGAAGTGCAGGTATAGATATGGGCATGTAAACTGTGAATGAATAACTATTGCTGAGGCTTGGACGGCAGGAATTCACACCACTGACTTGTGTCTGAGCAAGACACCCCCCCCCCCCCCCCCCAATCCTCACTCACTCAATGAAACTTAAAGTGCTCATAATTCACAAACGTGATGGCAAAACACTTTGATCAATAAAGACACAGAAACAAGATCACCATGACAGGACACCAGAGGAGGGGTGTTAAAGGCTCAGTTCACCCAAATTACTACAATTCTCCCCTACTGATACTGGTCTCTATCCATGTGTTTTGGTTTTATTTGCTCAGCTTTTTAAATGCTCAAAGCACTGAAAGAAATAGCAAAATATTTTTGCAATAACAGTTTTACTCCACTGCTCCACTTACTGCTTAATCCACAGAACATACTTTAAACAGTGTATACGTTTCTTTTGGAGCTTATTTTCAAGTAAATTTTCAAAGCTGTAATAAAACTGCGTTCATTCACTACTACTTTAGAAATACAGAAATATATCTCATGCCAAACCATCTGTATGGCTAGATAAATGTTTTATTTTTTTATCTAAATGTTTTTATTTATTTATTTACACGTAATGTAGGTGGACTGACAACAGTGTTGTTGGATTTCTTTTCATCCAACAACATTAACCCATTGATGAGTCATCACTTGAGAGGGTGACTCATCTCAAGAGTCACCATCAAAACTGTCTGCGCTACAAGTTGAGTTGATCGAACTGTTCCATTTTCTACAAACCATAAGATGCGTTTCTGCATCTAAATGACTCATGTGTAACTGGGTGAGAAAGGTCTGCTGAAGCCTCTTCAGCATATCATCGTCAGCGTCCCCTCTTCATCCATCACTCAAATTGACTTCCTGACTGGCTGCCACAGATAGGCCTATTACGCAGCGCTTGGATGACGCAAACATCGGCAGATGAGACATGGAGCGGAAACTGAATGAAAGAAAGAAAAAAAAAAAAGTTTGTTTTCCTGTTTGTCTATCGCGCAGAGCATCCCATCCATCTTGTCAGGCTGCTGGATGTATTAAAGAAAGCCCGCCTCTCAGCTCACAGCTGTGCGTGCCAGACGACCTCTAACTACATCTAGATTACTGGAAAGCAAAGGGGATGGGGCTAGAAGAGAAAATACCCCCTTATCTTCTGATACACCGGATTAAAAAGGACATGCATTCCCAAATCCACAACAGACCGAAGGAAATATCGCTAACAAACACCAGCCTGTTGGTGTATTTGGCGATGGAAAGCCCGAACTTTACGCACGGATCTGTTTCCATAAACGAGACGCTGCGTTCAGGAGTGACAATGGCTTTGCCGATGTTTATGTTTGCTGGGGGCGCCATTGGGAATTTAATTGCAATAATCGTTCTTTCAGTATCAAGACAGGAGAGAAAATCATCAGCTTTCTACACGCTGGTTTGCGGTCTGGCGGTGACGGACTTGCTAGGCACCTGTCTGGCCAGTCCGTTCACCATAGCCAACTACCTGGACCAGCGTGTGCTGGAGGACCGACATTTCTGCGAGTTTCACTCCTTTTTGTTGCTGTTTTTCGGTTTAACTGGACTGAGCATCATATGCGCCATGGCAGCAGAGCGGTACCTGGCTATATGCTGCCCGTACACTTACCAGCGGTGGGGGGTGAACCGACGCTTCGCGCAAAAGTTCCTTTTCTTCATTTACATCAGCCACATTTTCTTCTGCTGCCTCCCGACGATGGGCATGGCGGGGAGCGAGCTGCAGCCGTCCAAAACCTGGTGCTTCATCGACTGGAGGACACACGAGCCTTTGGCCGCCGCTTACTCCGTCCTGTACGGCGTCGTCAGCCTGCTGCTCATCATGGGCACCATTGTGCTGAACCTAGCAGTGTGCGGAGCGCTGCTCCTGATGCGGCAGAGGACCGTGCATCGGCCCGTCGCCAGAGCCAGCGTCCGGGAGAGGTGGAGGGCTCTGTCCTCGGCCGCAGAAACGCAGATGATCGCGGTGCTGGTGATGACCTCTGTGGTGGTTCTGGCCTGTTCAGCCCCGCTAGTGGTGAGTTAGTGTGGGATTGTAATTAAGCGGTAATTGGTTTAACTGTTGTCTTTAATTAAGTTAAATTCTTGCATTCAAAGTGGAAGTATTGCAAAAATGTACTTACAACATAAAAGTATGGCTATTGGATGCATCATTGTGAACGCAGCATTTTAATGTTGTTGCTTTATTCATATATTTTACTTTTGTAGCCTATAATCTGCAGAGTAATTAATTGTCAGATAATTGAAGTGTAGTAGTGTAACTAGCATTAAACGGAAAAACTCAAGGAAAGTACAAGTAACTCAATATTGTGAGTAGGCTACAGTAAGTAGCTTAAATGTAAACTTTGGTATTGTCCACGACTGACATTCAGGAATACTTAACTGTAGCCAAAATTCTGTAACCTATGTAATTACATAATTAAACAAACAGAAATAAATATTGGGATTCTTTGCTTCATTGGTTCAATTTTCCAATAACGAAGATGATCCGATGGCAATAACTAAAATAAAAAGTATAACTAAATAACTGCTGAAGTCAGCTAACAGTGTTGTACTGCAGCAGATTTATGAGTGAGTTTAGAGTTTTGACCTAGTTGTATTTTTAGATGTTTTCATCTAATATGCTCTACCTATTGTTATGATACAGGGATGTTTGCTGAGACATTTTATGTAGTGTATAGGTTCTCAACCTCAGGGTTTGGAGGGCATGTAAACCAAAAAGGTTGGGAACCAGTGATGGTCTACATTTTAGGGTTAATATAGTTCTCATTTTTCATAAGCAATGTAGGAATAACCTTGATCTGAGATGGGGAAACCTCAAAAATAATCAAATTCCACCACATATCTGACAACATTACAGCATATTTAAACTCTTATTTAAAGTATGAAGACTTGAGCTATAACTTGTTTTTCCTTTTAAGGTCCGTGTGTTTGCCAACCGCTTCCTACTGAAAAATGACAAAGCTGACCTGGCTGCCATCCGGATAGCCTCTGTTAACCCCATCCTCGACCCCTGGATCTACATCCTGCTCAGGAGGTCTCTGTTTCGACGGTTACTCAGTTTATCCAGACACGGCAGCAGCACTTGCAGTAGTACACCTCCTTCACCACAAAGGAATCTGTGTTATCCTGAACTCATGACGGACAGCCATGTGTTCACCCAGTTGATGTGCAACGCAAATGTCATCACTCAGCTGCCTGCCACCGTTAAATTCACTCCGTACGACTCAGAGGGCTTCCGTCAGACGTAAAACAGACTGAAGACATGTTCGGCATCTATGAATGTTTGCTGCCTACTAATGCTGCAGGCAACTAGTTGCAGGCCCAGAGACTTTGTTTCAGAGCTGTTGTTCATGGTATGGAAAGACTGTGGGCTCACAGCTGCACAGGACCCTCAGAGCCCTTGGAAGATTATTTATTAAATAAAAGTAGATGGTTGCTCTGATTACATCTATATAGATGTCTCCTGCAGTGACACAGGACAGACGAGAAAAAACTATCTGGCTCGGATGGTATTACCGAAGTGCAAGACTACAGACATGGCCAAGCCTTCATTTTGTGCATTTCACTTTCATCCAGCCTCTCCTCATCCAGTCAGTGTTCTGGCTTCCTCCTTAACATCACACCCATTTAAAGTTGCACTTTTCCTCAATCTTTCTCTTGCTCATCTCTCATCACCTAAATCCGAGCTCCTCCTTCCACCAGATCAGTCCGTCCCCCACGTTACACAAATTGATCAGCTACAGGATTAGTATCCAGCTCCTGCAGGTGACTTCACTGAGATTCAGTGTTAAAACAGCAAAAAAAAAAAAAACACAGGGCATGGACATCATAAGAGTCTGTTTGAACTGGACCCACCATCCTCCCCCAGTTACTCACATGTCCACTGGAAACTCCTCAGGAGATCATTTCGCATAAGGAGAGATATTTAAAACACTGATATGAATTCGATGAAGCACCGAGGTAATACTGATGCCTGTTTGTATTAAATATCCTAGCATGCGCCTTGGCGTCTTTTGTCTCCTCTTTCAGTTGTGACTGGAACTCATATTTATTGTGCTCTCCCAGTGGTGGAAAGTAACTACTTGTACTTCTGTGCTACTATATACTTCTACTTGACTATGTTTAAGAGGGACCTATACTGCTTTTAATGCCAATAAATTTATTTGAGCTTTAGTTTCAAGTTACTTTTCAGATATAACACTAAAAAAAAATATTTCTGCTCTTAACTTCTCACAGGGGTTCATTTCAAAAACTGCTAAACACTAAGATTTTCTTTCCTCTCCCATTAACCACCTCTGGACCTCTCTGATTTATTTTTATTTTTTTTAGAGAGGCCAGACCCGTAGTTTGGGAATCACTGGAGGATAAAAACAGGCTACCAAATTGTACAGAATTAGTTAAAACTACAACAAAACAAATTTCTAAATGCTGCCGACTAAAAAGGTCACGCTCTGTGAAATGAAAAGTTCAACTCTATAACTTTTTTTTGGAGCATGGGGTCATAAGAGGCCTTCCCCGTTTCAGTTCTGGTTCTTTTTCCTTTCTAACTACAACATCTGTAACATCATGAGCTGGGAAGGGATGACTTAACTCCATCTGCAGGACCAGGACTTTCTGTCCAGGATGTTCTTCAAATGCCCCCCAGGCCCAGATCTCTTTCTTTCCTCGAACGGTCTTTCACTGAAAACATCTGCTGAAAAAAGACTAGAATGAGAGGGCAATACATTATTTACTCAGGACTACTTGTAAAACATACACGATCAAGTATGCATGAAATCCTTTACAACTCTTAAAAAGGTGGTCACATTAATTTTGAAATGCCTCGTTGCTCTGATCTCAAAGAAGCTAAAATTGATGCTGCAGCCAATGATTTTTGGCCACTAGGGGGCATAATACGTCCAAAACAAGCTGATAACAAACAACAGGTACATACACAAGAGTAACATTTGATAATCCAACTGTAGTCTGGTTTCTAAGAACCCAATGAAATACATTATACATGGGGCCTTTAGCTCTGGTTTTGCCTCCTTCTCCTCCTGAGAAAAATATCTGGTATTGTGCTTTCAAGATGCTTGACTATGTACACAAGCCACTGTTAATTCATTTAAGTTCTAATCTGGGTGAAGACATTTGCCCGCCAACATGCTCTTCTTACATGTCCTCATCGATTGTTACAGTGATATTCAGATGTTTTAACTCTATGTGAACCAGTTTAAAGTGGAACAGGGTTTCAGGTCCTTGCTGCCAGCAGACAGTAACAGTTTTCTTGTTTGTTGAACCTGAAGTCGACAGGTATATTTAACACGTGTTCTCCTTAAATTACACAGAAAATTTGATGCAAGTGCAATATGTAAAATTATCACTTTCTTAGAAAATAATTAACATAAAACTGAGTGAAACACTAAAATCTTTTCTGCATTCAAAGTTTAATAAAAAGCCTGTAGTGTATATACTGCCAGGCATTTTACTTAAACATCAATTAAACACGTTCAATATGTTCATTATTCCATAATGCATTTATTTCCCCCTCCCAACATTTAAAAATGGCATTTACTAAACATAAGCAGACAAGACTGTGGGTAGCTGCACCTCTGTACAGCATTCTTGTACCATGACACCATAAATAAAAATCTATAAACATCGGTTAAGTAAAAATTCTGTCTCAAGATCCATTAAAGACAGACAAAAATAATAATTGTACAAGTTTTACATCCCCTTCCCCCTCCACTCATTAACATTTACATCCCAGCTAAAAGCTTTACAGCCGACATCCAAATCAACAGTTTTCCCAGTTAGCTTGCTTTACAGAAACAGCCAGCAGGACACTGAAAATCAAAAAAATTATAAAAAAGGTTTATGAATTTTCACATCTTATCCACAAGGGTGTCCTGTGGTGCATCAGCATCAGAAAGGTTATATATCTCTGCTTTTGGCAACATGAGGAACAAAAACATGAAGGAATGAGAGAGTCTAAAAACATCTGCTGCTGCAGCGGACGGTGCGATTATCAAGACAAAGTTAAATCTCACGTGTACTATTGTTTCTCCTTTCTCCCAACGTAGCCTGTCCCAAAATGCATTCACGTTGATTGTTACTGTCCAAATAATTCAGGATATAATCACAGAATTTGGGGAAATGAGCACAAAGATTGCAGATAGCAGATTGCATGAGAGTTCCTAAAGTATGAAAGGATTGTGTCATTTCTTTGATGAACGGTTTCAGTTTTGTCTTTGATGTTTGTGGATGTCACACTGCTTTCATGCAGAATCACATTTTTCTCCAGCTGATAAAAGTTTGGATATTTTATTTTTCACCCCTCACAATAGTGGATTATGGATTTTTTTCTGTTCGTCACATAAAAAGTTTATCTACTCATCTAGAGGGGCATAATGTCACATTCTCGATTTACTGCACCAATCTGATAGTATGAAGATTTAAGTGTGCATTTTATTTAAGATTTACAATAAGTGCTTTTTATAAACGAGGCAACAGAGTGACAATCAGTTAGCTAAAAATGCAACAAAAAAGCTGTTTGAAAGATCTGTAAATATTTGGTCTGTAAATATTTAGGCTTTAGAGTTGAAGTCTTGTGTGCAAGTCTCCTTGAGGGATTGGCGGCGCTTAGTGTTTAATAATACATCTGGACAGATGCCCATAAAGCAGTATTTTCAGTCACCTGCTTGTTCATATTAAAGTGGTAGAAAATACGAAGATGTTACAGTGAAATAGAAAAAATCTATTTATATTTCTGACCCCTTTTTGAATGACATCCACTCTTCTTTAAAAGTCTGTTTGGGTCTTCACGAAGTCCTAAGAAATATCTGGTGTTTTAGCTATTAGATGCTAAATGCTAATTATAACAGGTGCTTTTAAATGATGCTGCTTGGGGGGTGAGAGCAGTGACATTAACTATTTCTAACTATTTAGTTGGGATGTGTGCAGCTGTAAAACCCATCCACCATAGAGCGACAGAAATGGGAGTTAATTCTCTGCTGTTGTGGCATCATGAGCACAAACACTTTCACATTACACAGTAATTTAGTTCAATGTTTAGATGGAAAATGTTGGTAATGAAGTTTTGAGGTTTTCATAATGTGAAAAAAGTTCCAGTGGATAAATGCTACTGTTGCTCAGGAGGTTTTCATTCAACTCCTAATACTTTTGAGGCTGTCGTTAGTGGTATACGTTATAATTTAACGCAGTCCAACACCACAAACTACAGCCTCAAAGTGTACAATAATCAGCACACAAACGACAGCAGCAGTCCAATTCCCTACATTACAAACAGGTGTTTCTACTTTTCTGGTCTTTCTTTAAATACAGGATATTTTGTTACCTACATACGCCAGTAATTTCTCTCCCTGATGTAGAAAAACAGAGCTTTGGGTTCCCAAGATCCTATAAACTCAAACCATCTCAGCAATAAGAGCTAGTTTGTTCTATAAATTTAAAAAAAAAAGATTAAACAGACAGTTGTTGATGCTAGTTTGTCTCTGGGAAGCACAGAGAGCACTGACCCCTCAGAGCTCTTTCGGGGTTTTTCTCCAGACTAAATACTGTGAGTGTTTTAAAAAGGCAAACATAGTACACACACACACACACACACACACACACACAAAAAAGACCTATTATTAGAATACAACCGCACTATCCCTTTTACCCACATCTACCAGGCTCTACAGCTGAAAAAACAAACAAGCAAGCTCACGGGCTACAACTGGCACTTTTACAAAAGTTCAATATACGTGCGTTGTCCCTACAATATAAATGAGCAGAATTACATAACATTGATTTCAGGAAAAAAAATATCATAAAAAACTTTATATTGCTGCAGTGAGATGCTCAGTGTGCATGATAGAGAGAGAGAGAGCACAAGCTATCCTGCCAGGAGAAAACCAAGTGACAGATGTTTCCTAAATTAAACAGTTCCTCAAGCAGTAAAAAAAAACAAAAAAAAAAAAACACAACAACAACAAAACCCACACTTTACATTATCAAATGATTATTGGTTACCAATTTTGCAGACATTGTAATCAATAATCATAATCAAATATCTTGTCCTGAAATTACAGTTAGTCTTTAATTGTACAAACCAAACCTCAGATTTCATGCATGTCTCATTTTGAATCAAGTCTGTCCAGTGACTGTCTGACAAAGCAATGTTACAAAAAATGCTTTAAATTAAAAACACCAGAACTATAAAGTCACTTGGCAGAAAGAGTCAATCTGAAAAACACATTTTAGTTTTATGATGTGCAAACTCAAACCGGGCCTCTGTTTACAAACAAACAAACCCCCCCCCCCAACATAAAACACGACAGAGCAGCTTTGGTTGAGACTGAAAAATCACCTTGACAGGAGAGAAAATCTCACTCTGCCTGAGTAGCTTTGCAGATCAATAAATACCAATAATCAATTTGTGATAGCATTTGTGATGGATTTTAACATCTCTATTACATTTAACATGGTTAGACTCTAGAAGAAAGATGAAGCATGAGCATCCTTTATAGTATGATCTGTTGTAGATGGTAGGATGCTTTGTTTTGGTGAATGTAAGCTTTAACTTTTTTTTTTTTTTACACCAATGCTTCATGTTAACGAAATAAATAATGAAAAGGAACAGATCTGTGGGAGGTCACTGACTGTTCGGTTAACAGAACTGGTCTCACTCTTGGTTTTCATGAAGGTTTATCATGATTCAAAGACATGGAGACTTTGTGTGTGTTTTTCGACAGTGGCAGTTAAAACACCAGCTGAAAACAAGTGTGACGGAAAGTTTAATGATCTGAGTGTGCAACAAGTTTACGAGCATCAACTTCATGCAGACAATAAATCTTTTTTAATTTTTAATTTTAATTTTGAAATTTGGGCATTTTTCTTCATCAGGCATGAACCCCTTTGGAAAGCGAGCACAGTCACCAGACCACAAATTTCCAAACTCTTTTTAAGTGACCGTTAAATCCTCCACTGTCCACAAACAACTCCCATCTGCCTGAAGCTTTTAGAGCAGTGGAATCTGTTTTCTTGATGGAGGACAACAAGCAAATTGTTTCTCCTCGCATCATTACAGATGCCTCATGAAGAAAAATGTCTATCCAAAACATGAAACACCTAAAACCAAAATGTTAAGGCCTTCCACTGAGATTTGTCCTGGGAGACTCTTGTTTCGGTGCAAGGTAGCGTTCAGAGTAAATAATTACATCCTTTCCTCTGAAAGTGAACAAAACAACCCAAAACAAATGACAGCTGGTGGTGAAAACAAAACTCAAGACATTTTCAGACAATAAAGGTGCAAATCATTTATCAACTACCTTTTACTTTTCCACCTGCTGTGGCACATTTCTGTGTTTGATTAACATGGCTGAATCTGTCACCAAAATATCTGAAAAGTGATTTAAGTTTTGTTGTCTCTCGGACCATCACATACTGTCTGTAACAAAGTATAAATAAACAATGACATACAGAAGTGAAGTTTAGACAGGGAGGAGCGTGGGAGAGGTCACGTCACTGGCCCATCTTGACCGACGCATCTCATTCTTCCTATCCAGAACAAACAGCACTTGCCTTCAGTCTTGGGTTGTGGGCCTGTGAAGACCCGCTGCTGGGAGGGTGGCTACACACAGTAAAGTCCATGACAGCAACCCAGAGCGAGGGCAGGCCCTTACACCACATACTGGTGGTTGCCGCTGTAGTTTGTCGTGTAGGCCTGCCGGCTGTACTGAAAGTGGTCGGTCAGCACGTTGTTCCAGCTGTGCTGCTGCTCTGAGCCATGGGAGAAAGGCACTGACCCGTTGGCCTGGATCTTCTCCAGCGCTGGGTTGTCAAAGGACATCAGGTCCTGCTTGGCGCTGGGCAGCAGCTTCTTCTGCTTGTTAGCGTCGTACTTGGCCTGTTGGCAGAGGACAAGGAAAAATGGATTTTAAATGACTTTGAGTCATAGGAGTCGGTCCGCTGGCACTGCACCGTGGCTGCACACTGATCCTGTATAGTTTGGGTGGGTCAAGTGTTTCCCCAAGAGGATAAATAAAGTGTAACTTAACTTTACCATTTACATTTAAGTCAATGGCAAGCACACAAGTTGCATGGAGAGATATTGAAAGCAGCTTTTAGAGTGACATGCAGTTTATAAAAAAGATTTAGGAAAGAATGACAGTAAATTGACCAAAGAGCTGGCACATACAGACTATATATAGAAATATAGAGTACACAGTGGCAGCCGGTTGCTGTGGAAAATAATAAATTATTATAAAACCTGTTTTATAAATTTATTACCATAAAATAAGGCCACGGCAGCACTTTGAGTGATGTGTGTGAAGGAAACTCCCCAAAATAGAACAGATAATATCTGCTGACATGAGCATGTATGTACTGGCTGATGAAAATTTCTCAATTAATGGAACAACAGATGATCCATTTTTCTCCCTTCCTCTATTCTCTTGGTCGGGGGGACTCACCTTGTTGTAGAGGAAGACCCCGACTATGGCAGTCATCATACCCAGGACGTTTGTGAGGGTGACCGGGTTGCGCAGCATTAGCAATGAGATACTAATGACCATGATTCTCTTGGTGGCGTTGGCGACGGCGTAGCTGAGCGGGCTGACGATGTTAAGTACGCTGAAGGCAATGACGTTCTGAGCGAAGTTGCAGAAGCCGCTGATGAGCAGGAGGACGATGGTACTCGTCCATCCGGACATGTCCGACTGTAAGGAAGGCAGTACGGACAGGTTACGTTGAGGGTCAAAAAACAAGCCAGGTGCTGCTGAACTCTACCAACCTTCACAACACAACAGATGCCGCGAATGTCAAATTCTATGAAATATTTGTTACTGCTACTCACCAGGTCTCCATTGACAAGAAACACAGAGAGATCAACCAGGACCCAGGTGGGCAGCATAAAGATCACAGCATTAAAGCCCAGGATGTTGAGCAGCCTCAAGTGGTGGATACTTGTGTCACGCAACACCTTTAAAAGGGAGGGGGGGGGGAAATGGACTCACAAAATGACATGGAAATTGTGGGTATCATTTGCATGAAATAAATGACAGTCAGTGATCCAGAGAATATGTTCACTGGATCACTGAGTTTTAACTGATTCATAAGGAATATTTGTGCAAGGGCCAGTGAAATGCAGCGACTATCTTGTTGCAGGAGACGGTACAGCACTCTCAAAGATTCAGCATTTAGAGGTTAGATTCTCCCTTCAGTCCCCATTAAGCATTATTCCAAAAAGTAGCTTACATTACTGTTTGTAATACAATTTTAAAAAGGTTTAAAGGTACCTACATTTGGACACTAACTGACCTTATTAACAACCAAGTCTTATTTTCCAACTGCCCACTGCATGAATCTGACATATATAGTGATATTAGACACATCATCGTGACTAGCTTCACGCTCATAACGCCACATTAATGTAATTAAGATGTCTTTCTAACTAGGATTTATCTGGGGCTCTACAATCTCATTCTCCATCACGGTGTCAACATAAGCAAACAAATATAGTAGGTGAAGCTCACAAATTCAATCTAAACCAAACCAACCATAAACATGGTTATCACAAAATGCAAGTACATTTGCACTTAAATACACAATAACTGGTCATGACAGCAAAACATTTGTTATTACAGTATTTGGACACTATGAAATCTAGCTGCCTTGCCTGATTTTTTCCCCCACCACCACAAAACACTTTCAGGCTTTTCACACACATTTTCCAATTAGCCCCCTTCTACTGCCCTCCTCTGTGTGGGGATCATGTGGCACATACCAGCGTGAGCGTGACTTACCTTTTTGGAGAAGATGTTCTGCAAAGAGAAGCACAGCGTGGCAGCCAGAGCGCTGATTAGTCCTGAAACATCAAAGGACAGCTCAGTCGCTGTGGCCAGCAGCACGCCGCCAATGATGGGAATGAGCGATATATACACCTGCAACAAGGACCACACGGAGACAGAAGGCAGAATCAGCGGGAGCCAACACAAACACCACTTTAGTAGTTTATATCCAGTACAGTAAAGTATCAAAATATAAGTAGCAGTGTCAGGGAGTGTTTCCCGATCAATTCTGACTGTTGGTCAGACAAAACAAGCAATTAGGAAATTGTGATGGACATCTTTCCCATTTTATAGACCAAACAATTAATAGAGAAACTAATCTGCGGCTCAGTTGATACTGAAAGTAATCGTTACTTGCATCCCTACTGAAATTAGTACAAATTTGAGTGGCCTGTAGCCACGTACAATTTGTTCAGTGATACCTTAACAACAATCATTAAAACAAAAATTGTAATGCATTGCTGTAACATCAACAAATCACTATCACAGTGGCATTGACAGGTTAATAATAGAAGAGCCTAAAATCCAAAGCACGGCCACATTTTAACCTCCTAAATAAGGGAGGAAACCCAGAAGAAAAACCTTTACAACACATCTGCAGTATTACACCATGAATCCATTCAAACACGTGTTAAGATGATGAAACATTTTCACCTGCAAGCACAACCTTAGGAGGCGGCAGCTGGACATCCTAAGTAAGCCCTCTTACCCGGTGCCATATACACTTCGTGGGCTGAAACTACCATTTCTCATGATCCAATATTTTCTACATGCAAATAAATCTTGCTGCAGTTGTTATGAAACCCACTTGTGCTCCCACTCACTCTCCAACTCTTCCCTCTCAACCAACCACTCTGAGTGAAACTGAGAAAACACGGCACTTCATGAGCAATTCTGCCAGTTTACTGCCATCAAACGATCCAACCGCCCACAGTTTTAATGTCCGAGTAAATTGTCTCATGGGCTGCAAGCTGAAAATATAATAAGGTGAGCCATGCTGACTGACAAGAAGGAAGAACTCAAACCTGTAGACTGTGCTTTAAACCAGCTCTCTTAATTTAGTGGTTAATAAATAAACATTTTATAATAGGATGTACAATGACGAAACAGAGCAGTTCCGGGCAACAATTTGTTCAACACAATCAGGATGAAAAGTTAACTAAATTATCTTCTGCCTACACACTGAACATGCAGATATATCCAAACATGATACGAACTAAAAGAGAGGCTTTGTCTATTTTGGCAGAGGCCTAGATTTGTGTCCCATTTCAGGTCTCCCGACATATTTTGAAAATTCATCCTGGAGGCTTTGTGCATTCAAAGGGGAAAGTTGGAGACTATACAAATGCATCTGAGGAGTGTCTTATTTAATCATATGTAATGAGTTCTTGTAAGATCTACAGTCAGCATCTAGTTATTTTAGGTAAACCTGCAATCCAATCCAGCTGCTCCGCCATAAAGTCTACATTTATGATGCTTGTATTCAGGGTATATTTAACAGTGGTGTTGTACTGGACTGCATTGTATTTTAAGGTGTTTCTGCCCCTTTATGTATATTGGAAGGACAAAAAATTAGAAACACCTTTCAATATAGTGCAGTCTAGTACAACACCGCCTTTAATATCAGCATAACAAAAGTATGTTGTATTGGACTGCATTACACTGTAAAGGTGTACCTAATAAAGTGGCCCCTGAGTATATTTTACACAGTGTATCCTGCTGCTCTGCCTATTTGCAGAGCAGCAGGATACAAACGCACACACAAACACACACAGTCTGTGCATCCAGCCTGTCTCAACGCTGAACTGCCGACGGTAAGGCAAACATGACAAGCTGATGTTAGACTCAGAGGTCCCTTATTCACATTCAGCAAAATTAAGCTGTATTCCAGCGATGCTGTGAGTTTTGCCACAATCAAGCTTTTCGGCCTCCAATGTTATTCACTCAGATATATTTTTTTAATATAATACAGCTGTACAGTGCACACAACTAAGTCTTCTTTTAAGTCTTCTGAAATGCACTTTTATAGGAAATCACTTCCTGATTTTATCTGAGCCACCTGTTCATTTTGATGTCTTACTTTGTTGTTTTATCTCTTCTTTATCCTGTTCATTTGAATGTGTTTCTTTTGTTATCATTTATTTTATTATTTTATTTTTGGCCCTCATGTATTTTATTTTATCATTCACTGGTATATTTTTCGATCCCTTTCTCTGTGAAGTCCTTTGCTTTGATAAGTGCTTTATAAAAAAGTTGATTATTATTATACTAAGGCTGAACTACATTCTTAGTAAAGACATTTCGATTCAACAGCTGAATACAGTCAGTATGCATAAAAATACAGTCTACATCATAGTTTCCCTTTAGATGTTTCCTATAATACAGTACTTTGTATGGTGCACTATGGTGTTTTGTATAATATCTATGGAAGGATGAATGTTGTTAATTTAGTCAGATTTAATTTTGTACTTTAGTTCAGCTACAGTGCACATCGTTACCACAATAACCAGAGGCCAAGATGAGCCGAGCAATAATTCCAGGGATGAAATGATAAGGGGATTAATCAATTAGTCAACCTAAAGAAAATGAAATGCCGCATATTTTGATAATCGATTTTCAAAGTAATTTTTTATGAACAAAACTGGTTTTATAGTAGTAAAAAAACAGTACATAGTATACTGAATATTTTTTGATTTTGGAGTGATTATTTTCTCACATTTTATAGACCAAACAATCGATTAACAGAGAAAACAACAGGGAGATTCATCTTTAGTTGCAGTACTTGATCATCCAATAATATAATCAATATATATCAATAATATCAATATAATCAACATTGTGTGAATTTGTATGCAGCAATATAATCATGTTACAATTTTACTATTTGTTGTCCAAATTGTGATTTCAAGAACTTTACTAATTGAACTTTGTTTTATGTGTGAAGAAGGTCTGTTTAATATAATGCTGACATTATACTTGCAGTGAGATACACATGAAGACCTACTTAATTACAGTGACTCAAGTTGATCTACCACTCCATATAATGTAAATTCTCCCACTGTTTTTCCCCCTATGCTGGTGGATTTATATCAAAAATATATGAGCACATAAATGGTGATTTGTCCTGCAAAACCCCTGAGCCAGAAATGTATGTAGCTCTTATATAACTCTGCCCCCCCCCCCTCGTCTGGACATTTTCAACCACCTGCTTGAAGCCTTTCCACATACCTGCAAACTGCATACCAAAATGGTATGCATTAAAAAAAACAGCCTTTCAAACACATTCATAAACGCAACACCGCTCCTATAATGTGGCAAGCAGAGAGTGAGTGTGGGGTTTTACCAGGTGAAATAAAAAGTTAGTTTCCCCTTCCTGACCCCCACCCTCCCACAGAGCATTTTATCAACTTCAGGGACTAAAGCCCCTGCAGATGGCTGTAATATGAGATGCAGCACAGGAGCAACACAGTGCCACATCACCACTGCTGAGTCTCAAACCCTGAGAAACAGGCTGAACCAGAGTGGGCCATGTCGAACCTACTCACCTTTGTGGTTTGCTTCTCCCTCATGATAATTCTTGATAAAAGTACAACCCATATTGGCATTGTGGCTTTGACTGTGACAAAACAAAAAGGCAGAAAAGGGACAGTGTCAGCTTGGAAAGTATACCAATCATTTTGTTTCTCTGACAAACATGCAAATCCATTTAAAAGCAGCAGGTAGAGAGCAGAAAACTGATTATATGTGGGGGATAAAATGAGGCCCAAATCTTATTTGTAGTGCTCCTACGTCAGAGTCCAGGCCACACCAATGTTTATTAGGTTTTTCATGGTGCGCGTCACTAACAATGACTCAAGAGTGGTGGCACCCTGTTAACTGAAAAATGTACTAAAATTAACACATATTTTCCATCCATCAAAACTAAATTCAGCACGGTTGATCATTACTTTTATAGTAAAGCAAGAACTTTCAAGCTTGAAAGATCTTATTGACATGACAGCTGTGACTTTCAGTTTGGCTCAAAAGACCACCAAGTTCTTTGAAATAGTTTAGAGGAGGTCAAAACAGGTGAGCTATACTTTAATAGTAGTATTAGTAAGTCTACTTACTTCTAGCTGAAGTTAGAACAAACTATTAGAAGTTAAGGGGGGTATTTTATTCATTGGTGTTACTATACACTTTTTATTAGGCACACTAATAACGAATGCAGTAAATATGAGTATGAATAAGAGTATAATGTTAAATTTTTATTTTAGAGGTGTTGATTCAACTTCATGATCATTTTGGATGCTGCAGTTAGCTTGTAGTGCTGTTGAACTGTGACAATGAAAAATGTTTTTAATATGTTGTCCACCCCATTTATAGCAACAAGGGTACACTTAATAGGAAAAACACCTCTCACTCTAATGCAGTACAATCCAAGAGCACCAGTTTCAACAAAAACTGAACATTATAACCTTCATAAAAGGGAGGATTTATTGCAGGACTGTTGTATTAGACTGGCAACTGAGTGTACATTTTCGCTGTCCAAGCTCTGATCCATGATGACAGAAGGACTTAGATTTTATTGACATGGCAGCAACGGCTGTCTTTAAAGAGGTGTAGAAGAGGTCTAAACATGAGAATAGTTTCATTTCAAGTTTACTTGCTTGACTTGCAGTTAAGAATGACTATTAGAAGTTAACTATACAAATTCAAAGTTACCATTTTATTTAGATACAGTTAATGGAAACTAATACTGTCGATTAGTGATCAACTGATATGGGTATTTCAATTGCTGACACCGATATTGAGACAGCAGGGCAGCTGCTGGTAAAAATATAAAGCTGATATCAAAAAAAAAAAAAAAAAGTTATGTAAAATTTCAGAAACTGATTTAGAGGAGGTCTAAACCTGCTTAAAAATGTTTTATTGTTATAAGTTTACTTACTTCAATTTCAAGGTAAGACAGATTATTAGTAAGTTAGTATGAATGTTTGATTCACAGGTTTTAACTATAGATGTCAGATGCCACTTTATTAGGCAATGCAGTCTAATACCAGCCCTGCAATAAATCCTACAGTCAAGAGATGTGTTGGTTCAACCTTATGGTAAGTTTGGAGGCTGTACGGTGTGGTGCTGTTACACTGGGTAGCATTATATTGGTATAAATAGGATGGGCAAAATTTTAGAAACCACAAACTGCAGGGCCCAAAAAGTAAACCAGACTTAGTAAGTTTTAGCCATGAACTGCACGGTTGTAGCTGTAAAGACTGAAAGCTAGTTCGTTTTACTGACAACAGCAGCTAAGCTAATAAGATTTCACATTGGTTTTCTAAGGCGAAACAAAATCTAATTACACGAAGAACTGTGATCTGATTATTGTCTTGCAGTCTGAGATCAAAGTTAGAGAAGCGCATCGCAATACAGAGCAGGTTCAGTAATGGACCCTCCTCCCTGACGTAGTATATTCTCAGCGTTAATTAAGTTGGCTAGCTAGCTAACAGCAGCTAGTTAGTAATTTTAAGGGGACTCTAAAGCTGGTCAATTTGCAGCTAGAGGACCCATGGTAAGTTAATTAAACTCATGAAAGCCCGTCTGTTCACGACCTCCTGGAAGCCACATTTACTCGGGGCCCACAGCAGTTAAATGTCGGTGTCGCCGAGTTGCCCAGCGTTAGCCACGAAGCTAACATCAGCTGACGGTACACATCATCAAGTTACCCCGGCTGACACGCTTGAGGTACACAAATCCGCTGTACTCACCGGTGTGCGCATATGAAACGGGTACTTTCCATATGCTGAAGTGAGCCGAGACTGATGCAAAGTATTTTCCGAAGGCTAAAGGCAGGATGTACCACCGGTAATACCTGCTCGGCAGTTCTGTTTTGGGGACTCCCCATGCCCGCAACAACGGCGGGAGGAAGACGACGATAGAAATTATGTGAAACAGAGAGACTGTGACCGGGTACGGGAATCCATTGAGGATGATTTTGTTGACGATGTTGCCTCCCGAGCTGACCGTGTACCAGCATACACACAATACAAATATCCGGATCCCTTCCCTGACCGGGGGCCGGTCCGCCGCAGCCATCTTCCAGCGCGGAGTGACGAGGCACCGGTGGTGTGTGTCTGGCTGCGTCCGGGAAGGAAGCGCTGCTCAACCGTCAAAACGCCAACAATGAATGGGATGGGTAACTTCCGGTAACCGGCTTCAAAATAAAAGATGGACACGCGTTTATAAAATGGAACTGCTGTGAGCGGCATTTAAAATGGTAGATTATAGTTTGAATCTGAATAAAGGTGAAAATCTACCATTTTAAATAGTAATTTAAATAAATAAAAGATAAACATTGAAATAGATATGTATATATTTGGCTATACACATAGAAACCCATATTGTTAAAAATAAATAAAACATATTGAAGTAATAACGTAAATTTTATGAACAATGTGCTGCACAAGACTAGCAGCCCCCCCCCCCCTAAACAATCAGACTTCTAAACCCAAATTCATCCTCTGCTCCACTGAAGTTTATTTCTGTTTACCAGTTTTATGATTGCTTTTGTATTAGTTTATTGTCTGCTAGGTAGCAGAAGGAAGTTACAAGCTTAATTTCACTTTACAACCTCTTGTAATGTGACAAATCTACCTAGACAACCGTGAACTTGTGAAATAACCAAATACATTTTTAAAACTCAACAATATACACAGTTTGTTAGTTATTTCATACCAGCATATTTTTTATTTGAAATTTATTTTCCAAAGTGTGTTTCAATTTCACTTAATTTAATGTCCTAATGAACGTTTTATTTCCACAATGCCACTCTCCTTCACATGTTTTTGTCTATCAGAACAAACAGGTCAGAGCAGGTTACGTGATAGGCTGATTTTGCTTGAATTGAACAATCACTTCTGTACTTCTGCACTTCTCAACTAACTGATTGATCAAATCAGCTCAAATTGTATTTATGGGGAAAATGCATCTAAGAAGAGTGCATCTGAAATTGTACTATTTTCTCATCAGCATGGTAATGTAGTTTCCAAAAACTTCTGAGCATCCTGGGAATTAATCAAAATCTATTTGAGAGTGATGTGGATGCAGAGCCAGCACATATCCCGCACTGTGGGAATTCATTTGTCAGTTTGATTAATGAGCGTAATTGCAAAGAGACCATAATAAACACTAAGAAGACAATCACAATTCCTTCAGTTTTTTTTATTAACACATAACATGTCCACATAAAGGACTAAGTAGCAAATATGTTCTCTTCTGCATTTGACTTAACACAAAATGTTCATTTCTGTACATTCACTAAGGCTCTGTCTTTAGGGAAAACACAGGTTTCCATAAGGCAAACAATATCTAAAAGGAATGATATTAAGTACTTTATCCAGCATGTCAATTTATATTCTTCCTGACAGTACAAAGATGCAAGCTAGTAGCATAATCGGCTCTGCCATTTGAATTAATATTTTACAACCTAAATACACAGTAAAGGGAAAAGGCAAGTACAAAATAAAATTAGTTCACATTATCAAAATGTGTCCTTTTGGATAGTTTCCTGTGTAAAGGTAGGTTGGTGTGTCAGCAGGAACCATTTGGAAAAAAATCACTGCTGCATCACTGAACCAATTCTGAATAAAGAAATTAACAAAAAATGATTTAGTGTAGTTTGAACATGTATATAAATCTCAAATGAATCTGTAAATATAATAAATATCATACATGACATCCACATTTCTCTATCAGTGTGTATTGTTCTAGCCCAATACAAGCCTTTCTTACTCTCACCTCAAACTGCATGGTCACATCTGGCAGTTTCATGTCACTTTACAGTATTCAAACCTCACAACACAAGAAAAATATTCAAATGTTTTAATAGTGATTTCTCAGTTATTCTTTCTGCTTTAAAAAAAAAAAAGCAAAAAAACATTGCCACAAGACGGTTGTGCAGTGGGGGGGGGGGACCGCGGTTCTAAAAATGTGCATTGATAAATGTTCACAGCACAAAAAGTTAATAGTTGTTAATACCAATGGTAATGAGCTACTTGAAGATGTACGGTTGAACGGCGTCCTTGCCACTGTCCAGTTTGTCGATGGCTCTGCTAACGCACTCTTACTCTTCCCACTGAGAGGAGCGGGTGGTACCTTGTCGCCATGATTTTCGATGCACTGCAAGCCCAGGCAAAGAGTAATCCTTGTCCATCCAATACTCAGAAGGCTGACTAAACTGACAGCAGCACATCTACTTCCAGGACAGTTGAAGCTGACTGCCTCCAGCCCAAGTTGATACCTGAGACCCAAATGGGGCTGGAAAATCCAACAGCTATCATAGATCTAACCATAACCCCAGAGCAGACACCCTAGCAGAATAAAAAGACATCTGTGGTGTCAGTCAATGAAGCTCCAGTTCAGACGATCATTTAGCTTTTGCTTCAGCTTTTGCAGCTAAACAGGCTTGTTAAGATGCATGAGCAACAACCTCATTGGTAGATTTATCTGTTTGATGTCTTCTCCACTTATGTAGTTTACTGCTCCTTTATTGAAAAGTTGATAGGGTCAGTTTTTTTTTTTAAACATAAAATTTAACTATATTTTATTTTTATAAATACTGCACTGTGGACTAAATGTGAGTGGATGAAGAAAGTTTCAGTAAAGTCACATTCCACGAGGCATGATAATAACATAAGACAAATTAAATGTAGCTGTGCAGTTTAATTTGATGTCATCTCCCATACAAAGAATGGCAGGTATTGGAAAATTAATCTGTACACTTACTGAACACAACAACTAAATGGTCAGATAATGCATAGCCATTTTCCTTTTCCTTTGCGCTGTCCCCACGCAAACCTGATAAAAACACAGATTACACCCCTGTACTCCATGCACACTTACACCCAAGGAGGCAGCACATTGACTCCACTTTCACCTATGGTGCATAACAGCAGCTTACACTTAAATGAAGTGCCTCCACACATGCAGAGTTGCTCCGATGTAAGACAAAGGCAGCTTGCAACTTTCAATCCAGAAAGCTGACCTCAGTTTCAATCCAGACACACGTATGGCAGTATGTTCAACCTGCTCTCATCTCCATGTGGGTCTAAGGAGATGCACTCCGTCCAGTCATACCAAGTCCCCTTTGTGTCATAACAACCGTTCACCCCGGACCAGTGTTGTGTGTGTAATCTGTTCAGGTCTTCATTGATGACCTCTCTGCTAACCCCCGGTAAATCCCTGGCTGGGAGTTCTGGTGCCAACGTGTGGGTTTTCTTGGCATCTTTATTTTGGTGTTCCTCTTTTTTCAAGAACTCTGTCATGAAAAAGTGTGCACCAGGGGTGTGGGTGCCTGATGATGTTAGCACGTTGCTTTGCTGGCTAAGATATGACTGGATGATTTCGCTTCTTGACAGCTCTCTCCAGTCCGTTTGCTGGAAGGGACTGGGAGAAACTGGTGAATTTTGCTTCGGCTGTTCTGACCACTGAGATTCAGGTTTGTGGCTCAGTCTGACCTCCCCCTCCTGGCAAGACTCCTTATGAAAGGAGGGTTTGATCTGTCCTGTTACAGGGTCAAATGTCAGTCTCCTGTCTTTTAACCTGACTGGTTTAGTGCTGTCTTCTACAGTCTGTCCATCTAACTTTACCACACAGTCCTTAGACTTGTATTTCTGTCCTTTCCTTTTCCCTGTATTGCTAACAACACCATCATCTTGCAAACTGATCCCATCATTGCAGGAAGAGGTATAGGAGTTGTGAGGAGATGTATTGGGAGGCCTGATTTTAGAGTCCAATTCAACAGACCATGAACCGCTAGTGTGCAAACCCTGAACACAGACACTGAAAGTCTGAGGCGAAGGGCCTAGCCCAGAGGTGTCCACAGACCCAGAGCTCACAGTGGGGCTAGAAAGACTCTGTGCTTGTGCTGCAGGTTGTTTGACACCAGCTTCCTGCTTTAGAGTTTGAGGACTGTGCAAGGAACCACGTGGGTTTCTGGGTCCACTCTGCCCCCCGGAGGCAGCTTGCTCCTGTCTGGCTTGCTTCTGCAGAACTGATGCTTTTAGCAAAGAAGAAGTGCTAGGAGACTTGCAGTTTCCTGGGGCACTTGGATGAGGTTTTACAGCATTGACAGGTATTTTATTTACCCTGTCATTGTCCAAAGGCTCAGAAATCTCCTTGTCTAAAGGCTTGTCTAAATGTGCACGTGTATCTGTAAATATTTCAGAGCTACCGCCAATTCCATTGATTGACAGCTGTTTGGAGTTTTGTATTTTATCATTTAGAGCTGATTTGGATATCTTGGCTGGCAAGAGCTGTCCTTCCTTCTGGTCACCCTTACGTTTCCTATTGCTCAGTTTTTCCACCCTCAAGGAGTAGCAGTTGTTGAAGTCATTTCTGTTCTTCAACTCTGACCCTGTTTTACCTGATGGCGGGGTGGCAGCTGGAGCGGAGATGCAGGGATGAGCGCCACCATTGGAAGACCACGACGCACTGATGTGTCCTTTGGACAACGCCTCAGCTTTCTCTGGCTCAATCAGCTTCTGCCAGTTTCGCAGGAGCTTCTTGGCCCTTTTTGCAAGATCGTCATTCTTGGTTTTTTTCCGGACATCATTGATGAGCTTGCCAAGACGGGTTTCCTTTAATGAGATAAGATCTGTGTTTAAAAGCCACTGTGACATGGCAGGATTCAATTGTTTTATCTTAAATGCATATACTGTAGTCTGAATGTAACCCACCTCCAGTGCCTCTTTGGTGATAGGATATTTCTCCAAAAAAGAGATTACCTCCATAACTACCACCATATTGCATATCTGATGAGAAGAAAAAGTTTTTTTTTTTAAATTACAATCCTGAGACTTCATGAATTTGTCAGCATTACAAGTACAGTTGTTTTTACGTAGGGGTAACAGTTTAAGATTCAGAGCCTTATAGGCCCGATACGCATAAATACCACAGAGGAAAAAAAGAAAGGCTGTTAGAAGTGTGAGGCATAATTTGAATAGACTTTCAAATGTGCACCTGTATGTCAAAACATGATGTACTCATACTGGTTTCAGGCTCAATATGACAAACTGAGATTACATGCAAATGTGCCATTGTATCCCAAAAGAAGACCAAGTCAGATCAGCAAGTAAGATAGAACAAAAAGTGCTGACCATAATGGTCCATTCAATCTGGTCCTGCTTTGATAGATCGGTCCACTATCAGACATTTTACTGTACTGTTTATACTGTGGTAGCAAACCCTTTAATATTTCTGGTAGGTAGTGTTACAAATCAGTGAGGACTGCTTTATGGCAATACTGGATTTTCTTTAGGACTTTAGCATCAATGTAATTAAGTGCCTTCTAGGTTTATCAGGTGTCACATTTCTGTGTGGTTATCATGATAAAAGGATTTCATATCGGCCATCCATTAAGCCAGCAGAGTTTGTCTGTCAAAAGTTAGAATATACCTAGAAACAAGCATATTAGCTCCTTGAAGCTTAAACTGTTGAACACAGCAGTGTACGGCCACAGTCATACTTACATTTCTCTCAGTTAGCAAACAACATCTCTAGCTTTAGTTAAATCAAAAGAGATTGAAGCGTGGAGAAGTCATGTGGCTCAGCTCAGCTGCCTGGATCCATTCTTCATATGCGTTTACAATCTTTAATTTTGTCATCCTGATCATCCATACTGTAATTTTACTATGGTCTATTCTGTACACACAACATTCAAGGTATTGCATGTCTGTCCGTCCTGAGAGAGGGATCCCTCTTCTGTTGCTCTTTCTGACGTTTCTTCCATTTTCCCCCCTGTTAAAAGGGTTTTTATTTAGGGCAGAAGGCGTTACTCGTTGTACAGATGGTAAAGCCACTTGAGGTGATATATGATATTGAGCTACATAAATAGAAAATGTTGTAACTTTGAAATTGCTATGATTTCAATGACTGACAATGCCATTGGTACATTACATGCAAAAGTTTGGCATTATAATGTCTGTGTTGAACTTTTGAAGTTTTTGGCTGTACCATGGACCTTGCTAGTCTGTGAACAGTGCTGTAACACATCCTGGCAATCTCATCAGCTGTGAAAGGGTAAAAGTAGAGATGTTATTTTTATCTATGTAAAACGTTGATCTTACTGAAACCACAATTGAAGTAAAAAGGACACTTACCTACTGATTTACACTTCCTACCTGGTAGCTCAGTTTAGCAAGTCTCCACTCCTGAAGCACTGTGCTTTTCAGTGTACAATACAAGCTAACTTGGTCACATGAACATTAGCCAACAGCAGTTAGTTAGCAGCCCGGCTCCTGAATACCTGCCACTTTCGCTAACTGGTGACAATAGCCAGCTAATTAGCGAACAAATAATAACTCGGCATGCAATCACTGACTGCCCCCACTTTGAAAACCCTCCGAGGCGAGCCGGGGTCGGCTTGGCCTTGTTGTCTGCGCCCAGTTCGTCCTTTGGCAACTACCGGATATACTCACATTGCTCTGGCCGTCGATGGCCTGTAGAAGCCGGTCTCTCATCACCTGCGGAGTGGCTGTTGCCGCTGTCATCGCCTGGCCGTGTCGCGGGTCAGGTCGGACTCAGACAGCAGAATCCCCCGAAGAGGCGGCGGTTGGAAACCTGCCGACACTCACAGGCCCGACGGAAGATCTTCTCCGGGAGTGGGCACCATGTTTTATGGTGCTTTTATCTTTGTTTCCGTTCGCCGCCGTCACGACTTGATGATACGGACAACGTGAACAGAAAATCCTCTCCGGGAATCGGCTACCCCCCTCCGCTGGTAGCCTCCTCCTCTTCGCTCTGCTCGTCGGGCTTTTTGTGAAGCGCTCGCGCAAAGCATGATGGGAAGGTTTTACGTAACCGATTGTTTCACGTCTGCGGCGTAAAACGTGGACAATAGAGCGGTCTGTGCAGCGCAGGATTTCCTTCTTTCTTTAAGATGGATTTATACGTTGATGTTTTTCCCTTCAGAGGTTCAAAAACGATATGTGATGTCTTTGAATTGCAACCTGAAACTGTTTTATTAAATGTATTTTGGATACATACATTAATAGACATCATAGTTATATAATATTAATTAATCTTTCCTTCAGATATATTATATTTGGTTTCTATTTATACAACTATACTACAAAGTAGTATTAGGGCCACATTAACGGAAAAAGGATTAAGATTTTTTAAATTTATTTTGCATTTCCAGAATAAACTGAGAAACAATGTGGAGTAGGTTACCATTTCCGGACTTTATGTCGAGAATAATGTCGAAATGACGAGAATAAAGTTGAAGTTGACTTAATTCTCGACATGCTGACTTTATTCTCGACATTATTCGCGAAATGCAAAATAAATTTAAAAATCATCATCCTCAATTATTTTCTCCTTTATGTGGCCCGAATACTCTGTCGTACTATACAGGTAATTTCCCCTTCTAAGGTTAATTGTCATTGTGGCAAAATGTCACATTTACAAATGTAATGTCTTTGTTATATTTTGAAGGAAATTCAACACTGTTTCCACTCTTTCACCCTCATTAACTAACAACAGCTATCTTAACCTTATTTGTATCTGTATCTACGATTACTTTGCGCCCAGCGTTTTAAAATGTTTTACTAAATGTGTTTGTTATTTTTTTTCAGTTTCTTTGTTTCTCGTCCTGTATTTCTTCACCCTTCATCTTTTGAATCAATTTCGTATTTTTTTGCCTTGTCACTTGATGGCACTGTTGCTTCGCTGCAATGCAGTTGGAAGAAGAAAAAAAAAAAAGACTACTGCATGGTTGCTATTTTGTACAAAGCTGAGATACCTACCTATTAATCCCTTTCTATATATTACAAATATGGTTTATTATTGTTTCACACATTAATTGCTACTGATTATATTAATCACTTGTTTTTATTTGAAACACATACTGTTTATGAACACACAAAGGAAATGAGGATGGTCCTCGCAGCAAAATTTAAATATATGAAAAACCATTCTGCTTTTATTAAATTTTGTCATTCTGTCCTCATCTCATTGTAGATAATGATATTGACAAAGAAACTGTATTTGATGTGTATCAGTCATGCATGGCTGATAGGATTCGCTTAATGAGGTTAGAATTGGATTGGTGCATACCTCATACCAATAGACAGTTAAAACCATTCAAGTCAATGAACAGACATCAAATGAGAAAACAGCATTTTTATTGCTAAAAGGATACATTTACATTATAGTGCATATACATTTACTTATAGCACGTGTGCCAGAGTAAATGAAAATGGCATTTTATTGAAGTCTGAGAAGCTTAATTAAGATATTCTGTATTGACACTCACAAGAGTAGCTGAGTAAAATTTAAGATGCTTGTGCCATATATCACAAACAGAGGAGATTTAGAGTTCATTATGTGATAGTGATCTTGTCTTGTTGGATCCAAGCTTCAACACCAGATTTGATTACTGTATGTGAGGTTTTAGGGCAGAACAAGACCCTTAAATGATGACACACAGGAAACAAGCCACAGAAAACATCCTGTTAGTAAGGGAGGGCTGTCCATTGCTTTCAACACTGCTGTTTCTCTGATAAGTAAACTGACAAGCTGGAGAAAACAGCTCATGCTCTATAATGAAGCACAAGGGCACAAGACAACACATATTCAGCAAAGGCAGGGGTTCTGGTGCAGTTACAGCTACAACAAAAAGTTTCTGTACAGCAAGGAGATTGGTTTGGGCTCAAAGAAAATGAAGCGTAATTACAGTTAAAAAGGTCCAGAAGAACAGCAAAGTCTTATTAAGGAGACATTTATAGCGTCCATCTTGGTGGAAGTCCGGTAGCCTCAAATGTTGATCATGATCCAAACAATCTGTGAGGATTGAAAACATTCAGCTAGTTAGAAAACCAACATATTCACAGCCCAGGTATTCAGGGAAATGTAGGAAATCAGAAGTTGGAAGTCTGATTAGCATCTTGATACGCCACACCTGTGAGGTGGATGGTTATCTCGGCAAAGGAGAAGTGCTCACTAACACAGATTATGACATATTTGTGAACAATATTTGAGAGAAATAGGCCTTTTGTGTACATAGAGAAAGTCTTAGATCTTTGAGTTCAGCTCATGGTGAATGGGGGCAAAAACAAAAGTATTGCGTTTATAGTTTTGTTCAGTGTAAATAAAACTGTGTTTATTAACATATTATAATGGGACGGGAACGTTATTTCATTAGTAAAATGTATTTGCACTACAAACATTAGCGGCGTCAAAAAATAACAATAACTTGTCAGCGTACTGGAAGACATGTCAATTAACTTGTGAGTGATATCAAGTTCAAGTTTTTTTTTTGTAGTAAGAGTGAGACTTCATTTTTGTTTACATTTGGATTATCGCTTTAACCACAAAACATACCCCATCCTAAGTGAAGAACATTTTTCAGCAACAAGCGTTGCGGTGTCATCTGAAATTTTTACCACAATCTTAAACGTGGGTTTGCATTTCTGTCCGACTAGCGTCAAGAGTCAACAAAGAGGTTATACTTTAAAGATAAAGCTTGTGTTACTGTGTGTTTTTCATATTGTCAACAAATCCCATAAAACCACAGAATCTGAAAGAGCATTACTTTCTCTCTTAGTACTTTCTGACTTCCCTACCTAATCTGTGGCACTCAACCCCAAGGCCCAATGGTTCCTACTGAAGGCGTAACTCTTCAAACAGGTGTCACATATAGGGCTCAGTTACTTCTTAAAACAGCTGGCCAATGTAGGTTTTAGCAAATGTTACACAAACAGAATAAATTGTGTATTTGTTGGTGACTATTTTCTGATGCAGAGATTAATAAACATTTGATGCTTTAGTGAGTATTAACAGCAAGATGGTGCACGAGAGAACGACACAAAATAAAATACAGTGTTTCTTGAATTAAAGAAACATGTCAGCCAGTTAATACTTTTAACAGTTAATGTAAAATAAAGGAGCTATATGGCACGAAGGGAAAAGCAAACATGCTATACTTGAGAATGTTGGTTTTGGTCTTTTCATGGGCTTTGTTGGGGAATATTGTCAGCACAAGAAATGAACTGTTTCTCCACACAGTGCAGCCTGTTCACAATCACATCCAACCATTACATCTGTACAGTTACATAACCAGCATCAACTAAGATTCTTTACTCACACAATCATGCAGAACATGATAAAGATGTTCCATAGAGCGATGAAGACCCGAAAGTATCGCAGGCTGAGCAGAAACTCTCTGATGTTGTCACCTGAAAGACAGACTGATCATTTTTTGTGGCAGTGCTTTGAGAACATACCTGTGACAATTTTTCGTTCATTCCCCCACCCTTCTCTCTGTTTAACACACACATACAGACCTGTTGTAGGTGCTCTGGACTCATCTTCAAATCCTTGGGACTCCTTCCTTTTGCTGTAAAACATTCACAGTTAACCGGCTGATTTGTTTGTTTTGCTTTGTAGCTCTACTGTGAGGTTTTAAGCAGCGGTGGTTCACTATGATTTTAATACTTACAGCTTGAAATTCAGCACAGCCCCTGCATTCACCAGTAAGGTCCTAGAAAGCACAGATAGATAAACCGTTGACAGGTAGAATAATGGTGTTATCTAGCTACCTGCTGAGCTAACGTTAGCTGGTGAGCTGGCATTAGCACGCAGCTAGCTTGATACACAGCAATCTAACTAACGTTAACAATACAGTAAACAATAAGACATTCAGAGAGGACATTTATATTAAATAAAAGCGTGTATGTATGTGAAATATGGCAGAAACCGGACCAATTACCCGAATATCAACAGATCTCCAATCATTTTGTTCACATCACGGAGACGCTTTACTTCCGCGTTCGGCCACGTAATCAGGTGACTGACCAATACCGTTTCTGTGTCCTCGGGCGCTTGTTTGCCCTGAAGTTAGACTGTAAGTTTGTTTCTGGTTTCTGGTTAAGGTTACGGTAAGGGGCATTGTCGGGGGCAGATGGGGGTTGTACATCAGCAAGTAAGTTGTGCCAGTAACGTCAATTTTTTAAACCATACTCGAGCAACGCGCGCCTCCTGTAGACAAAAAATAGGTAATAACGGGCAGAGGAAGATTTTCTTTTGTTCCTTTGGTTGCTTTAAAAAAAACCCAACTCTGTTACATATGAAATAACCATCATAATACTGTAATAACTACTTAAAAAAACTCCAATCCCAACATTTAATGATATAAACGTTGTTGAGACATCTATCAAACCTGTTAAGGCTATTATAGTAATGTCAAAATGGTGAATTATTTAGGCTAGTTAGGAATTTAACTGTCTTTAATTTCACTACACAGAATAAATTAAACAAACAAACAAGTAATTAGCCTAACAGGACTATAATCAAGAGCAATAATATCAACAAACAATATGACAGATCATCAGTATCTGTTGATGATTTTTAGGGACTTTTTGTAAGTAGCCTATACTTTCTTTATTTAAAATTGTTAAATTTACAAAGCTATCATTTAAAATTACAGTAGGCTACATATTTCACAGGAGGTTAAATTATTATTTCATGATAATTACAATGTGAATAAGATGATTCTTTTTTATTATATGTTGTTTTTTTAAAGTAGACCTAGTTATTACAGTATCATGATGGTGATTCATATGTAAGTTATAAAAAACCCCATAAATGTATAGAGCAGCTAGGAAAACTATATTTTACTTGTCTATGACAAATTCCTGAAGGTAAAAGCTCAAAATAATGGTGTAAATGGTGGGAAGGATCATTCAGATGGATGAGAAATATATTTTCACTCATCTCAAACAAGGACAAAGTTGACATTTTGGAGATGCTAGGTCTTTACATTGTGTGGCTTTGGAGACCCCTGGCGTTAGGCTATGTGGTTGCTCTGATTATTGTTCTCAAGAATGAAAAGCAAAAAAATAAAATAAAATAAAATTTAAAATAAACAAAGATCGTGTTGTTGTTTACTTATATAAGTTTGGAATTATTGCGCCTTTAATTGCAACACATCTGCATCATCTGAAGGATAAACAGCCGGTGACATCGCCAAATGCTGCCGAGCTGATTGGGATTAGAGTCGAGCATTTGGCTCTGAGTCAGCCTCGGTACAGGATCTGATCCGGATTGTAGGATTCTTTTTATTTTATTTTATGAGAGGGCGAATGAATCTGCGTCCGGAGTAGGCCTAAGCATGGACAGTTGTTTCGAGCTTTGTGTTTCCCGAATCTCTTAAAGCGTCTTGTGGTCCGGCGAAAATAATCAGTATGTCGATCATGAACGCAGGAGGGCGAGCCTTTTGTTTTGTGTTTTAAATTTCAAGCTGACACGTTAAAACCTCCCGAGCAGCTGGCACGGAGCGCACACCATGATGATGCAGAGGCTGTGGAGATGAGTATTAATAGGAGCGCTTGAGTGTCACAGTTCTTTCACTGTCGAGACCGGGAGGTTTGGTGGAGAGTCGGTGGACCGGGTTGGGGGCGCTTTCTGATCCAGACTGCGCAGGTTGGAGTAAAAAACAAACAAACACAGGGATTCAGTCTTTATCACACAGGCAACATGGAAGTGCTGGCTGCTCTTAATTTGGGCGAATTTGCCCAAATTTTCTCCAAACTGGGAATGTTTCCTGTGTTTGATCTCGCTTACTACATCGTGTCCATCCTCTACCTCAAGTATGAGCCAGGTGAGTGTGTTTTACGCGTTTCTGTTGTGCTATGTGAGCATTTGTTTTCTTTCTTCCACACACCTTTGCCTTAACATACATTTATTAACAACAATACAAAGTACAAATATATCTAGGATAACAATTTCTATCATGAGAATTCAATATTTAACGTCAAACCCTAAGTTAAAAACGTATAAGTTATCTGTCAGGTTATATTTGTATTATAAATTGAATGTGCATGTAATATAAAGTAGCCAATCCTACAGTTGTTTCTCTATGTTAAACCTATGCATTGCTGTAATGTCCCTATTGGGACTTTCTGTTTTCTGTATAGCAGCCTGTCCTTATAAAGCATGACCTGTTACATAAAATCTAGCAGGAGCACTTGCCGTTCTGCTTGCTTGGTGTGTGGGAATGCAGCAGTCTGACCTCGTTTACACTGAGGAAATCACTGGACTAGATTAAACCACTCTGCTTTGGGTAAATCCTGATATTTTCCAAGATTTAACTCCTTTGAGCAACAGAGTTTGAGCAGGATGAAACTCAAGAGAAGGCCTGTGCATACCAGCGATGTAGGCAATAAATAGATGATCCTGAAATAGATGCTGTCATTGGGTGTCTGAAGCCCCTCTGCTGCACACTTTTAGGCTGCAGTTGGGTGTGTTATTTAAAATAAGCATGGCCTCACTGAGGAGAAAGTTTATTCTGACACTAAAGTTCAGTCATTTTATTTTGATGTGAGTTGAACCCACTGTGAAGATAGTAGGAGCACCAAACGTCTCATAAATCAAAAGGTTTACACCTTCAAATGAACCTGTATGGTGTTCATCAAATCCTCCCAAAACAGCTTCTTTAACATAAATCATGTGCATTTTGTAGCTACACCCGTGGGACGTTGGAGCCATTCACTTGCAGTAAAGACAAAATAGTAGCTTCTTGTCAGATGAATACACTTTTGTGTGTCCACAATTTAATCATTTGACTTTTGGAAACTTGTTTCATATTGCATGAGCTATCTGAAGAAAGTCGATATAGTATAACAGCTATTATAGATATTATATGATTATTCTTTTGCTCTGAAATTCATATGACTAGAATCTACATATGTCAGCATTTAGGTTTATGAGGGTGAACTCAGTGTGTTTGGTGTCCTACCAAAGGAAATTAAATTAAGTAAAAAATGAATTCATTTTCTATTTGAAATGAACATTTCTATTAATCTGATCTAGTTTACAGTGTAAAAAGTAAACCTAAAGGGGAACTACACCGATTGAATGCATCACAGTATGTTCACAGTCCTTGGGGGGTACTGTGGCTTAGAGGGAGCTGCGCAAAGACTGATAAAGCATTGGTTGGGGCTGAAGATACAAGTTTGAATAAAAAAAAAAAAAAGCTGGGTGTGTGGAGTTAGAAAGAAGTGAGTTTGTTAGACCTCTGTAGCCCTCTATCATCTCTGTTTGAGGCTAATGGCACGGCTATTAGCTGGTACTAGTGTAACACACCTGAATCTTAAGTCTGAAATTTTGGTGGTCACGTTGCATTGTGGGTAATGTAGGTGGCATGTTTTGAGAAGGAAGAAGTATGTGTGGGAGTAAGAAAATATCTCTGTCCATCATGAGTCCAACAAAGTCAAAGGAGTGCAATGCTAAATCTGTGAAGAACTCTTTTAACAGTCCCATCTGCGGTCATTTGCTAATTTGAGTAAACACATGCATACAGTTATGCATAAACATAGTTATTACTGTCACTAAAGTTTAAAGTGTTTTTAAAAAAGCAGATGTATCACTATACTGGTACTCATATTTCTCATAGTAGTTGAGGTAAAGGGGAGTGGCTCACTTTCTTTTGAAACATTTGTTGTATTTTGTATTAAATGAAAAGAATAAGAGGTCAAAAACACTGAGAGAGAGCTTGTTTTTATCAGTATTCGTGTGTGTGTTTTGTGTTAGAATCCATTATTTCATCCAGACGAACTGTAACATGTGGCTACCAACGCTGATGTCACGACTGCAACTGTATACCTTTATCTTACTTCATATCTACAAAATATTTTACAGTCAAATGTTTCATGCTGCCAACATTTGCAAAATCATCTTACATTCCCCCCTCCCTACATGTGTCAGAGTGGAGAGTCCTAGATCACAGGACATGTTAGGAGAGCACATGAATGAGTTTTGGGGGTCAGCATGAGCAAGGGGGGGGGGCGACAAGTGTGGGGGTCATAGGTTAAGACAGGGCTGACAGTTGCAAGGCAGGAGAAGCAGTTGAGCAGAATATATTTATAGGTTGGTATTTCTCAGGATCAGGTTGCTTTCAAACTGCGCGCCAGTCGCACAACGACACCCTCACCCACCTGTTGTTGGAGATTTGTGCAGTGAAGCAGCCACGCTCTGTTCGCATCTCCGTTTACTGAGTGTCTCTAACAGTGTTTTAACAATGGCTTGTGTCTTTATTCGCATGAAAACTAATGTACAGTTGTACAATCATATCACACTTGTTTGTGTAGTTTGTCTCATGTGATCATGGTCACATTCATACAGATTTCATTCAACATTATAGAAATTATAGGAGGGAAAATTTGCCTTCTTACTTTTCGTCTTCACCAGGACACCTCTGCAGTGATGAAAAGTAACGAAGTACATTTATTCAAGTGCTGTTCTAATTCACATAAGTCTACTTATTTCCATTTTATGCTCTAGACTTTATACATCTATGAAATATTGTTCTTTATTACTATTATTACAAATTAATTTTACAGCTAGAGTTTCAGATTTTACATGAAAAACATGAACTCTTTATAGACACAAGTACCCAAAAGTATATAAAGTAGTTAATTATCTTAACCTCAACCAGCTCCAACAGTTAAGTATCACTTACATGAACATGTAATGTAATACAACACTGAGTGGCGTCATCTGCACAATGAATTCTTCTGATAAAAAAGACATTTTGTTGCTAATACATCTGCACTTTTAGTAATAAAGAGACAATTTTGAAAACAGTAATGGAGTTCTTTTGTGGTGTGGTAATGCGAGCTGGTGCTGACCAACAATCTGGAGAAATTTGGGGTTCAGTGTCTATGACGTGGGAACAGGAGGAGTTGGGGATCGAACCCCAACAGAAAGGTGGTCAAACTGTTGATTGCAGTTATAATAGAAGTGTTTTCATGTACAGTTTTAAGGGATACCTGCCAGCCAACAAGACACAAGCATTTTCCATGTCCAGTTTTAAGCTTGGATTTAAAGGCTTTAATAGAGTCTTTTGTCAGCAAGGTTATTCCAGAATAAAGGGGCAAATGACAAGGAAAGGTTAAAAAGGTATCCAGCTAACAGATGAGTAAATTTTGTTGAAAAGAAATCTTGGATTGTGTTTTATTGCTACTGATTAAGAGTGAGAAATAGGCCACAGAGAACTCTTGTAATTCACGTTACTTCCAGTTTTGATTTACGCCATTTGCTCTTGCAGGCCTGCCTTAAAGCATGTGTTTCTTCAGTAAACCAGGCTGTAGACAGACCTCTCTGACTGGTATAAATGTCATGGTATGATATATATATATTGATGTGGTATAAATGTTTGGCATATAATAAGTTAATTCCACATAGATATGCCAAATAATGTCTTTATAGCATGACAGATATACAAAATAGAATATTAAATTACCACATGTAAAGCAAACAAGCAGTTGATTCTGCTCACATCTACATACTTGACTCAGTCAACTCATAAATGACGGTAGGACTCCTCAGTCAATATTAGGTTATGATAATAGGGCGGATTATCAGGGCGTGAACTGAAATGGTCAACTGGGCGTGGACAAAGATACAGCACGTAGACAAGCAAGGGATCCACTGATAATGGCTTTTGAAGGTCATTACTAACAGTTTTGCTCTGTAGGTGCTTTTCAAAAAAACTCCATTGATTTCTAAAAAAACAAAGATTACCACATTCATTTGTTGAATGAGTTGAAAAGCTTCTTAAACAGGATTAAGACCATCAGGATTTAGCAGGCCATTATTGAGGAGGCTGTATATAGCATATATTATATATAATTATATAGTTCATTCAGTGCTTAATTTGCATAGATGTTTTTTTAAATTGATACATTTAGAAAACGTGATGAAATTAAAGGGATGTTTTGTTCTTTTGGCTAAACGGTTTAAAAATAAAACATCAAACACACAGACTGAAAATCCCTGTCAGCCACATGCTGTGATATTTTAATTTTGTGTATCAGAAACAGTCCCTGACAGCTCCTCCTCTGTGTTGCAGGCTCGGTGGAGGTTTCTCGCAGGAGTCCCGTGGCCTCCTGGCTCTGTGCCATGCTCTACTGCTTTGGTAGTTACATCCTGGCAGACATCATGCTTGGAAGCAGCCCTATCGACTATTTCCAACACAACAGCCACATCCTGCTGGCGTCATGTGTCTGGTGAGAAAATCCACAGAACGATCTTACCCTTCATCAGGGATGATATTCTGTGTTAAGGGCATATGTCGCTCACATGGGACCATGAGATCTCTTTTTAGATTCATATGTTTTATCAAACTTTTACGACTATACGTGTGATGAAATGATCCCCCACCAGCCACTGTTTGGAGGCCATTCTCTTCAAAACATTATTTGGCCAGTAATTTAGATATACTGTACATACCAAGTGTCCAGTGAACAAAATGTCTAAGTTTAGCCAAATCTAAAAATGATTTATATCACCAGCTTTATCTGCAGAATTGTTTGTTTTGTTTGTTTTAGATGTCACAATAAATGCATGGAATTTGGTTTGCATGGCTCAAAGCAATGCAGAAACACTGTCCCAGTCTCTCAGGATAATCTACAGACATCAGTGACACCAGTTTTCATTTGAAACTTTTCTGCCAAAAGCTTTTTTAAAAAAGAGAAAATGTCCAGGTATTGCTAGTATTATATATAGAGTATAGACTATACTCTTTACTATATATCTAGTATAGAGTATTGCTAAAGCCAAAGCAAGGTGAGTTTATAGCACTTAAAACATTGAGGCAATTCGAAATTCTAAGTGCTTTACATAAGGAGTAAGTAAATGGGAAAATCTAATCAAATAGTGTAAAATAAAAAGAGATAAAAAAATGGGATGTGAGGCATGGCAGCAGAAATCTCAATAGTGGATTTCTCAAAACCTTGGCAAACAAAACTTATCTTTATGACCAGACACCACGAAGGTGTTGTAGGAAAAGTTATTTTTTGTGTGATTCAATTTATAAATAAATGGCTGCATGTATGTGTATGTGTGATTTAATTTATTTTCACCACCCGCTTTCCTCACTCACAACATTCTTTCTCTGTATGTGTCAAATACAAACACAGGTACCTCATCTTTTACTGCCCACTGAACCTCTTCTATAAATGTGTGGCTTTCCTGCCTGTCAAGCTGGTGTTGGTCGCCCTGAAGGAAGTCGTCCGCACTCGAAAGATTGCTGCTGGCGTTCACCATGCCCACCACGCCTACCACCACGGCTTCTTCATCATGGTCATTGTTGGATACGTGAAAGGTGATTTCACAATGACTTGCTCCCACACACTGTTTTGCAAATGTGTTTAAATGGTACTACAGGACAGCTGGTGTCATAAACACAATTTAGTCATGTTTAATTTAGGCTTTTGAATTCTCACTAGAGCCAAAATCTGTTGTTTTACTCCATCACTTAATGATATATCTTGTTTTGTCTGACTAAACCTAAAATATTTAGTTTGCTATCAAATAAGACAGAGAAAAACAGTAAATCTTAACAATTTAGAAGCTGGAATTAGGGTTTTGTTTTGGGTATTTTTCCTTTGAAAAACGATTAATCGATTATCAAAATTGTGGCCTGATTTTTTTTTTGTCAGTCCACTAATTGATTAATTCACAAATTTATTCAGTCTTTAACGCTGCTCGGATAGCCTGCAGACGACAGCTGCATTGACAGCTGCATTCAGTGTGTGACAGAAAGCAACACCTTCAGGAAACTACACAGCTGCCACATTTACACATGAATGAATGGCACATGCGCATGCCAGCGTGCACATGTGCCATTCATTCATGTGCCATTCATTCATGTGTTCAAGTGAGACAGTGCCAGAGTTCACAGTAACGAGGTTACTCAGAGAAACCAGGTTACGCAGGTAACAGGAGAATTACTGATCAATAAGTTATAAATTAGATTAAAATAAACGAGATAACGAAATAAAGTTGAAGTCAGTTCAGCTTAGCTTGAATTAATTTTGTGTAAATGAAGAAGTAAAGAGAAACAAAATGTCTCCATGAACAATGTATATGTTTTAACCCAGAAATGTTTTTAAATGATGAAGGATCAAATTGGTGAAAAGTCATGTAGTGGTATTTCATCTGTATCTAGCATATACTATTTAAAATTGAACTTCAAAATCCGACCTTTGTTGTAAACCTAAACCACATATTTCCTGTAGTTTTTCACTGCAAAACTACTCAACAGTAGAGAGATGTCCACAGAAATCTCCATAAAGGGTTGTCCTTGTCTTGCCCGCTACTGGCTCTGCTGCAATAGATAGGCCCTGCAGGCGTCCATGTTGAAAATGGTGAAGAAAAGCTGCAGCCAGATAAGAGCAACCACACGAGACATAGACTTTTTTGTCTATTTTTATCTTTGCAGGGTCTGGAGTGGCTCTCATGTCCAATTTTGAGCAGCTTCTGCGTGGAGTGTGGAGGCCCGACACCAACGAGATCCTCAACATGTCATTGTAAGTCTGTGTTTTCTGCTGCTGCTGATGGGAACATAAAGTATACATACCCTCACCACCCCCTCAAGCATGCAGGTGTTTCCAACCAAAACTCAGAGACAAAACTAGGATTTAAAAGTTATTGTGACTAAAACTGGACACAAAACACTGCCAGCCTTTTTGGGAAACAGTAGCAGGTTTGTTTGCAGAATTTAAATTTTCTGACTTTGGCATCCCCTAGTGGTGGTATCAAAAAAGGCATATTGGCTAAATAACTGCAATGCACCCAACTTATACAATGTCACTGTCACTTGGATTGTTTCATCACATCACTGTATTTAAGATTTTATTGGTGGGGTTTTGAAGCCTATATTAATTTGTTCAACTACAGAGGAACGTTTGAGCTTAAATCGAAACATTCAACTAAACAGAAAATGCAAAAATAATAGTACAATTGTAGGTTTTCACACTCACAGCATGTGTCATAAAGATGTATGTTGGTCTGGAGAAGTTGCCACCTTTACTCCATAAATAATATGATGCTTTAAATAAGTGGTTACTTTTATCTTCCATCTCTGATTTTGATCTAATCCTCACCTCATTGTTATTTTGATCTCTGCTGCAGTCACATGTTTTACTGACAGTTTGTGTTTGGTCTCTGCAGCCCGACCAAAGCCAGTCTGTACGGAGCCATCCTTTTCACCCTGCAGGAGGCTCACTGGCTGCCGGTTGCCAAGAGCACCCTCATCCTCGTCTTCACCCTCTTCATGGCTACAAGCAAGGTAAGATCAGGGCTGCTGTGTGAAGGGTGGTTGACATTGTTGTTTTTCTGTTTTATTTTTAGCCCTGATTTTTGAATTCTGCACTGTGATGGCATTCTTCCAGTGTGGAAGGGTTAAGGGACGAAATGTTGCTTATTTTAGGACAGAAAAACATTGGTTTATAGTTGTCTTTAGTAATTATGTGCCATCTTTTGTGTATTATCTGTGCTTCTTTCATTAAAGATACCCTGTGTACTTTTTAACCATTGTTGGCTCTATGGAGCAGTGTGTTTATGAGTAGCTCCCTGTTTTGTTTGTATCTTGTGCTCTACTTTAACTTGATTCTACACTCTCGATTGCTGCCCACATCTCTTATTTGTTCAGTGATTCATACAGGTTTTGTTGACCAATCAGAGCTTTGTAGGCTGGAGTGTCATTGTCATCTTTCTGCATATAGCTACAATCATCAAAAAACAAAACAAAAAACCAAACAGCAAAAGTGACAGAAAAATGGCTACGAGCGTGGGTGAGATTATAGAATAACAACAACCCTAAAGCCTAAAGGTTGCTCCGACCTGTCTGTGATGACTACAGATGGCGTGGGTGGGGTGGATACATTATTTCCTACTGATTTTTTCGGGCAAAAACCAAAAAAAATGATAAAAGTGCTACATAAATGCAGCCATTTATTTATTTTATATATTTAAAAGAAATGAATCAGGACTTTGTTGTGCACATAAACATAACTGCATTTGTTCACAGAACTACTCCACAGGGCACCTTTAAAGGTGCATTCCAGACTTGTGAGAGACAAATTTAAAAATGGTCTAAAGCAAAGATATCCTGATTTTTTTGTCAATACAAGTAAAGTTCAAAACATTTTTAATCCTACAATTCCCATAATGTTGCCAAAATGCATTTTACAAACTCCATGTGCCCAGTTTATAACACAGCCACTCATGAAGCTCCCCTTTAGTTATCATAGAGTAATCTCCTCTAACTGACACCATCTTTCTTCAGGTGGTGATGACCGCCCGACACTCTCACGGCTCCCCCTTCGCCCTCATTGAGTCCTGGGTTTGCCACCTGCTGTTCGGCTCCCCTCTCAGCGGATCTGAGGAAGACCACCATCATGCTCCTGCCCCTGCTGTCCCATCTTCACCTCTCAAAACCAAGGAGGAGCTGAGCGAAGGTGCTCGCAAGAGGAAGGCCAAGAAAGCCGAATAGCATGCCACATGGCACGAGAGAAACTGCATCTGACTCCTCCTCCATCATGGCCTCCACATGATGGGGCTTCCCATTCCTTTCTAGGGAAAGTTTGATGTTTTACCAAATGAGACCCTTTCTATTAGAGCAACATGGTGCTTTCTGCATTTTACATAGCACAAGAACTCTGTAAATACCACGGCAAATGTTTCACACTTCAACCCAACCTGGACACTTTAAACCAATTTATTTATGTGTTTGTGAACATCTGCATCTGTGCTCAACACTGAGTGGTGGTGATCCACGTTCAGGAGCTGCATGGGCATTTTAGGATGGCCTCTGTTCCACATCAGCAGCTGTGTTACCGGGTGTCAGTGATTTACTTCAAGTCCACCCAACCTTATTTCAGTTCAAACTCTCGATCAGAAATTCAATGGAGTAAAGCATTATGTAAAAGAACACTGATGCTTTTTGCATTGAGATGAAGACAACTTCGTGTCTAAATAAAATCAAGAGAAACATTGTGTCGTGGTGGTTTTTAATTTCCATTTCTTATTGACATTTCTTATGTTTTTTTTTAACTTTACTTTTCACTTTACACTTTACAACACACTATACTTCTTCTAAACTGTTCAGAGTTGGCATGCAGATGCATGTTTTATTGTTTGTTTGTTTTCCAAAACTGTGACCACAGGGAGTTTATACCAGGGTGTAACAAGTATTCAGGTCCTTTATTAAACTGAAAGTACTATAGTTTCATAGTGTTGGATGTATTATAGGGGTTATTATTACTAATGCATTAATGTGATTTTAACTTCTTTATAAAGTGTTTGGATGTTTAATGTGCAACAACCTTAATCTTTTAATGACTTTAATGTCAATGAAGTCAATAATCCTTCAAAGCTTATTTGCAGTGCATTAAGGCCATGGTTTTAATTTAAACCAGTTTGCTTTATGAAATGTAGGTAAAAAATGAATCATGATTTGTATCATGAAACAGGAGAGAATAAGTCACTATTGCTGCACTAGAATATAAAAAAGTTTATTTTAAAGAAATTCTGGAAACTAGTTTGTGTTTGAAGAAGTAGAAATATTTCTACTACAAAGGCAGGTATTGTTCAAGGTCTACACAAAAATGACTAAAGTGAGAGGAAGATTTTCTCTGCATCATTGTTTTAGAAGTTATATGAAAAATAATTTGCAAAATAACTACAGCTGTCCGATAAATGTAGTGGAGTAAAAGTATAAAGTAGCATAAAACTGAGCTACTCAAGTAACATACAAGTACCTCAAAATTTTACTTAAGTAAAGTATTTCAGCAAATGTGCCTAGTTACATTCACCACCGGTTTATACCAGCTCTGTAAAATTCACCAGTATTCAGAATCACCTTTTATATTTTTAATAACTTGTAATTATGCTCTTTGTGAAGCCTCTTTCTGTTGTGTTGTAATGCAGTCAATCCTAACTGGGTTATAAATGCTCTCTTAAATTATTTTTGAGCAAAGAACAGTTTCTAACACTGTATATACAGTACATTGCACTTACTGTAAATATAAGTGTTAAAATTCCACAATTTAAGATGCATGTAAGACCACCGCTGGTCTTGTCAGGATTAGCCTACTATGTCTTCATAAACTCTCTGTTATGTAAGTCTGAGGCCGTTGGGAGGTGACAGTAAAGGTCTGAGGTGAGCCTGAGGTCACGTCCTGAGAAACCTGGAAGCCCCCTGCTGCGCTGACAAACTCTTGTAGCAGAAGCAATAAAGCATCACTAATGAACTTTGCAGGAGGTTGTTGCACTCAACCTTTAACCTTAACATTCCTTGCAGCAGCAGAGAAGATCAGGGAGGTAAAAGCTATATTGGTTATGTTCGCAGCACTGTTGGAGCTCACATACAGAAATCATCTTAGCAGTATAGAGAATGCAGTCCAAAGGTTTATTTTATCCTCCTTGGTGTCATGAAACTTATTGATACTCATGAGAAAACTGGATAATTTCTGTAGAAGATGCAAATGAATGACAACTTGAACTTAAATAGCTCAATATAATAACAATAATAACTAGAACTGCAAGCAGTTGTAAGCGGGGTCCAAGCCTCCCAGCGCAAGCCGACCCCCCTGGCCTGGCGCCTCTCCGCGGCTCGGGGGGCCCGTGGAGAATAAATGAGCAGAGTTATAAATGAAAGGGACTTGCGGTTATGGAGATGTCAAATGAATGTATGCCTATGGTAGTGTTATTTGATGTCCAATTAATAGCACCAGCTAGAGGCCGATTGACGCCAAATTTCACACAGGCCCTTGGGAGGGCGTGCCAGATAACGTCCTCGAGTTTGGTGTAGATCGGACATTGCAAATGTAAGATCTGACATGACATCCTGTTTTTAGCGTTTGCGCAAAAACGCATGTTAGCTTATAATTCCCTCTATAAACTTTGTTCGGCTTGGTCCAGAGATTATCCGTGCCAAGTTTGTTGTCGATCGGGCTTGCAGCTTCGGAGGAGTTAATTAAAATAGGTTTTCCAGTTTTCGAGATTTGGCAAAATGAAAAGGTCATCGCACAGAGGCGTGTCCTACACCATATGAATCAGCAGCATCCCCCAAACACATTAGACAAAGGTTTAAGAATGTGCGAGGTAGTGGTCCGTAGTTATGAGGCAAAATGTCCTTTGTTTGAAAATCCCATTGAAATGAATGGGATTGTCCGACGGTATTTCAGCTTCGATTATAGCGGCAACTTTTGAATTGCACCAATTTTTTCAGGTGTCATGAGGGCCCCATGGGGAACAATTGGCCCAAATTTGATATCAATCAGAGTTGTGGTTATGGAGATATAAAATGCATGTAAGTAAATGGGATTTTTTTTGCCATCTTTAATCTGCAATAACAGAGCCACCTATGGGTATATTTGGGTGAACTTTAGGGCCTGTAGTAAGGGGACCATGCTGAATAATTCGGCAGTGGTTATATGTCAATGTGACTTGTGTGGTTAGAGAGGAAGAATTTCTTCGGATTAAATAGCGCCACCTAGGGGTGAGTTGCACCAAATTTTGGACAGGCCCTCAGGGGGGCCTCCTACATTAATGCTCCAAATTTGGTGTCGATCGGCCATTCCAAAGTGAAAATATGACATCATTTCCTGTTAGTAGCATTTTTGGCAAACGTTTGCTAGCATATAATTGCGACAATTTTTGCGGGATCAAAATTTCCTCTACAAACTTTCATCAGTTTGGTCCAGAGATTATCCGCACCAAGTTTGGAGGAGTTAATTAAAATTCAGTTTTCGCAATGTAGCGAAAAAAAGTTTAGGCGGAAATGGGCGTGGCCTATACCACGAGATTCAGCTCGATCCCCCGAACACGTGAATATAAGGTTTTTGATATCCACCTTCGTGAGCGGGAGTTCCAAGCCCAAACGCGTTGACCTTGCTTATAGCGCCCCCTATAGGTAGAAGTGTGCAGATTTTTGCGCCTGAGGTACTCATGAGGCTGCGAACCTACCTTGTGAGTATGGCATCCCTAGCAGTTACCATCTAGGCCGCAGTATCAGTTAAGAAAAAAATATTAAAAATCCGAGCAATTACAATAGGGTTCCCAGCTCTGCTGGTACTGGGAACCGCGATGCCTTGCATTCACGGGTTCCCAGCCCACTCAGGCTTGGACCCCTAATAATAATAATATTATAAAACATTACACTAACTAAAATAATTAATGGTCTAAAATTTAGCATTTTAACTGACACATTTACATAAATGCTCTTGAAAGAGGCAAAATTTAAGCGCTCACAATTTAAAAGCACTGGGAGATTTGGTTCATTAAACTAAGTCTGCATCTCACACTAAAAGAAAGCAGTTAAAGAAATTGTTTGCTCAGGTAACTTTAGGTGTAGTAGGCAACATGCAGCAGCAACACAGCAGGCATGTTTTGTGGCAGGCATGATTGTTTTAAACTGTTGCTCAACACTTAAAAAAATACTCCACTGATTTAGCATTGCATTCCTCACATTGTCGGACTCAAGATAGATAAAGTCGATAGTCAAAATCAAAATCAATCTTGCACACATTCTTCTTCCTTGTCAAAACCTGCCGGCTACCTACAATGCAACTCGACCACCGGAAGTTCTGTGAGAGGTTTGAGTGTCTTATGCTAGTAGCGCCTAATGTTTCAAGCCACTAGTCTCAAGCAGAGATGAGGAGCAGGCTACAGAGGAGATATGCTCACTTCTTCCTAACTCCACACCACTTCACACCCGTATATTATAAATATAGTTTATTTTCAGACTTGGAGGATTCAGCCTCAACCGAATCTGACTCAAGTGACATCAGCAGAGGCAATTTATCAGACTTCATTCAGCTCCCTCTGGAGCTACAGGTTTTATAAAACTCTTTTCACACATGCAGTAGTACTCTTCAAACCTATAAACAGACTTTAATTTGTAAAATCTGAGTAATCATTGTGATCAGGACCAACCCCCTCCACCCCCCAAAAAAATGTCACTGCCAGGAATGTAACCACCATCTGCTGATCCCATCACTGAGACACACACACACACACACACACACACACACACACACACACACACACACACACACAATGCATTTGTAATCCTGAACCCATAAACATGGGTTTGTTGTATTTTCAGATTTTACGTAAAAACAGAGTTGTGGTTTTTCTGTGTTACTTCAGATGTCAGAGGCTACTTAAAGGAAACATTATACATTTGTGTACATTGTGTTTACTGATAATCAGCCAATGTAAAAATAATGGTTATTGTGCAATGCAGCATGTCAAACACAAAGTTTATAATGTGTATTAAAAGAGCGTGGACAAATCATAAATTGGTAACATATTAAAGCAAATACTTTCATTCCTTACTTGTGGAGTTATTGAATTTCTTCTCAGAACGGTCTTTCACCAATAACTTTAAACCTAATCGAGCGAGCAAGATTTTGAATGTGTATGGAAAATTCTCCTGCAGTAAAGGTATGAAGATGAAAATGAAAATTACCTTTTCATTAAACAAACAGTAAAATTATCCTGAACAAGTAAATTCAGACCTTTTGGTCAAATGTTAATACAGACCAAATTGTAGTTTCTTGTTTACCAACTAACCAGCTAATCAACCAGGCGATTTAAGAGCTTTGACAAAAAAAAAGTTGTCTCTTTGGTACAAAATTAAGGCCCAAAATGAAGTACTATCATTCAAACAGAAAGCAGAGAGGTTGATGCTATGTGCGAGGGTATAATGTGTTGTGTAATAAAACTCCTATTCCCATTTCTTGAACTTGTGAAATAGTGGTTTGCAGTGGAGCTTTAGAGGAAAGGACGGGGTTGATGCCAGGGAGGGGGAGGTGGAGCGGGTTTATAAAAACCAGAGCAAGGGAAGAAAAGACTGCTGGAACCAGGTTTGCAGGACCAGCACTGAGTCTGGCCTGTAGGCAGAAGAGAGAGACAGGGCGACGCTGCTGCACCTGAACAGTAACATTTTGTAGCTCAGGTTAAACCATGCTGTGGTATTTGGGGCTGACCTGTGCGCTCTGCATGGGAGGACACATTGCAGCAGGACAGAGAGGTGAGAAAAATATATTGTATTTTGGAGTCATTATTTTTGCTTTGGGCTACGCAGGTGGGAAACAACAAGTCAATAAAATAAAACTTGATTAATCTCTCTAATTAGATGTTTGCCAGAGAGGCATTGGTGGTTTAAATTTGCCACTATCATTCCCCAGTATTTACATGAACTTACATGAATTATGAAAAATTCTACATAAAAAAGTATGAATATAAAGTGTCGACCATTATTCAATCCAAAGTATAGTTTATTGATACTACATACATAGAATCTGTACAAATTGAGAAACAACATGAGTAAAATCTCTGAGATGGATGAAAAGAAAAATTAAACCAAGGTTTAATTAAATTTCTCTATTGTTTCATCAGTATTTTACAATATAAATGAGCAATTTGGGTTTTATTTCTGTGCAAAGCTTTTCTGAGTACACAACCTTCACTTGCACGCAGTGAGGGAAAACAATCACTGAGCACTCTGTTGTAGAAGTCTCCTTTAGCTTTCTATTAGCAGTGAGAGTGATTTACTTCCAGTATCTTTTCTTCCTGCTGTGGAATCCATTGAGTAAACAGAGTGGCTACTAATGGGAAGACCACATTTCCTGCACTTCACACTCAGGAGATTTCTGCCCTTGCACGGCTCCTCTGGGGGAAGATGTGGGGGTCTAAGTGATTTGGAGGGGCTGAGGGGAAGGGGGGTGGTGGACGAGTGTTTGGGTCAATTAGTAGATTTAAAATCACAATTAGTAATCTGACCACACCTGAAAATCCCAGACTATTCCATATTGATTCGAGATAAGCTTAATGAATCTGTCATCGAGAGAATAACTGTTTTTTCTTTTCAGTGTGAATGAAGTGAAAAAGTTAGTGGCTAACAGATATTTTTATAATGAAAATAATGTGAAAAGGATAGCTGCAGATCCCCTTTATGGAGCTTTATAGTAACTTTCAGCTTATTGTTTAGCTGTCTGCCCTGCAACTTTAGTGTTTTGGCTCATTCTCACCACTCCCAGTGTGTCATTTTTGGACACAGCAGGCAGCCAAAAAGCTGTAAAAACTCACTGTACACTACCTGCTCACCACCAAACAGCAGACAGACAGTTAGCATCTAGCTTCTGAACATAGTGGAGCATTTAACGACTAAAGAGCCAGATATGCCAGATCCCTGGTATGTCAATGTTGTGTTCACAACTCTATTGCAGATTTAAAGTGAACTTTGTTGAATTTTTGTATTTTATTTGTTTAAGTCAACACCACCCGATTATAAGACAACCAGGCCTTGTGAACAAGCCACATTAATTCACAAGTAACTTATCTTTGGAGAGAGCTTCGGTAACCTGCCATCCACCTTTTTATGCTGTTTGTAGTTCATCTCATTGTCTCCTAGTTAATCACACAGCAGTTCTTTAATCAGAGGGCATTTGGTGCTACTCAAGAGTCAGGTGAACTACTCTTTTTGTATAAGGCTCACCATCATCATTTTCATCTCTGACAGATGTACAGTCGCACAAAGGAAATTTTCTATTTCTATTAACTGTGACACATTCATTGTTGGATTGTAGGAAAGTTTGAAAGAGGACAATTTGCACTGAAAATCCAGATTATATTCAAACCTGGAACACTTACTGGATTTCACTGTAGAAACACAAATGCCTGCAGAGTTAAGTTCCTGTAAGCACACAAGCTTGAAAAATGTATCATCCAGAAAATCTTCCATATCATTCCATATCTGGAAAATCTATTTTGCAGCTGCAATCAAAACATCTCTGACTCCAGAGAATGCGTGGGCCGTGGATACAAATGAGGCCTGTGGTGGCTGAGGAACGTCAGGAATTAGACTTTGGTATTTGACAGGTAGTAGATCACGTTGTACAGGAGGCCATGTGTGTTGTGTAGTACATGTCCATTTTTGCTTGTGGTCACAGATGTTCAGCCATCAGGAAGACTGATGAGCTCTATGCAAAGACATGGAACAAAACTTTACATCAGTTTGTTTTGTGTTTGAACAAAACCGGTTGACGTGTTTATTTATAGACGTGCCTACCGGTATGCACATTGTGCACACACACACACACACACACACACACGCACGCATAATTTTAAGGTACTTTTAATTTACTTGAGTGTTTCCATTTTCTGCTACTCAATACTTCTACTCCACTACAATTCAGAGGCAAATATTGTACTTTCTACTCCTTTGACTACCTTTGTGAGAGCCAACCCCAAATTCACTCTTGTTTTGGAACGAGTTTTGTCCACTTGGTGTTTCACCTCACTATACGTGTGGGGGTTTTTGGCGCTGTGCCAGCTATTTTCATAGCTTCCTCACACCCTGCACACTGTTCTTGGCTGGAAGCTACACACCCTCACCCAAATGTTGCTGTCCAGAAAAGTACCGAACACAGCATAATAATATCACCAGTTTACTATTTATCTTCATAGTAAAATTCATAGTAAGCCAACTTTACATGTAGAAGATCAAGTACACAATTTTATTCTCACTGTGGACAACATAGCACAGTTCAACAAACTAGTAGATCTCCCCCTGTGGTTAAGTAAGAGCACCATAACACGTAGTGGGAATTATCGCATGTAGTGCATGATAGACTGTATGACTGCTAATGGCTGATACTCGCACATTAGTTTCTAGTATGGGTAAGTAATACCAGAGACGTTTTATAGAAGAATTTGGTAATACACCTGCCAGTATTAGACGACCAATAGTTTTGTTGTAGCCAGATACCTAATAGCAAACAATTCAATGTTGTGATGTTAACACAGTATATCCTTAGCTAACACTCAGATACAGCTGGTCAGTTTCTGGTTGCCATGGTAATTAATAACGTCTAACTATTAACCACACCCCCATTCTCTGTTTGAGAAAGAACATTAACCAAAAACTTTCTGGAGGGGATCTTTAAGAAAAAAATATTGAAGTACTTCTCCCACCACTGGTTGATGGTAACATTACTAATAAGCTTCAATTAAAAAAGACAACAAAACTTAAGAATTAGGGTTTGTTAGTAAAGTGTCAAGACAAAAACATTCCTAAGAATAATATAGTAACGTAATATACCGTAAATAAAAGTATAACCCTCTGCACATTATGCATTTGTAACTGTCTCAGAGTTCACAGTTGAAAATCAAGTTGTATATGTGTGGACTCGTTCACTAGGAGGGTAAATCAGCTGGTTATAATACCTGTGATTGTATCATGTATCTTTTGATTTTTTTGCCCCTTTTTAGATGGAGAAATTATCAGTCAGATTAAAATGACGAACCTTGCACTGGCAGAGATTAAAGAGCTTCTGAAACAACAGGTGAAGAACACTTTAAACATTTAGACAGCAAGAATTATGTTAATATATATCTATTCATAATGTTGATGATCTACATTTTGTGTATCTAAACACAATGCATATGTCTCTGTGCTTAGGAGCTCATGTGTGTTTGTGTTTGCCAGTAAAGATGAGACTGAAACAGAAAGTTAAACTCATAACCAATCATTTTCCAATAAAATCAAATGCATTTGAAATATGAAGAGATAAAACAGGATGTTATGGATTTTGTACAATTTACACTATCCCAGAATGCCTTACTGACAACATAAACTCAAAAGTTATCTTAATTAATCAATTTGAATTAAAAAATGATGATGCCTTTTTTATAAACCTGGACGGCTGATTAGATTGAGTTTGATAGACTCTAAATAAACCAAAAATCAACTTAATGTTGATTGATTGAATTTTCCAGATAAAAGAGATAGTATTCCTGAAGAACACTGTGATGGAGTGTGAAGCCTGTGGTGAGTTAACCAGCTGAACAGACACTCTTATCAGTACTTACAACACAAGCATTTTTCTAATTTAACAATGTTTTCACACTTGATTGTCAGTTTTTCAAAGGAATTTGAAGCTTTGGTTGTCGGCCAGATGAATCTATGCTGACGGCTAACAACAGCACAATATTTCTATATGTTGATGGGCGTTCCATATCATTATTTAAAGCTAAAATACTACAGAATCCGTCACAACAATTTGGATGAGATGACATAAATCAGCATGTGAAGACATTTCAATGTGTTGAAACAGAGGATAGTTGACCTTCTGTCTCCTCAGGGATGGGAGGAATGCAGCCTCGTCCCTCCTGTGTGCCCAATCCCTGCCACCCTGGGGTGAAGTGTAAGGAGACACCTCAGGGTATTAAGTGCGGACCCTGTCCTGAAGGCATGGAGGGTAACGGTACCCACTGCACTGATGTGGACGAGGTACGCAGAGATATGATATGATAAAATAAAACATAATACAACACATCCATGTGATATTATTGCAGCAGGTTGTCAGTGGCGGAAGAAGTATTCGGATCTTAAGTGAAAGTAGCAATACCACAGTGTGAAAAAACTCCACAACAAGTAAATACATTCAATTGTCATTCTTTCTGACAGGGTTTAACTATTATATATGACATTTTGGATTAATATTACTTCTGCATTCGTGTGTATGTTACATTGTACACATATCTGTTTAAGTTTTAGCTAATTACTTTAAATACTGTTGGATAGTTTAATCTAAAGCAGAGCGTTCAATAAGAATGTAAAAAGCTGCAGAGTTCCTGTATATGTTGATTCTCATTGGGATCAATAGTACAAGTGACTCTTCAACATTAGAAGAAGTCACTTCAATTCGATTATCAACAATTCACCTATGGCCCACCCAGGGGTGTCTACAAAACTGTTAGGATAGGAGAGTTACATCTCTTTCATTCTTATTGGTTCTTGTACTTTAGTGACTTCATGTAATTACTAGCATAACTCCAGTTGTCAGGTACAACTCCAAGAGATTTTTAATCAGCCTGAATGAGTGAAAACACCTGTGTAGGTATACATGGTCTTTAATTTCAAAACTAATAAAATTGTCATTAATGAACTTCCATATGTTGAACTCAAGATCAAAACCCATTTGAAAGTAATGGTCTTAGTGAACTGGTGTAATAGAACCAGCTTTGGACTCCTGATGAATGTCTTGATGTGTGTTCTCTTGCTCTTGGCAGTGTACTGTGATGCCGTGTCACATGGGTGTGCGCTGCATAAACACCTCCCCGGGTTTCCGCTGTGGTTCCTGTCCTGCTGGATACACTGGCCCCCAGGTCCAGGGCGTCGGCCTCGCATACGCCACCGCCAACAAACAGGTCAGCGTCACTGAACACACAGATACAAACAAACACAGTTCATGTGGTGAAAAGTAACTAAGTACATTTACTCAAGTACTGTACTTAAGTACAATTTTGAGATACTTTACTTGAGTATTTTCATTTTATGCTACATTATTTCTACTCCACTAAAACTGAGAGGACAATATTATACTTTTTGCTAACTTTCATAATCAACAAACAAATAATGATGTATTATTACATATTAAGATAAGACCTTGTTGAGGAAATTCAACAAGGTCTTATAAGACAATAAGATGTAATTCTGATACTAATCAGTCTTTCGATTTTTTATATAATACTGATATAACAATGTTGTTAGTCACCTACAGTTTTTGTTAAGCAACCTATGTAATTAAACATTTAAAAAGAGCTGCGAAAAATGTCAAGATGCTGAATTAATTAAAATAACTTCTACTCTTTTTAAGATTGTTTTTGACAAAACCTGTAGAAGAAACTCCCCTCTGCACCTCAACATGTTTATCTTTGCTTCTCACCACCTCTTTCCTACATTTATCTGAAACACCCCCTCACTCTCTTTTGCACATACAGTGTGTCAAACAGCGTGCACTGGTCTGTTTCAGCACCACATGAATCCTAAATACATCGGCTGTGTCTTAACTCTGCTGCACTTCATTTTTTTCCTGCCTCTTATTCCAGTCTTGATCCACTGAAGTCTTTGGATGTTCTTTCTGCCTGTTTTTCCTATCAAGGTGTGCAAAGATATCAATGAGTGCGAAGGCTCCAACAACGGAGGATGTGTGGTGAACTCTGTCTGCATGAACACACCTGTGAGTGAAAACACCAGGAGTTTACAATAAATCACTGTCTGTCACATTTGAGGGAAATCTGTGGCTCATATACAGAAGTGACCCATAGCTCATAAACCCGTAAGAAAAAACGTAAGGTTGAAAATACAAATTCACCAGAGGGAAGGACAATTCTCAGTGAGCTCTCAGGAAAAAGTGTAAAGTAACAAAAACATGACTTAAAGCAAGACTGTGTAACTTATAAAAGAAAAAATAACACAATACTTCTCTTACGAAAGAAAAGCTGAATTCATAAACAAGACAAGGCACTCAATTTAACACATGCAGATTTTTTGTTACTATAGCCTCACTTGGTCTGGTATGACCAGTAGCTTATGATGGATAATGTTAGCAAATTTTAGATAGATATTTCTGACACAAGTTAGATGGCTAAATTTATGACGTGTTTACTTACAATACATTTTAGCATTAACTATAATCATTTCAGGTTACAGTACCGTTTAAGGCCTCTTTAAACTGTGTAATAACAGCAATTTGCAGGTTAATTGCATGTCGCAATTGGTCGCAATCTGTGTCAAGCTTCGCGTTATCACTTTTGATTTGCTATAAAAATGTAGCAAGCAGGGATATCATCAACTCGTATCATCCATCCATGCCGCTCTGTGATGTTGCAGCAAACAAAAACACAGGCTTCAACTTTTTTTGATTGCCTCCATATTTTTGTTTGTTTTTTTTAACTGAAAATTGGAAATGGAGCTTACAATTTAACATTGGCCACTGTAGACTGTGTCAGTTAATGTCATATTCTGATTAGTTGCTTTGTTGTAGTTCTCACACTGTCAGAATTCTTATGCTGTGTTTTGTGTCTCATACTACAAAGAAGAACAACATGTTTGGGACAAACTCAGTTTGTTAGGAGCATAACTGTGGTAAAATAAATATAACCCAGTATAACCCGTGTAAAATACAAGATAGTGCATAGTTTATCCCTCTTGCTGCTTTGTGTATTCTTTAGAAGTTCTCTAACAACAATACTAATGTGTACTACTCTGTGTCACAAGGGCTCGTTCAGGTGTGGACCGTGTAAGACGGGCTATGTTGGGGATCAGCGACGAGGCTGTAAGCCTGAGAGAGCATGTGGGAATGGCCAACCCAACCCATGCCACGCCAGCGCAGAGTGCATTGTCCATCGAGAGGGTAAAATCGAGTGTCAGGTGAATCAAATTTCCACTTCTCGTTCTGAGCTCATATTTCTCAGAGCAAAAGTGGGCAGTTTCATACTTTTGATGTAAGAGTGAGGATTTACATGTTTTATGATTGCAAAGTGTAAAGATCTTCAATTTTGATTCACTAGTTTCTCTTTGCTGACTACACTTCCCAACAATGACAATGAAAGTGGACTTGGGCTAATGGGAAGCTGACATGGTTGAGATTTTTTTGTGCACTTTTCCCATGTGAATAACACAATACACTCTGTCTTTGACCCTTCACAATAATTTGCTTGTGTAAAATCTAGAATATACACTTAAAATAGATGTAGCAGTAAATTAAGTTCTTCTAAATGAGACAGGCAGGTACAGCTTTAAATATAGAAGTTATATTGTTTCGAACAAAGTTGCTTGTGCCAGATATTGTGAAATCAAAGGTCTGTTGAGCACTTAGGGTCATTTGGTAAGTTATACAGTACACAACAGGACCATTGAAAAGAGTCTGTGCAGTATATAAAACATTATCTGTCCTCAGTGTGGGGTCGGATGGGCTGGAAACGGCTATCTCTGCGGGGCTGACATTGACATAGATGGTTTCCCCGATGAGAAACTGGACTGTCCTGAGAGGAACTGTATCAAGGTGAGTCTCCTTTATGTCCACGAGAAAGCTTTAAAAACTGGGGAGACAAAAACATTGGTCATTAGCACAAGCGATCACAATTTAGTCATCTGCACTGAATAAAATATTTACAGGCATATAAAGTATATACTGTATATAAAGTTAGATTTTGTTGACATGCCGGTAAAGGTACTGACTGAAGCCATTTGTAAGGCAACAACATGGAAACAACCACCGTGTGACCACCATGGGACACCAAAATTCTAAACTAAAACTAACTAGTTTTAGCATTTCTTGAATTCAAACATGTTCTCCATAGTAGGAGAAACTGATTCAAAACACTGTATATCTAACACTGTTGCAAACTCCAAAAAATTGGAGCTGATTGAAGTTTTCCCTCTTGTTGTCTACTTTAATAGTGAGAGTTTTGCTTTCCAGGATAATTGTCTCACTGTGCCCAATTCTGGTCAAGAAGATGCTGACAGTGATGGAATTGGAGACGCCTGTGATGAGGACGCAGATGGTGACGGGATCCTCAACACACAAGTTTGTACATAAAAGACAGTAACAGGATAGTAAAATGATTTAAAGGACATCAAAATTAAAGAACAGTATGTGTACACATATGTTTTTTTATTCTTACAGAGACTAAAACAGCTTCTTTACAGGATAACTGTGTGTTGGTGCCTAACGTAGACCAGAGGAACATTGACGAGGATGATTTTGGCGATGCCTGTGACAACTGCCGCGCTGTCAAAAACAATGACCAAAAAGACACAGATGTGGACAAATTTGGTGATGAATGTGATGAAGACATTGATGGAGATGGTTAGTATTCTTTTTTTTGTGCACACTGTCCCTTCAGGATTTGTTATAGTACTGATGTTTTGAGTTATGAACAGCAGGTGGCAGCTAATCAAAAGTGGATTAAAACGTAAATTTAAAGCTGCAAATTTGGATTAATTGTACTAGTATTTTTATCAGATAGGGCTATAATGTGAGTTATGATTCTTTGACACACACAGTAAATACAGCTTAATTAAGTCTGTATCCCAAAAAACAGACAGAGATGGAGTTTTAAGGCAAGAGCAACCTTTCCCTCATACCCACTTTAATCTCAGGAATCCTCAATCACCTGGATAACTGCAAAAGGGTTCCCAACGCTGACCAGAAAGATCGTGATGGCGACAAAGTGGGAGATGCCTGCGACAGCTGTCCTTATATTCCAAACCCTGACCAGGTCAGAAAGCTCTTTTACAAACATCTCATCAAACATCAACACCTGCTTCTGTAAGCTAAAAATGTCACCTCTGAAGATGTATTTGAGTTAATTTGATTGGTAAGTACATACAGGTTTAACTATGGACAAAAAGCACAAGAATGTATATGGAAGAAATAGGATATGGAACGTTGCAAATGGGTGTGGTTGCAACAGTGAAATCTTAAGCAAAGACAAATTATGGCAGGGTAATAAAACAATAGTGATAATTATCGTGATATAATTTTTGTCAATAACAATATAACTACTGGTCAATAAATGTCCAATATATATTTGATTTACTTAATTTGAATCACAAACAAATTAGCTCTTAATTTTTCTATTTTATTTTGTTGAAGAAAGGGGACTGAAGAAAGATTTTTCTTAATTTTCTCATGCATGTTTGATTTGGCATTTATCGTGATATTTATTGATGTCAAATTATATGAAATGTTTATCGTGATATCATTTTTGGCCTTATCGTCCAGCCCGAAGATGAATTAAAATCAGAAAAATCTTTAAAATATGAAATATTCATGACTTAATAAACAATCATAATAAAGATGCTGCTTCACCTAAACTGTGTAGGTGTGGTTTGACACACAGTGGCCTTGTAACATAACAAACAAACAACTCCAGATTTTGATTAAATAACAAATTTGCAAAAAATGACATCACCTTCTTCAGCAGTGCCCACCAAAAAACAGACAGAAATCTCTGTTGTAACTTTGCCAAAAGGGCCTTTAAGAGAACACTGACCAATGACATCTGCACAAAAAGCAAAAAACAACTTAACAGCAGCGAAAATCTGTGATGGTTTAGCTCCTCACCTCACCTTGCTGCAGTGATGTGGAAGTGTACAAGGTGTGTCACGCAGACTTAGTTCAATTTCATACTAATAATAATTGATTTCATCTTTCTCAGACGGACGTGGACAACGACTTGATTGGAGACCCATGTGACACTAACAAGGACAGGTATTGTGTGACTTTATCAATCACATCACACACGTTAACTTTTATTGATCTGTGTATGGAGTGTATTGGAGGAGACCAGAATCTGCATGTGCCAGTAAAAGTCTCTCTTGTCCAGCGATGGTGACGGTCACCAAGACTCCCGGGACAACTGTCCAGCCGTCATCAACAGCTCCCAGCTGGACACCGACAAGGATGGCCAGGGAGACGAGTGTGATGATGACGATGATAATGACGGCATCCCAGACCTGCTGCCACCTGGTCCAGATAACTGCCGTCTGATCCCCAACCCCCTGCAGGAGGACTCCAACGGTCAGTAATGCCCCTGACTTACAGTAGCATAATTTTAATTTATCTCACGTCTAATGGAATAAACAAATAAAGAAAATGTTTTGCTCTTCAGTCCATGACACTGTATCTTTTCAGGTGATGGTGTGGGTAATGTATGCGAGAAGGATTTCGACAATGACACTATCATCGACACCATCGACGTTTGTCCAGAAAACGCCGAGGTCACCCTCACCGACTTCAGAGAGTACCAGACGGTCGTTTTAGATCCGGAGGGAGATGCACAGATCGACCCCAACTGGGTGGTGCTGAACCAGGTTGAGCGTTTTTTCCTGTCTTGTTTATATTTTTTTTTGTGTCCCAAAATACTGAACATCTTCTTATTTCGATGAACTTTCACTTAAATCCACTCTTTTTTTGGTGCAGGGAAGAGAGATTGTCCAGACTATGAACAGTGATCCTGGATTGGCTGTTGGTAAGAGCATTGCTATCTAAAGCAACAGTTCAAACATTTTGAGAAACTGAGTTAAATAGTAAGTAGGATACAGCTAGGTTAGAGCGGTGGTGTCCCCAACCACAAACCCTCAGTGGGATAAGTGCTGGATACAAAAAAACGCTAAAAGATGAGAGGTTGATGTTTACATTGTATATTTTTTGTGATCTATTGATTGGAAGTTTGTGCAAGACTTCTGTGAATTATACTGGTGTGTTTTTTTTAGCCTTTTCACATGGAATGACACACATGAACGTGATTATGTCGTCACTGGACCTTTTGCTATGTATATTTTCCTCATTTCCTTCCAGTGGGTATTTAGGATGAACCTGTAATTGGTAGAAACTTCACTAATAAAATTTAAAGGGAGGTTTAAGACTGATACCACTCTGGAAAGAAGGGTAAACAGCTAGCCTGGGTCTGACCGAAGGTAACGAAATCCTAAAATTAGCACCTCTTAAAGCTGACAGTGAACATGTCTGCTAACTATTTCCCCTTGTTTACAGTCTTTATGCTAAGCTAAGCTAAGCTAATCTGGTGGATGTAGCTTCATGTTTAGCGCACAGACATGAGAGTGTTATTTAGCTTTTCATCTGATGCTCAGCAAGAAAGCGAACAGGTGTATTCCTCAAAATGTCTAACTATTTAAAATAAAGTGATTTACAGTATCCTGAGTCCACCCTTTATTTAAATAGGTGCATCCCTTTAAGTTCTGTAACTGAAATGTATGGTAGGCCTGTATGCTACAACATTGTGCAATGTTAGTAGACTGAACTAAGTTCTGAACGTTGTCAATTACAGGGAGATACTCTATACTTGTACTAAATTAGAAGTAAAGTACACATGGTTTTAGTTAAATTACAAATGCAGGAAAAAAAGATCATCAGGCTATGGGTCAAAAAATTTAGCTTTGGAGTTCTTTTATAAGCAACATATGTTCTGGATTTCCATGTAAAGACATTTTCTAACCATTTCCCACTCACTCAGACCAAAAACACAAAATATAAAGTGAGGCAAATTTTCATGACGTTCAAAGATTGCATAAATTCCGCATTGTACTTTAAAACAGCACTTTGTTTGTCTTATGAGACACCCAGTGACACCTGTGTGCAACGATGTCTCCACCAGGCTACACAGCTTTCAGCGGCGTGGATTTTGAAGGGACGTTTCATGTAAACACGGTAACGGACGACGACTACGCAGGATTTATCTTCGGGTACCAGGACAGCTCCAGTTTCTACGTGGTGATGTGGAAGCAGGTGGAACAGATCTACTGGCAGGCAAACCCATTCAGAGCCGTGGCAGAACCAGGCATCCAACTGAAGGTGACCGGAAAAAACCAATGCTAAGATAAAGGCCTATTCAAATTTTAGATTGTTAGCTGATGTCCTCCTGTGGATTGCGTAGTACTGTTATACTCAGGGACACCTTTAATTTAACTCTTTAACTGATGTATAATTAGGTTTTATTATGTACTTTAATTGCAAACATGACTGTTGCAGAAATTTAACAGTTTAACAGCACTTGAGTTATAAGAAATACCAGTACCACTTTCTGATAAGGCACCCCACTATAAAGGGTTTATAAGCTGTAATAAATAATTGATTAATGTAAATGTATAGAGCAGTTGTAAGCCATTAATAAGAATAGATTTTGGGTTGCCAAGTTGTGGAAAAACCTCATCCAGCATGAATTTGCTTTTCTTTGTAGCCCTCTCTAATTCACTAGGAGATCCTCTAATGGACTGTTCAATCACTTGCCTTCTGGAAAAGTGCTGCAAAAGTCACTCACCTGCCATTATAAATCTTAATAAACCATTAAAAAATGTTCTCACACTAATCCATCAAGTCTGCAGTTGTACATGTTAAAGAACTGTTTATAAATAGAGGGTCATCCAGATTGGTTAATTAATAAAAGAGCTAAAAAGAAAAGCAGGCTGAAGGATGTTTTTTTTCACAACTTGGCAACCAAAATGTTGTTCTTATTAACAGCTTATAACTGATCCATAAAGCAGTAATAAATTATTTATGAGCGATTAATTACACAAACTTACAAGAGTTGCCATGCTATGCTAACTGATTTACTGCAATCGAAGGACGTTTCAAAGAGAGATGCTTCTTGTCATTTGTGGTGTTGAAAAGGCTGTGAAGTCGACCACGGGTCCGGGTGAAAATCTGAGGAACGCTCTGTGGCACACAGGCGACACAAGTGACCAGGTCAAACTCCTGTGGAAAGATGCTCGCAATGTTGGCTGGAAGGACAAGACTTCTTACCGCTGGTTCCTCCAACACCGACCTGCCGACGGATACATCAGGTACTGACTGAGTTAAAGGAATACTTTCCCTATTTAGGGAAAAAAAGTACTTGTCTGAGGTAGTTACATGAGAAATATATTTATCAATTCAACTGTGTGCATTTAGATGGGTCCGTGACATGTTTAGTGGAGCTAGCACAAATACTGGAAGTTGGGAGAAACCTCTACCAAAAGAGAAAAAATAAACCTAGCTGCCCCTAACTAGTCTTGCTTAAGAATTAACTCCCACAAATCCTGAATCCATTCGTTCCTGTGGTGTTTGTTACCTGTGGTCTGTTGGTGTGCAGAGTTCGCTTCTACGAGGGTCCTCAGATGGTGGCGGACACAGGTGTTATCATTGACGCCACAATGAGAGGAGGTAGACTTGGAGTCTTCTGCTTCTCCCAGGAGAACATCATCTGGGCCAACCTGCGTTATCGCTGCAACGGTGAGTCAAGTGTCCGATTCTGTGTCCAGAAAGTGCTCTTCATTCCTTCAACAATTCATTTTCTGACCTTTGTCACAATTACATTGGCATTTGGGTTTGCATATTTTAATGACTATTAAAATAATTAATTAATGAATTTTAATGATTATTAGTCTATTTTGATAGAAGTTTTTTTTTTTTTTTTTTTTTACAAATGAACAATATTTAAGGGACATCACATTTAGTTGTTACAGTGCTACATAGTTGAAAAAAGCTCAACATGAAGTTAACATACATAAAAAGATTAAAGAAGGCATAGCCAGCATGTAAACATAAAAAACTGAATGAGCATTCTGATCAATTTAGGTGTGTTGTGTGAAATTATTATTTTTCCTTCGTTTGCTCTAACAGTTCTTTCTCTTCCTGTGGTTTCTCTCTCCAGACACTCTTCCCGAAGACTTTGACACCTACAGAGCCCAGCAGGTCCAGCTGGCGGTCTGATGACAACAAAAGACCACTGGGGAATTCTGGGAGGACTTTCCAAAGTAGAACTGGCGTCAGAACATCAGCGCTTTGGAAACATTTATAAAAAGTCAACCACAAGAGTCTGAAATATTTTATACATAAAAGCTGATCGCTATGTTTTTAACTCCTGCAAGAAGAGGAAACAGCAGTAAAATTACATATATATAATAATTATAATAATAATGTAATGTTTAGTTGTTACTGAACTAAAATTTCTTTCATAAATAATTATAAAAATAATCATTTGTACTTTTGAAAGAGAAACTATTGTAAAGATTTAACTGTCATGAATAAATGTGAATTTTGGTGTAATGTTCAGTATCTGGATGAATTTAATATGTCTGCACAGCTGTGCCTATTCAAAAAATACTTATTCTAGTCTTTAACCAATAATCATAGAATATTTGCTTATCAGCTATTATTTTTTAATTTGCTAACATGTCAGATGGCTTCAAGTCCGGAGATGTCTTCTAAGCTTAAAAAAAAAAAGACTGACAATAATATATTTTTGGGTCTTTAAATATCCAGAAAGGTGCTCTTTAAATTAAATGTATTAATGGTAAAGCCCTATCATATAATAGCTACACTGAAAAAAGGTAATGCATTTGGTTTTAAGTAACAGACATGACTTTTTCCCAACTCAACAGCTTTTAGTGGAAATCAACATTCTGAACATTTCACAAGCATGCACATATCCAAAATAATCTTTTAAATTTTGCATTTGGAAATACAGATTACAAAATAGAAACGATAGCAAAGACAATATACAACAGGATTTGAAAACACCATGCATGTCCACAGCAACACGCTGCAGTGTTTTAAAATGACATCGGACAGTTTTTTTTTTAAACCGGCATATTCTGCAAATCAAGACTATGTGCAGAGAAGAATCTGTCTTCCACATTCAATTTAATTGACATTTTTTTCTTTCATCTTATAAACAAATGGTCACATAAGGAGAATCACATGGCAACAAATAAATAGCTACAGATCTTTTACTACGACTTACAGGGCAACAGTGATATAATGCTATTCTCACTATAAGCTTTAGGTGGAACTTAAACTGTTTTTCCAGAGAGAGCTGTAGAGTCATTTAGAAAACCCCGGGTTATTAAAGGGAGATTTTATTCAGACCTAAAACACTCTAGGAACAAGCAGTAAAGACCGAGCAGCAACTCTTTCCTTTCATCCTGGGACTCACGAGACGCATTGAAACGAAGGACTCCTGTTTGAGCTGAACTCATCTGCTTAATCAGTTTGGGACAAGATTTAGATTCACTGCTTTTTCACCCAACATAAACACGGGCTGTGCAATCAAGCAATGCACGTTAGTAGTGGCTCAGACTTAAACAAGCAGATAAGTCAAAACAAAATACTTTACAACGCGTAGAAAATATACTTTGAGGTGATTTGTTCATCTTATCTGTCAGGAAAATGGACTTCCAGCTTTCGTTCGTCGCCTGAAAAGTTTGCTTTCCACATGTTAACATTCCTAAAACCTCAGCAAATGTTTTGGAAATCACTGCCGAGTCTCAAAATGCAAATACATGCTCTGCATGCAAGAAGTAACTGTTTTTCCACCAAGACAGGATCAGGCAAAGACATTTTAGAACAAAGTTTACTTTTTTACCCTAATAAATGCCTTTATTTCCTCTCTTTAAAATGTGTATTAGCTGCCTAACTAAACTCAAATATTTACCATTGCTATCGTTGTTGTTAGCTAACCTTGTTAGCAAACCTGTGACAATTGAAAAAGGCATCTAATACCTTTGTCACATGTCGTTATATGGTACAGGTGTAGACCAGTGAGAGCTTCAACGTTTCTAACAAGTCTTCTCCAGTACAACATGCAACATCTACTATTACACCTGCAAGCTTTACATGTTGGGTAGATAAAACATGGAGAAGAGTTGTTTGACATGTTATCATTTTGATGGAATCACATTCTCCAATCACATGTCCAAAACATGTAACCTGCATTTTAGAGTCCCAGTGAGACTGTGTCGCAGCACCGTACAGTACTCTGGTAGTGGCAGTATGTGCAGTCAAAGTCAAAAACTGCTTCACTTCAGGACGCAACTAACTACTAAAGCCGAAATGACCAACAAGGAAATACATTCGGAGTGCAGTTCCTTTCCAACACAAGAGCACAAGCTGCACTGGAGTAAGCCCTTTCTAGTTTTGCATCCTCTAAAATCTTCACTGATAAAAAACCACACAAAAAAAACAAGACAAGCCAAAAGTTTACAGAGGAAAATAGAGAATTCATCTTTTCTTTCACATGAAAATATCTCCGGAGTATACATCGGGAGTAAAACAGTCAGCATTCACATAGGGCAGAACAGTCCCTGCTCAAAAGCCAGGAAGTCGCAAATAAAGTGCCAAACAACTAGTGGACTAAACACTTGTGACTAAAGCACAAAAACAGAAAAACAAAACCGAATGACACTAGCCCAAAACCTACCATGATAGGCAGCCACAACATAAAACAAGCATCTGATGCCTTAAAACACACGAGCATGGCTAGATCAAACTGATGAGAATCCGCTCAACATGTCTATCATGTCATGCAGTTATGCAGTTGACTGTGTAATGCAGAAGCTTCAGAAGATGAGAAGAGTCCACATATGCAAACGATGCACAAGCCGGGGGGGGGGGGGGGGGGCAGAGACAGAGAGACAGAGAGAGCGAGAGCGAGCAACAGTCAGAACAAGGGGAGGACTGAAAGCAGAGAGATACCAGTCTGGTCTGACTGTGACAGGACCAAAACCTCCAAAACATCAGGTCATTGGGCTAAAACTGGGACACTTGCCACAGAAAATACATTCTCTTATCATTGGTGAAGTAGCATTATACAGAGATGGAGGTAACAGAGTCACTTAACAGATAACTGAGTTAACTGTTGCCCAGGAGAAACCCATACATGCATCCCTTTAGACTTTATGTTCCACAACTCAAACCTGCGGACATATAGAAGGCCTTCATTTAGAGGTTTTGACTGTCAATTTAGTCATGCATTTTGTTTCAGCTATAGTGTATATGTACAAGGTCAGTGTGAAGGACTAGTATTCAACAGGATGACAGGAAGGAAGTGACAGAACAACTCAAAGTCACTGGCAATGCAGCAGTGACATTTGGCTCAAACACAATGCTTATTTTTTTAAGGAATAAATATACATTTGTTTCAGTGACTTAAAGGAAAAATCCAGCTTAAGATAATATTGGTGAAGTGCCGTGCATTTCCAGGACCATTTTTAAGTTTTTCTTCCTCCTATGTGGCCCAAACAAATAGTTTTAATAGCGTTTCAGTGATCTAAAACATTAACAGTACGCCCGATTTAGCGTCAGTTCCTTCAGGATAAAAGAGAACGGGTGTCTTTCTAGACAATAATCACACAGGAAGAGAGGTGTTAAGGTGGAGAAGAATTCTGGAAAGACTGAGAAAATTACCAAGTGAAGACGTGGCAGGGTGAGAGGTTAAAAAAAGACAAACAAAAAAAACAGAAACCAATGTTACTTCATCTCAAAGTAAGGCTGGATTTAGCTTTACGCCTTTCAGTTAAGATGTTCCTCTGACGCAGAAAAATTTATAGTTCAGCGTGCGATTTCACTTGATTGTCATAGCACCAGAGCAAAACTCGATGGATGTCCTGCACTCATATAGTCAAACTAGTTGAATTTACATTTTTCTTTCATTGAATTCCTAAATTACAAATTTGACCATCGACTGAAAAATTGGCAATAACTAAGCCGGGCATTCGCTGTTTAGTCGAAGTTATAATTAAAATTTTTTCAACCATTTTGTAAAAGAGTATGGAGCCGGTGAAGAAAGATAATTTAGATAAAATAAAAATGATTAATTGGGACTTTATTATGGAGACTTCACAGAGCAATAATAATGACTGAGCACTGTAAATAGCCTTGCTATCTCACATTATATATTCATTAAGTGTTACTGATAGAGAAAATTGCCTAAGCTGACCATTAACAGCTCTTACAGGTATTTTTTGTTGTTGTCGTTTGGCCTTGGCCTCCAATACAACACCATTTCTGAAGAAAAAATCCAGCTAAACATCTAGAATGTGTTAAACAATAAAACATCAGAGGTGGATTTTTCCTTTAAGGGGCGTTTTTTTTGTCTCATTTGCATAGGAATCACAGATCTGTTGGCAAGGCAAGGCAAAACAAAACCTTTGATGGAGGATTACAGCAGACAAACACTTCAACTGAAACAAACTGTACAACTGCAGAGGTGTGCAGTTAACCAAACGTGATTCCTATTCGGGGATGGGGGGTAGGTGGGTGGAAAGCCTTCCCAACAGCGCTTTAGGTGAGTAAATGATTAGCACGTCTGTACATGAACATTACAGTATAGCAAACATGATCCCACACACCTAAACACACCTCTCAGGGAAACTCTGACAAAACGCAGACTAGAAATCTGAAGTGAATGACTTGAGTGATTTTGTTCCACACATTTTGGCAAGGGAGACTGCGTCATGGATGTAGTTGAAATCAATATATACATTTTCAGATGAAACTCGTGTAAACATTTTCCGATAGGCAAGGTGTCGTAAACAATTTTAGACTCTACTACATCCCTGATTGTTTTTGTCACCATTTTTGTTGTCTGTAATACTGAATGGAACGGGGCCGATCTTGTAGAATAATAGCGTACAATACTAGATATATAAATACACTCATTCTTTCTTAAACCAAAGCTTTATGTACTATATCCGGTTTACTAAATGGAGTAAACCGACGTTCTACAATAAAAATCCTTATTTCATAAACTCTTATGAAAACAACCATTTGGAGGCTTCAATAATATAATTGGCCATTAAAATCCCTATACTTTGTAAGGTACTTTTGTTATTGATGATTTCTGTGGCAAAGGTCATTAGCGTTTTTGTTAGAGCTTCCCCGTCAAGGAGCAAAAGCCTCCCCATAATTGCACTGCTCAAATACTTCAAACCCATCCTTTCATTTGTTTTTTTGTTTCATTTTTAGCCCCACTTTAAAAAAAACACCAACAATTTGGCTATAAACTGTACCGATACAAAATACAGTACATTGATTTGTCAAACCTTACACAACATAACCACAGATATCACTGACTGAAAACTTAAGTTCCTCTCAAATACAAGAAAATGTTACAATAAGTTACGAAAATACGCTGTCACATTAGACACTTAAGTAGAACAGTAGAATACTCATGTAAGGCAAAATCAGGTGATTTCACAGTGACGACTTAAAAAGATTTAAGATTTTAGTGTTTAAAAACAGACCGCTTCCGTCACCGAGAAGAAGTTCAGTCTGGATATATTATTGGCTTTTCACCGGCAGAAAATTAATGTGGCCATGTTTTTCTTGCTTTCTAGTTTCTAGAAATACCTGATGATTTTCTCAGAAAAAGTTAATTCAAGTGGCATAAAACCGACCCATTTCTGGAGCACGCAGCATTTTCTGGAGCTGTGCTAAAAACTATGATATTTTAATTTGACCGTTGGGCTGCAGCATAGCAACGTCTACCACGTCCTACGTCAGAGAATGGCACATCGAACACCAAAGAGCAACTATGGGGAGGTTTTGCACTCCTTCATTAACCAAGTAGCTCAACAAACACATATATAAATATGTTAGTAATTAATAAATAGACACAAATTACATCAGTGCAATTTTACAATATGCCTACAGAGAGCATTTTGGCATCAAATTTAAATTATGAAATGGAATATAAAATCTTTAACCAAATAAATAGAACATATAAATACATCAAAACATACAGTACATGATGAAAATAACATTTGGTTGTCAAAAATAAAGCTTTGAGTGTGAAATAGAAAGCCGTTACGGCACGATGGGAAAACCGATTCATTTGATTGCAGGGTACAAGCAAACCGGCTATGGAACATTTTTCTTTGTTTTTTTAACCCAGCCGGTCTAACGGGTACGGTTTTGCCCAATGTCCTAGCAGCTTCCTGCTACGAGCAAATTTCAACAAAACAAATATTAAAGTGGATATGAAAAGGGAAAAAAAAGTCAATGTGCATTTTTGGAATATATGTGGCATGTAATGGTACACTGTAAACACAGCAGGCTAGCGAAAGCGCTGAGCGACCAATCTCATTCAAAACGATGGCGAGGCCATTACCCGGCAAGCCACTGGATGTCTTTTTCCCTGTTGTCTTTTGGTGGCGCATCGTTTCAAAGGGCTTCACGGAGTCGAGGGCGAGGTCGGACAGCTAGACGGCCATGCAACGAGGGAGAGGGTTCATCCTGCCCTTTATTTCTCTCCATTCACAAGTTAGTGTAGTTTTTTTCTTCTTGTTCTTGGCAACAGTCAGTTTCTTACGCTACAGCCTGTCCATCCTGAACGTGTCCTCGGTGGCGGGGTCAGCAAGCACCATGTCAGGATCGTTGAGCATGTGCAGTCCGTCCAGGGTGAGTGGGTCGATCTTCAGCTCGTCCAGAGGAAACTGAGAGTCCGCATCAAAACTGACGTCGCCGACATCCGCCAGAGAGTTGGTCAGCTCTTTGGAGAGGCTCGGAGGAGACTCCCCTGTGACTGAGATACGTGACATCAGAGAAAGAAGTGGGTACTGACATCTGAGAAAGACGGGGCAGGTTCAGCAAGTATCATGTGAACATTTTTACACAGGGTCAAAGAGGTTAAAAGAAGTATTTCGCATTTTGTAATTATTAAAAACAGCAACTACTTAGCCAGCTAGTTCCTAGCATGGCATACTGGTTATGTTTGTAATTTTGACGATGTATAGACAACATTATCCATAAATATTTTCATTAGTTAAAATCAATCTGTTATTTTACACGTTACTTAAAAAACAATATTTTCAGTTTAAAAAATGCCACCATCTGAAATGTTTGAAAAGACATTGTTACACGTCTGCACATTTGTGCTGTTGCTAACTATCAGAACTTGGGTTTCTTTTTGTAACATCTTGCTATTGATTCTATCTCAGTTCCAATAACTTAGCACTTCCCAAAGTAGTGATCTGTCACATCACTAAAAATAGGTCCAATAGGCCAAAAATAACAGGTGGACTGAATCATACAGGTTGTAAAAAACAGTTTAGCCAAATTATATAAAAGACTTTATTTAGAGGTGAAACCGTGATGTCACTAATGATTCCTCATTGTACAGGAAAACCATGAGCGTGCAAAACTACAGCAAGTAAGGCAGGAAGGGGTGTGACGATACACCTAGCTCAGGAGACGAGATGATACACGATATTGGGTTCAAAAGAATGAGACGATATTTTAACACTATTTTGAAGAAATTTTCAATGACGAAATATGACTGGAAAAACTGTCTTTCATTCGACTGAAAGTCACAAAATGCAAAACAATGCAGGTGTATTTTGAAATGTTGCTTCCAGGGTTTGAAATTAACTTCTTCTTCTTTTTTTTTTTTAAACTGCCTGTATTTTTTTTTTTTTCCACAGGAATAACATTCAGCTTATTTAGGCATCATTTAAAGTAAATAATGTTCATTCAATATATTTACACAAAAATATTACATGCTGTGTTTGCATGCACAAAGGACACATGTGTTTCAGTACATGATAAAAACAGTTCAACCACTAATGAATAAGTCTTTATCTCAGTTGAAATCTCAACAAGAGTACATATCTAAAAATAAATCTGGATCCCAGCAAGCAAACAAAAAAATATTCCATTTTAATACAAAAGTTGGCCAACGAAAATAAAACCAAGTGACACCTCTTACATCTAATAGACAAGCTTAGTGATTCTCCGATAACAGCAGCGTTACTTCCGAACATGTGTTCCGAACTAACAGTAACTGGCTGTTGCTCAGGAAGGACCGGGCCTTTTGTCCGCTACCAAGTTTGGTTTGAAACGCCGCCACAGATATTCCCTGAGGGGACTCTCGTGACGTGTGTGCCCGTTGCCTCATTACGCTACATCTTTTATGCTAATTTTACCCAAACACTGTCATGCTGATACTGCAAAACACGGTTTACTTCAGCAAGAAATATCGTCATGTTTTAATATCGTGGCATGAGATCTGGTCACACCCCTAATGGTAAGTTAAAGTATTTTTACTGTTTTTCATTGTTTTCTTGTCCAAATAGATTTGACTGAGCTGGAAAATTGTTTACAACCCGGGTGATCGTCAGACTGCTTTTTTTGTTTATTTTACCATTGGACATATTTCTGGCAATGTCGCTGCATGCCGAGATCACAACTGTCACTATGTCTAGTACAATGTTACTGTTAATCAATACTTCACTTTCTGAATAAATTACTCCACATTATGTATTTATAGTGCAACTTCTGGAAAGCTATAGTATCATTCATTGAACATAAAACCGGTGAGAGAAAATGACAGATGGCTTTGCTTGTGCTTTAAGAAGAAGAGGGTAGAGGCTCATTTCAGCCTGGGAAAGTAGTAAAACTTAATACTACTTATTGGGGTAGTACTACAAGTGTAAGGTGCAGCTTAAGCAAAGATAAGTGGAATTTTTGCAGCCCTGTAAAATCCAGTTTCCACTTTGTGCGCCAGCTACAACCTAATAACTTCCTGAATAACACTCAATGGTACCTGTTAGGATGATGTTGGGGATGTTGCTGTGGCTACTGTAGCCGAGTTGCTGGGAGTCCTGTAGGCTGCTCCCGGTCAGGCCCATCATGGCGGCCTGTGTGTAGTTGAGGGTGGAGCACTGGTTGTAAAGGCTGGTGGAGCTGATGGGGTTCTCAATCATGTTGAACTGCTCCAGCTAAAAAGTACAGAATTGTCCAGTCAGAGTGTATAAAAGACTTTGTTTGATGATTTAGTTGCCTAACGGCGGCCTCTGTGTGCGGACACGAGTTTAGTTCCAGTTTCGATAGTTCCCCAATGCGGGTGGAGTTTGTAACATATCTTCATGAGAGTAGAGTTGATTGCCTGAATTAGTCGTGGTCCATCTTGTGTGATTGCCCGTGTGCGTGACTGATTATAAGTAAGTGTAAAGAAGGAATCATTCTATGTTCTACTCTGTAAGCTGTAAAGAACAGGTCTCAATGCTAACTGTTAGCATGCTAAGCGGAGATTATTAGCTAAAATGAAACTGGACAACTACTATACTATCTTAGTTGTATTATGTTTGTAACTGACAGAGATATGAGTTACACCAGCTGCTAGTGTAACTTTATGTTTCTAGTGATGAATGAATATTGGTTATGTATTAAGCAGAGTGATAACTCTGTTCATGTGATGCAGCATCAAGGTTTCTGATTATTGCTAATTTTGTTCTTGGCAGACCACACACTGTAACTATTGGAATCATAAGTCTGTATGACTACTGTTAAAGGCAACCAAGATTGAAGAAACAAAAAGACTGCTTTGTGGGTGTTCTAATCGATGCCACCTGAACAACACATCTTTAGACCAGTGAATATAGTCCTTATTGAAATCCTCGGTGACACAGAGGCTATCAAAAGAAAACATTTGTGCCATTGCTGCTTATTGTTTGTGCGTTCTGTATCACCTGGTGAGAAAGGGCATTGGTCTGCCTCAATGCCAACTGCTGATCGTAGAAGGAGTCGCCAAATATGCTGCCCACTACAGGAATGTGCTGGGAGGAAGAGAAGTCACCCACAAAATTAGGAATAAATGGCAAGAGGGCAGCTACAATTAAGACACAAAAACAAAATTAGCCAGAAGCCAAGTTATAAGCAGACATTTTAGCCATGGAATAACAGATAACACAAGCAAAACGCAAACTAAGGAATAATCCAAAGCAAATGGGTAGGGCTGTTGCGGTTCAGAGACAAAAAGGAGCCTAATAAAACAATACAAAAAAAATGAAATAGTGATGTTCTGTGACACACCAAATCATTTTAACACAAGGAGAAAACTAAATAAAAAAATAAGACATGAAATGAAAGTTTGAGCGTGATGTGGTTGTTTGTCCCATCCCTGTGGAAAGGTCACACAAAAGCGCAGTGAGGTGTTGACTGCGGTAGCCCTATTCACTGACACAAACACAAATCAACCTGTTAAAAAGGGCAATTCTGGTATTTGTCCACCTGAGTATTATTCTGATATTTTTAGTCCATCACTACTGTTGGTCTTGGTATAACTAACTCACCACCTCTGGTGTGCAGATTTGACTCCAGCAAGAATGAGCGCATGCTCCAAACTGTTTCAGCTGAACAGAAATCATCTCAGTTGTACCAAACTGCATAGCGCAGCATTTCCACAGTAGGTAGCTCAACTTGCACGCTGGCCTAACCACCTGCAGGACTAGGCCTTGTTCTCTCTCCCACACAAACTATTTTAACGATAGCCTTTTAGTCCCTGATGCACCCGAGGTGACTCAGGGGCTTTTTACGCCTAAAAATCTAACCCAAGGTTCTCATTTTACTTATATATTATACATTTGATCCAGTTAGTTTTGGTTTAACATTGCAATTATACGAGCGCACTAAAGAACTATACAAGACATACCTGCGTCCTGTTGTCATCACCTACGTTAGCTGCATCGCCCTATGCTTGCAATTGATTGGTTTCTAGATGGGTGTGCGTCTGATGTCGGCATGTTGTCAATTAGGCAGGTAGCCTTCTATAGCGGTTTGAATAAATGGAGAAAATGTAATGAAGATATTGGGTGGTGATGGGGCAATGGATAAGACACCTGCCTTTGGTGTGAGAGACTCGGGTTCAATCCTCCACTGTTACCCATCCACCACTGTGTCCCTGAGAAAGACACTTAACCCCTCGTTGCTCCAGAGGCATGCGACCTGACATGTATAGCAATTGTAAGTCGCTTTGGATAAAAGTGTCAGCTAAATGAATAAATGTAATTTTATTGCCGTTACAATAATATTGTGTGATTAACACCAGAGCTGACCAAACCATTTGGTCACCTGCACATCTCTGCTGTACAGCAGCGGCTCGTTTTGCTCAGCCAATGTGGAAGTGCCTTAAAAATCTAATGATCTCAATCGCTAGTTTCAAGTCTTCTTCAATACAGCATGATGTTCATTTTAAATTATGGTCCCACTTAGAGGAAAATAGATGATAAAGCAGAGCTTACTATGCTTTAGGGTGGGGCTACCTTGTGATTGACAAGTGACTACCAGGTAGACCTGTCAATCAGTTTAAAGGTGACTCGTTTCCACTGCACTGTGTAAATTTGAGTGCCGTTGAAAAAGCTTATCAGGAGTCGGCTGTTCAATTTTCCGGTAAGTAAATTTTTTCAGGCCAATTTTTCGCTAGCCAAAATTGGCATCCAGGTTAATATGAATTACAGATACACTCTGCAAACCAAACTAACCAGTGCCATCCTCCTTGCCAAATTTGAGGCTTTAAATTTTAGTCCACAAACCAATGGGTGATGTCACTGTGACTACATCCACTTCTTTTATAAGGTCTATGGTTCTCACTTTAAAGATTCCCTGTGGCGTTTTGACTTCTAGTTATAAAGCTGCTTTTATATGAATGGGTCCATGTTTAGTTCACTTCATTCCACTGATCTGCAGGTGGCGGTAACACACCACGATATGCAGCCATGTGCCGACAAAGACAGTGGAGAAGAAGACTGCAAGCCAGTAAACATGGATGTCAACAACAACTAATTTTTTTATGAGGAAGGAAATGCACGTTTGTTGGACCTCAAATATACACATAATGCTTTTTGGTGAGTAACACTGGATGTCCACATAACTTTTGTCAATTTACAACTCCACAGGGCACCTTTAACTACATTATCTGTTTAAACACTGCCAGTGATTCAGTTGTACTGATTTTGACAAAATAACTGCTTTACTATGTGTGGCCTTTTGCCATGAAGTGGCCTTGCACATTGAAAAACAATCACAGAAAGTGTATTATTAAGACACATGCGGCAGGCTTTGCCTTCAAGCCAAATGTTTTACTGAAGACGCAACAGAGATCTGATGACTTTTCCCCTTTAGTGAGAGTGATATGTTTCATGTGTGTATGTGATTAGCACATGTAAACTGAGGCAGAGTTTAGCTCTGTGCTCCAACAAGCTGCTGGGAAGCTCCTGACTCAGAAAAGACAAATGAGTTTCACCATAAAGTCTGACTGATGAAAATGAAGTCTCACAGTAATCAGAATATTATTCTGAAGTGTGACAGTTTGAGCTAGAGCATATTACCATTTTGTCCAAAAAAATGTGTTACAGTAAAGCTGAAAATTTTAACAAACAGCTTCATAATTTACAATGCTGATAACCAGCTGGCTCTTCAGTCTGGACCAACTCTATCGTGAAGAGAAGATGGTTTAATGACTTTGGCTGGCTAAAGTAACATAACTACCCCTCACACACCGGGAAAGACTCGCTTTCACAACAAACCTGCTAGGCTCTCACACAAAGCCACCGTCCTTAAAAGGGAAAGCTCGACCTGTAAAACACAGGTGCAGTTAGACTGTGGGTGTGGAAGAAATATTCAGGTCCATTACTTAGGCAAAAGTACCAATACTAACCTCACTTTGAAAATACTCCACTACAAGTAAATACTTCACTGAAGTGGATGTTCTGCAATTTAAACCTCATTACAGTATAAGTATTATAGCAAAATGTACTTAAAATACTCACTGTGCAGTAAAATGGTCCCCGTCAGCGTTTTACAATTATATATGATGTTTTTTTTATTTGTACAGTTTAAAATTACAGGGACAGTGCACATTAAAAAACATTTCTGTAAATGTGCCAGTTTAGCCAGCTTGGTTAATGTTAGACTGTATGATTCTTGATTAATATTACTACTGCATTAATGTGTGTGTTGAATTTCATTGCTGTAGATGTTTACGGTTGAGCTAACTTTAACTACTTTATATTCTGTTGGGTAGATTAATCAATGCATCATATTCTGCAAGATCATCATGTTTCACTATTTGCATATGTACAGTATGTTATTTAAGAAAAAAAAAAAGTATATCTAGTGGGGAACAAGCGATATGTTTTTTTCTGGGCCGATCCCCATTATTAGTAACCAATTAGACCAATGACCGATATGTGGAACCGATAAACATTTGCTTTAAAATGTTTAATCTTGGTGTCAAAAAGAATAACACAAACTTTGTTAAAAATAACAAGATTAAAGTTAATTATCATGTTTAATCTTTATAAATAGTAAATTAAATGAATTAGAACTCCATCCCAGAGATGGACTTGTTAACTACGATTTATAAATTATCATAAACTTTGTCTTTACCTGCTGCCATTTTTATTGTGTTTATTTTATATTGTTAGGATTTAATTGATACATTGTTTTTTCATTATGTAATTGCCTTTTTAAAAATATGTTATTTCAAAAAGAATTCAGAACAGTAATCAAATTTAATATTTTATAACTACTAACTGTTTTCAGAGCAGCAACAAAAGTAAAGTTTACAGCAGAAAAGTCACTACATAAAATCAGTATCTCACTGGAAACAAATGGAACATTTAAAATAAACTATATTTCTGACATCAAAATACTGAGTGAAGTTTAGAAAAAAGATGTCAGTCAGTTTCAGTCCTCCTCCTCCCTCTGCTGCTGCTGTAGAGGGGAACTGGTTTCTCTCAACAAGCAGCTGAGTTTACAAGTGTTTGCAAAATTTTAAGGTACCTAGCATCTCAGCTAAAGGCTACAGACAGAGATTTAGCTTGTTTATAACTTGCTATGAGTCGAGCTAGCACATGTGCTTGTGTAAAACCAAAAAAAACAGCTGCGGTGGATGAAACAGATTAAAATATCGCTTTGTGCACGTTCCTGCTTGTTGTACTGATGCCGTATCAGCCTTTTACTAGTATAGCTGGTTTTGCTGTACTTACTTACAGTAACGGCCGTAGTCACGGTAATCTTGTGTAAGCTACACTGATGTCTGCTCACTTCGCTCAGCGTGTGTGTGTAGCGGAGCTCTGCTGAGGGGGGAGGGAAGGGGCTGCAGTGTGATGGCTCGCTCATTCTATTGGCTATATCCGCACAACAGTCAGTGTTGATAGGCTATTACTCGTGACTTGTAACCAATCAGCTAGTACTGTGGGAAGGATACTGTACTCACCACTTTGTGGGCTTGAGCCCTCGAGCAGACTGAGAAGCAGCTGCATCAGAGCCAAAGGAGAGCATTTTTTTATTAATTAATTATATCGGCTAACTGTTTAAAATCACCCACGCAGATTATTGGAAAAATGCTGAATATCGGCGCCGATAATCGGCCAGACCGATTATAATATAAAAATAGATAAAAATATGGAGATATCCTCCTAAAACTTTTACAAAATGAACATTTTCTGACTAGCAACTGGTCAGGGCCTCCATCAAACGCCATGTTGTAATGCACACAGTGAACAGTGACAGCGGTGATGAAAAAATGATTTATGCAGCTGTTGACACCATGAGTGGTTAACTGCCAATACAGAGAATGAAAAGCAGCCTAACTCATCTACAATTAGCTTTCCCCCAGGTGCAAAGCCCTTCCCCAAACAGCAGCTAGCTCGGTGGGTGGGCCCTTACTTGAGGCGAGCCGCCAGGGGAGAAGCCTTGATTGGAGACTGGGGAGGTTGGAGACTGAGTGGCTGGTGAGCCAGTCTGATTGCGGTACTGTTGGAGGGAAGAGGGTTAGCTAGCACTAAGCGTCATGCCTGTTACACACACACACACATCTCAAAGGACGGGTTGTGAGAGGCCGTGGGCTTGGATCTGCTCATTATGTATGCTTGTGTGTATAGGTGGGAAATATTACAAACCACCACGAGAAAAGATGTGGTGCTACTCTGTGGCTACCTAGTTTGTCCACTGCGTGAAGAGCTGCAGGTGTTACTCTAGTTATATAGCTAAAGTTGCTGCATTATAGAGAATGCTTTACACACAAATTCAACCAACTACATCTGTAAATGCCTTAATCAACACAAAAGCTGAGAAAATGCTACCTGCCAAAAGGTGAGAAGAATTTGTCAACTTTAAAAAGGACCTGCAAGCATCTTCCATAGCAAAAATGTGAAAATAAGTGAATTGAAAGTGATAAAATACTCTTGTTTGAAGGTAACTGGAGTAAAAATGGTTGTCAAGAGTAAAGATGTGTTTCTCTTAATTAGGTGATTGACATTAACTGTTAATTCTGCTCCCACTTCCTGATTACACTTCCTGATTTCTTACCGAGCTGATGCTGATGCTGGCGGTGGTCTGGCTGTCTGGGGAGGGGCTGCTGGCGGTACCAGGGGAGGCCAGAGTTGGCAAGGTGATGAGCTGGATGCCCTGCGACAGGGCCTGCTGCTGCTTCTGGAGGTCACTGAGCAGCTGAGCCTGGGCCTGAGCCGTCAGCTGGTTGAACAGGGGGTACTGGGAGAGCTGCTGCTCCAGGGTCAAAGACTCTGTTGGCACGGCCTGAGGAAAGACGCACATGGACTGCGTTTAGGCGAGATCCATAAAATGCAAATTACGTTTAATTAACTACAGCTGTTTGAGTGTTATTTCAACATTGTGTTCACCATAGCTAATAGAGTGGAGACATACTTGTGTAATAATAGGATTGTGTTGACTATGCTTTTTAGCCAGTTGTATAGGGATAACTGTCACTCCACTCATGTTATAGCGGGAGTCCAGCAAACCAAAACACGACAAAGCTTTAGGCCACAACTTTAAGTCAGCTGAGCAGAACCTACCTGTGTGATGTTAACGGGTGAGGAGACAGTGGGTGAAAGTTGCTGTGGGGACTGCTGGAGATGGAGGTCAGAGGTGAGGGTGAGGGGCACCACGGGTGGTTGCCGGCGTTGTCCGGTTACAGTCATGGTGGGCTGGGATGAGGTGGGAATCCCTAGCGAGGAAAATGTTTTTTAGAGTACACATAAAAGGTTTCTTTGTATCCCACTGAACTCAAAACAACTAAGTGCTGTAAATTTAAACCGCAAGACAAATGGCAACAACAATGTTTTCTGTTGTACTGCTGAATGTACATGTCTCTTATGTCCTCACCTGGGGTACACTGTACTAAAGTTATTACCATGGCTGGCAGCGCTGATGCCCAGGTGGGTGAGGTTGGTGGTCAGGCTGCCCGTGCTGTTGGATGAGCTGAGGGAGGGGAAGGCCACGGTGTCCTCGGGGTCCAGCGGGGTGGACAGTGGAGGGGGGAACTGGATGTTGGTCAGATCAGGCAGCGAACCACCGGTGTTGTGTGCAGCTGGGAGCACGGACGGGTTCAACTCCTGGTCTGGTGATGGGAATATACTAAAAGACACATGTTCTATGAGACATGAGAACAGTTACTCTTATTTCACCCAACTTCTGAATTTTTCTGACATAGTGATTTGACCCATCAAAACGGATACCGATCTTTTCCAAGTAAAGAACCTGATGCTTTGTGGCATTATTCACCACATTTAAACTTGGCTATTTCTGTATGAAAGCCTTTTCTGAATTTCTGAGTTTCTTATCCGATCCCAATTAGGAATGTAGGCCTATGTTTACAAATGTTTCCGATGTAAACCAACCCAGAAGCGCATCTGAAAATGTTCAGGATCCTTGTATTAACTTGATTAACAGTCTTGGCCTGATCAGCAGCCTTTGGGTTTTTACTAGGATGCTTATCAGTTGTGTTAATACACCCATAATGACCATTTCCTGTAGGACTAGAGAACACATGGCTGTGTGACTGATAGCCTGCTAATACTCCAGTGGTGTTTGACTGTAAACAATAATAATACAATATACTTAAACCGCTCACTTGATTCCCGGGACATCACACGTGTTGGGTTTTGATGAATCATCCTACCGAGAAAACATAATCATGAGCCGCAAATATAAATAAATGTATCATAACAAGTGTACAAGTACAGACCTTCCCTTTTCCCCCGTCAGTACCTTCTTGTCATCCCACAACTGTTTCTGAGCATCCTTGTCTGCATTTGACTCTGAATTCTCCGTCCCAGGCACTGTTAGCAGCAGTACTAATTAGTGAAACAGCAAGACACAGTTGCTTGCGATGACAACATACATAACAATTGAAATCGGTACAAGAAATGAGTCATCAATATCCGAGCCAGTCAAGCAGGATATAGTGCTGTTCACTAGATTTCTTAGCGTCTAAAAATAGCAAGGTGACCACCAGACAGACTGAGTTGATGCCAGCTGATCTTGGCTTCATTATATCATAGTCTCACACAAGTATATAATCCATGGATAATCAGTGAATTATTGATCCTCCTTTCTAGACCATCTTGAGTCAGCTCTATTCAGAGATGTTACTTCTCTAAAGCCTGCTGAGTACTGGTACAGTACTGAAGTGACTCGTTGCCAGAGTTCAAGTATCCATTTACTCCATAAATATCTCATTAAGGGTCTAGATCTACTTCTTGGTGACATCAACACTTTTATGTCATTTAAGGTTCGCCGCCTGCATTAGTGGATTGCACATTAATAAATAAAAGTGGCTCAGCGTGTTTGTAACTGGATATTTCATTACCTCGTTTTGGCTGCAGCTCTTGTGACCCCCCTGCAAACACCTCCTGGGGCTTGGGATTCATGGCGCTCTGGTGTAAGGCAGAATCCGAATTTGTCCTGTATGTGTTAGAAAGATGAGAGGTCAGAAGACCTTTACTTGCCTTCATACAGCCCAATACGCAGCCTTCTGTGTGTTGGCTGAGTTTGGGAATTTCTTTTTATCCACACAGTTGCAGAGTCACATAATTAATAATTTTTGCAATTGAGCTGTATGAGGTTGCATTCCCTTGTTGGACATGGACATGGGGAGGAGGCTTACCTTCTCCAGCTAGTGTCTGGCGGCGGGGAGAGGTAAACTGAGCTGTAAGGACAGCTGTCAATGTGAATTTAGTTAAGGCTAATAAAGTAGAGGGGATGAAAAATGGATCTAAGCTAATCCACAGTTTCATGCCTATAATAGACCTGATACATAATAAATGACCACACAAAAGTGTTACTGGGATCCAATTACTTTGAAAAAGGTTTCAGACGGTGTCTTGTGATCTAATATTACTAAGAATAATCTTGTCAACAGCAGTGTAACAATACAGCGCATTGCCTGGTGTCATTCAATAACAGGCTGTCAACACAGGTGATGAAACAAACAATTCATCTCACCCTTTGTTCAGAATCTATTGAACAACACAGAGCCTTCTCCTCTTTCGATCACCGCATCTAGTGCATTTTGTTTTATATAAATAATCATAAGAAACCACTGTATATGACTCACACTGCTTCACTATGGAGGTGTCAAATGTTAATTGTTTTTGTTTATTAATTCTTTAAAACCCATTTGGGACATGACTTGTTACAGTTGAAGGGAGTATTCAGTGTAATAAGTTCTAATTACAGACTATATTTTGACAAGATAATGTGTAATTTTATTTAAAAGTCAGACATGGAGGAGCTTTCCATGATATAATTTAGATCCCCAAGTACGAATTCAAATTTAAGTTTGACATTGCAACTATAAACATTACAGTTGAAATGAAAAATGTATCGTATTTCCGTCTGTGAGCATTTTAGGACCCTTATAAATTATAGCATCACTAGAGGAGGAGCAGTAAATCAGTGTGTTCAGACCTAGTGTTATGTCTCTAAACATGCCAACTTAATTACACTAACAGACTAAAGTGCAAGATTAAGAATGATGTCCCAGCATCCTCTGAAGCTTCAGAGTATTAATGAATCCAGTCGAAACATCCTCAAAACCTTATGCTTCCAAAAACACAAAAGGATATCTGGCGTCCGTGTTTGTCGACTGATAACGGCCGGCGGTGAGGAGACGTGATGCGGTTCCGGTCACGGTAAACACGCTCCACCAGCCCGTGGTGCCTAGTTGTCCGACTGGTATCCAGCACCGAGTTCTACAGTGAACACACCAGGTGAATGAGGCCAGCAAAACAGCTCACTTACACAACAAAACTATGTCTTAGGATAATGTCTTTAGGATTTATGGTGCAAATGTGTTCATTTCAAAATGAGTCAAGCCATGGGCCCCCCATATTGATGCTTGAGTTGGCAAATGTATTTAAAGATGGAAAGCCATGACAAGCAATGATATACTTTAAAATTTAGGAAGCAAATTACACTGCAGGGTAGAACTGGTAGAACTTGTGTAACAGACTTCTGGCTTCCTTTCGCTCATGAACCACGATAAAACCTGGTTGGACCAGCAGGTAATTTCTAAACACTTTACTGCTGTCCTAGCCTTGACTAAACCTGCAGACTTTTAAAAAATGTGGAATTATCTGTTTTTGAGCCAATCTTTCACCAATACAACAGATAACTGCAACCTTTGTATGTCCAATAATATCGCCAACAGCTAAGAAAGGTACACTGGTCGAGAACAAGCCATTGATTTACCAGCCGAGAGAGGCTAAGGGCTCACCTGAAAAGGCAGGTCAATGTTGCCATTTCCAATCTGATTGACATTGGGCAGTGAGCCTCCATAGTACTGTCCACGATTCTGCCCTAGTTGCAAATACTGGGTCTTCTGTAACTGCAACTGTGCAAAGTAAAATTGCATGAAAGCATGAGTGAATGATTGGTCTGATTCACAAAAAAAGTGATGCTACATATGAACGAGGCCTGCCAATCCAAAGTGGTGACATGAAAGATTAATGAAACCATTAACAGACGAAACATGATGAGACAGGCAGATTGGCTGTTTCATGAACAGTCAAGAGGAAGACAAATCAGCTGAGGTGAATGACACCTGACTGACAGCTGGTGTAACTACTTTCCATGTAACACACCTGGTGATTAGCCATGTGTCTTAAAACTTAACCAGCCACGCAAAGAATGTGTGTTATTACAAAAACACTGTAATGGGAGTCACTTTTTGCAAGTAATGAACTGACTGATAATGAACCGAACAAATGCAATGGATTGATGGTGGAATGGCGACATAAAGAAATCTGGTAGAGACCACAAAACTGACTAGTTAATCTTTTCCCCTTGCAGTAAATGACAGTACAGCTCAGATTTACCCTAATGCAACTTGCGGGCATCATTTCCAGCAACAGGGCCTAACAATTAGCCCAAACATTTCCTGGCAACAAGATGTTCATTCTTTTGTGGTTAAGAGAGGTAAAACGATTGTTTGATTGATTACCAGAAAATGAAGGGGCAACAATTTTGAAAAATAATTTTAGTCATTTTTAAGTTAAAACTGCAAACATTGTATTGTTCCAGCTTCTAAAATGTTAAGATGTGCTGCTTTACTCTGTTGTTTGAGATTATATATATATATACACACACACACACACAATATGTAAATAAGTTTTGTTGCAGATAATTGTAATGGGATTTTCCTGATCTCATTTTGTGATACTTCATACAGTAAACTAGGCTGCAACTGTGATATATTCATTATCATTGAATGTACTGCTTGATTTCTTTCGATCTCTTCTTTCGATTGATCAATTAATTGTTTAGTCTATAAAATGTCAGAAAATTGTGAAAAATGTTCATCATAAAATATCCAACAGCAAACCAAAAGATCTTCATTTTAAAATACAACAGAGAAAAGCACCAAATCCTCAATTTTTGAGAAGCTAGAACCAATGTCAGAATGTTTGGAATTTTTGCACAATATACGACTTATCAAATTTAATTATCAAAATAAATTCTACCAATGGATACCACAAGTGGACTATTGGGATACTGGGTGATTTTGATAATCTACATATTTATCGATAACAAAAATAACCATTAGTTGCACGGCTATAGTGGTTAAGTCACCTGTTTCACATTGATGGGATAAAGTTGCCAAAGTTACACTGACTTAGCTTAACGATAACGTAGGCTTACTAAATTAAACTGTTAGACATGGAGCTAGTAAACAGAAGAATGTGGGTTGATGAGAGCTGTAGGTACTTTCCAGCCTGATATTTGCTTTTTGTTAAAAATAGCAAGCTGCTACAGAGCGAAAGGAAAGGGTAACATTAAGCTGGTTAGGGGGGGGGGGGTCCACAGCTGGGAAGGCTGGTTAACATCTGATAGGCTAGCAAATGCTAACTTAGCCCTCTCAGAGAGATTGCTCTAATGAAGTTTCTAGCAGCTGACTTTCCGAACATCTGGTCGTCCTGTGCTTTACATATCAGACAATTTGTTTGCCAATGAAATGACAGTGACCGCTCAAAACAGCCACAGACAGAGCGCAGGTGCACATTATTCACAGCTCCTGCCTAACGTTAGCTAAGCTAGTTAACGCTGTACACGAGTAACGCTAGCTTGCTGTATCCGAATGACGCTGGCAATGATTTTAACAGGCAAAGTGAAAACATCACTTGGGGGTATTGATCTGACGCAGCTAAGGACGTTAATATTAACTTTAGCTACTTAGCATCTCAACGTTAACATTTAACGTTATCTCCGCAGCGTTCGTAGCTGCCAAACAGCGGCGCAACAACACATAAACAGCCGGGGTGTGCAGGTCTTACCCGCGCAGCTCTGGTGATATTCAGGTCTTTCATCACTTCTTCAAACGCAGCAGTCTCCTCCGCCTGTTTCTGATTATGCAAAGCGATTTTTTCGCTGAATTTGCGAGGATTGTTAGAGGACGCCATCTTTCCACTCTTCTTCTCAATGGAATGTTACGTTACACACAACGCTAAGGCCTTCTGGTGTCGTCATCACGCACGGTCAGCGGCACCAACGTAGCGTGCTGATGTTTTTGTCTTCTTGCTCCAGCTGTTGACAGTAACCCAGGGTTTAACCACGCAGGGTGACTTTAAAGAGAAGGATTTTATTCACAGCGAATGAAGATGTTGTGCTCAAGATGCTTGATATATTAGTCTGTTACCGAAGGTGCTCCTGTGTTTATCCAGAAAGGATGAAAGGGATGAGAGGTTTTGTCTATGATGATGCTCAGTAGCTTGAGCATCATCCTGTCTGAAATTTCCACTCAACTCTCAATCTATCAAGTTCTTGTTATACACACTAAAACCACCTATATATTAATATATAAAAAGAGCAATAGCAGTGTCCTGGTGGTTAATGTACATACAATTTAAGTGCAAACTCTCCAGTTCTTCTTGCCAGGGAGTTTTTTTGTTACATGTCCCTCTTTCTCCCCTTGTGTACTCACTGTCTTACACTGTAACAATCTAATAAATCAGAGCCTGCATCCAAATCCTAAAATCAATATCAATGTAGCTGATACGGTTTTGTTGTTAAAAGACAAGGAGGACATGAAATCCCTGAACATGTTTTGGTGGTGAAATATAGCCACCTTTTACCTAAACAAACGATTCAATTCATTCAAGAATATTGCTGGTGATATATTATATGGCCTAATACTACTGTAGACAAGGTAAAGAAATTGTATCAAAGAAGGTGAGTGGCAAATGGATTAAATTCAATGTAGAGTACACAGTAGATATACACAGAATTTTGAAAGGATAAAAAATGAAAATTCAACAACTAAAAAAGGTGAAATAAAACTGCTGTTTGTTTGAATTGTGAAGTTAACTGCAAGGCAAATTTACTCAGAACATGGCCCAAACCATTTATGTGGTAGTTGTACAAGAAAAGACATGTTTGAATATAGTTTATTTAGAAGATAACAAATTCAGTTCAGAGAAAAGCTGGACTAGTGGTCTGATCGTAATGACTCAGCAATGTCTAAATGATGCTGCAATCTTTGCTTCAGTTTGAATAAAGAAAGTTACACATTAAAGCTATAAAAACACCACAGTAATATAGGTGGGAGACTGTGTTACTTTACATTATTGTACCAATTTAGTTTTATTATTTCAAAACTAAAACCTTGATAGCACTACTAGTACTCAGTAGTTGCCTATGTTTCCAACAAAACAGTCATGAAACATAGAGCTGATATCTATTAGGATACTTAATGGTTTACAGTAACTATTTTCTCGTAAAATGTCAAACATTCATTGGGTCCTGCTTCTCAGTTGTGAGGGTTTGATGCTTTACTGGCTCTTGATCGGACAAAACAAGATATTTTAATCATCAACTTGGCTTCTGAGAATTGTAACCGAAACAGAGACATTTAGGCATCTTATAGACCAAACAATTAATGTCTCAATCAAGAAAATAACATGCAGATGCTTAGATAGATGAAAATAAGAGTTAGCTATAGCCAAAATGGAAAGAAAGAATAATTTTCTTAAACTGTAAAGACATTTCCCGTTTAAGTCTTGGGAATGTGGGTGCTTCAGTTGGCTTGGTACACCATCTATCAAAATAAAAACATAAAAAGCCCCTGAAGATTATTTTTAAAACATGATACACCTTTAATAAAGGATGCACATAAAGCTACACAAATGTCTACATTCCCCTTTGACTACAGCAGTTTACTTTATATTGCACTTCAACGACATCATGTGCTTTTACTGGTACAGGTAAAACAATGAAAATACACACTAAGGCAAACAGGAGACAGTTTTAAAATTGCCACTTGTAGATGGCCACATTTCAAAAGGAAAAACAAGAACTTAAAGCCTGCTCCATCCGGATACACACATTAAATACATCAATAACTTCAGCAGCAGAATCAGAAAACTGATACATACTGATTTGAAAAGTGCAGCAATGCAGTCAAAATAAAAACACAAGCAAGTATCAAACATGGAAGATGGATAGTTTAAGTTCTTTTTCAGAGGATTTGAGCAATATGTGAGTTTAGCATTGATAAATATCACCTGCATCCTCTTGTTGTTAGTCAAAGGACCAAAGCATGTGTGGTACACAAGATGTAGCACTTGTTGAACATAAACTGCTGCAAACACTGACAGTCACATGGACACAAACGATTTATGTAGCTGCCTTAAGGGGTCCACACTGGTTTATGTTGACAGTGAGAACGATTACGGTGTCAGGAAACACAAGGGCAGGAGCAATTATAAAAAACACACACATTAACACCCAACATGGAATAACTGATTCCAAGTTGAAACACAACCACTATTCGTGTTCATTTGTGCAATTGTTACTGTGCATTGATGTGATTTTCAGTTATCTTTGTTGTTTGAATAACAGAATTATAACAAACAAAATATTACAAGATAGAAAAAAAAAAAAAAACTTTCACAACTGTACAATCAAAATGTCTAACATTATAGAAATTGAGTCTGTGGTAATACCTTTCCAAACCCAACATTTAAACTCAGGACTTTAATTCAAGAATGAGCTTTCTGAGTCAATTTGTGCCGTCTCTAACTTAAGCCCTTGATTGGTAAAACACTGGTAACACTTGAAGAAAAGTATGATTATGTTTCAGATATGAGATTTATAACACCATCTAGGTAATGCTATTCAGGAAGAGATCAATGAAGTTCATTTGGAGATAATATACTAATCAATTAATAATAACAGAATATAATAACATATAATAACATTACACCAGCTAAGGGACAGCAGTTGTAAATTAGCCATGACGGCTAAACTGGCACATAAACAGAAATGTCTATTAATGTGCTCTGTCCCTGTAACTGTATTTGTAAAAATACGTAAAAATAAATAAAATACAATCACTAAATTACTCAGAACATTGACTTGCTACAGGTTTTGCCCCTGGAACGCATCAAAATGTGTTGGTCGAATACTGAATCGTCATTCAAAAGCTTGCATCGGTATCATGAAAGTGACTCAGCATTATTCACAACAACATTTGCTCTTCAGTGAAGTTTTGCCTGTTAATTAAACACATCTTGCCCAAAACAAGACAAAGTAGAAAACAATACTGCTAAGTAGCTTTTCAGGTCGTTCCCTCAAATCAGTGAACACACACAAACTGTAGCTGACAACTTGTGAACGACTCAATGGTCGGCAGAAAGAGCACATGGAATAAAATCTTCACAGTCAGAGGTCAGATGGTTAGTGTTGTGTGGCGTTTTGTGGAATTATAATTGGTGTACAAGCGATGCCAGCAAAGGATTCTGGGAAGTGCAAGTCCCTCTCCCACTCATCGGTCTCTATGTTGTACACCTGCACGATGCTTGTGACATTGTTCAGGTGCCAGTTGTAGCCCCCGACGATGTAGATCTTCCTGTCCAGTAAACAGCAGCCTGCCTCAGACTGCCCGGCTCTCATGGGACTGACAGTGGTCCACTGGTCGTTCTCGGGAATGTAATACTCGACCGCAAGGACATCAAAACAACGGTCCACGTGGTCCATGCGACCGCCCAGAGCATAAACCCGATCCCTGGTGCCGATCATAGCATGCAACACTCTCGGTTCATTCATGGGAGCTCTAAAGTCCCACTGGTCTGATACTGGGTCGTAGCAGTGGAGAGTTTTCTTGTCATCCAATGAGACACCATAACCCCCTGAGATATACAGCTTTTCTCCACATGGAGTTCCTGCATGACCCCAAATCCTGCGTTTTAATGGTTCCACATAAGTCCACTCATTCTTCTTTGGGCAGTAGCACTCTACAGATGACAGACTGCCAGATCGATTGCGCCCTCCGGTAGCGTACAGCTGTCCGTGCAGCACGTTGAGCTGGAACTGGATACGAGCCTCCTGCAGGGGTTGGATGCGCAGCCACTGGCTCAGATGAGGGTCATAGCGATAACAGCTGTCCACTGCCCCCTCGCCGCTGCGGTACTGTAAGTGCTGTCCACCAACGATGTACACAAAGTTATCAAGTACGGCAACACAAGCATGGCTGCACCCCGCCTCCATCTCTGTCAGCTCTTTAAATTGGCGCGAAGCTATGTCAGGAAGATGGTAGACCTTGGTGCTTACTGTGCGGTCGTTGTCGGTGTAGGGCGTCCCGCCAAAAGTGATGACTGACATGACGTCAGAACGTATGAGTGTCCGCGAAGACTGCATCTCATGCTGTCGGAAGGGAAGGATCTGGTAATTGAAGGCCTCAAGGAGATACTGGCGGCACAGCACATCTTCCACCATGATGTCCACCATCTGAACACTGTCCACCAGCTCAGAGGAGCGCATGAGCGGGAAGCGCACATGGCAGAGGACACTGCTGGCTTTAGCCCGGCGAGAGTCATCATACTGGAGCCACCTGATGGCGGCATGGAAGAGGTCAATCTCGCTACAGTTCTTCAATTTGTTGCTCTGCAGGAAGAAGACAAGGCGCTCCATGGGAATGTGCAGAAAGTCTTCCTCCTCCGCAATTTGGAGGAAGTGGCGGAAGGTGAAGGCATCCACAGACTCTTTGAGGGAAGAGAGGCTGAATGTGGTGGCCATTTGGCCGATGTGCAGGCAGGTCTCCACGCTCATCGCTGACTTGAGGAACTCCTCGCAGAGCTCCACAACTGGGACCATCTGGAGAAACACAGCTGCCCCAAGGACATCCTGAATACAGTCCAGGTCTAAAGTGACCTCAGCACTGTAGGCAAAGTCAATTATATGTTTCAGTCCACGGGCGGACAAACCCTTCAGCTCAATGGTATCTTGATTTGACTCCCTCATGCCTCCGGTAAACATTGCTCTGTAACACAAGAACAAGCCAATAAACTACATGATAGTTTTATAATTCCATCTCTTCTAAATGTGAGGCAATGATTTAAAAGTGAATGAAGTTGACTTTCCATAACTGAGTCAGAGCACTTATATGAAATAGCTTTCTGCTTTCTGGATTATTATTTTGTTAAGGTGTCCATGTAAAGAGGGATGCACCGATCACTAGGGCTGTCGCGATGAAGAAATTTCCCCCACAGTAATTTGTAGGGGCTCAACAGCGCGGTATGCGGTATTATTGCCATTTTTGATCAATGAAGTGAATCTGGTGCCATATAACATAGTAAGACATAGTATCTGTCACCTCACAGCACAGCGAGCCGCTAACAGCAACTTTATGGTCTGAGCAAGCTAGTTGCTGGGTGCTAGTCAAGGTTACACAACATTGCCGAGCAAAATCATTTCTGTAGTTTGACTGTGTCGTTACCATCAGGGCATGTCTATCAAGTCAATTTACAAACCGCAGCAACGCAACGCGCTAACACACATACCAGTGCGGAGCAGAATGGGCAGTTCCATTCAAGTTTAACAAAGCCAACAACTGACGGTACAACTAAATTTCCAAAGAAAACATGAAAAACAGCTGCAGGCATCCGACGCTTGTTATTTACTGAGCTTCAAATGAGGTTTACCGTTCACAGCTTCTCTTGACTGTCCTTCACTATTTTAACATCGCCGAGCCTGCTAGCCACATTAGCCGCGGAATATGCTAACGCCAAGTTAGCTAACCTTCAAAATTAACAGTAAAAGAACACAAAACACTGCAACACTTACAGCTTCCAAGTTTAAGGTCGGGTTATGTACAGCCCATGAAGATCCGTCGATGAACCGTTAGGGCCCGTGTCCACCAAAGCGTTTTTTTCTGACGCCAGCGTCTATTTTCAAATCATTGCAATGGGAGCGCCGCGTTTTTACTAGCTGGTAATAACGCCAGGAGCGTGACGAGGCGCTGAGCGTTATTTTTTTCCGGTCGCAGAGTGTTGAAAAATGTTCAACTTTGGGAAAAACGCTGCGCTCGTCACTGTCACTTTTTACCAGCCGTCCAATCACAGTGCAGGAGTGGCGGGACAAACACCGCACCGAGCACATCCGATCTTGAACGAAACGATGTGCCTACTCGCCGAGGTGTTTCCTCGCCCGCAAAATCTCACGAACCCACGTACGGACAGTCTGTGCTCTCATGTTTCCTCCTTCTCTTCATGCAGGGCAAGGGCCAGAGCAAGTTGGCCTACATACTTTGTGGTGACATTTTTACATTCAGTAAAATTAAGTAGGCTCCCCTAGTAGCAGCACATTGCCTCTACGGAAATGTATCATACCAACCACAGCATCTCGAAAAACAACACTGCGCCTCCAAAACGCACCCTAGCGCTCCCAGCTAGGCGTTTTCAGAACAGCAGGTGGCGTTTTCAGCTGGCAAAAAACGCTTTGGTGGACACGGGCTCTTACAGAGCTCGCTACGCTTGTGGAATTTTTTAAGCACTTATTATTTTAACAAGCACTTAAATGTAAAGTATGAACACTGGGATTGGCCAATAGCACGGTATTTTATTTTTGTGGTTATCGTGACAGCCCAGCCGATCACATACTGATATTGGATATCAGCTTGAGACAAATAGCTGGATTAGGGGGGGGGGTCAAAAAGTGAAAAATATATCTCACTACATTTTTATGTCACCCATTTGTACATTATCTAATTTATGTTTAATAATTTATAAATTTAAGAGGTCCCCGCTTTCCATTTCTGGAATATGTCTTTCTGCAATTTATATAGTTGTAATATATCAGTTGTAAATTTTAATTCAGCAGAGTGTAATGGCTCAGATGAAAGACAAAATGAAACAAGGCTAATGCATTATTTTGCATGTTGTTGCCAGTTACACATTTCTCCCTCCTTTTACTTTCTCTCCCAGCTGAGTTGCTTTCAATATAGTTGATCTATGAATTGTAGCTTACTCCAACAGTGCACTCAGCACTGGCTAAGTGCTTCAAATTTAAAATGTAAATGGGGGCGAGAAGTCTTGTGATTCAGACTAACCTGAAGTAATCACTACATGCGGCCAGCACAGCTTTGTGGACCTGGAAGCGCTCTTCATTGATAGCCAGCACGACGTCAAGTAGTTGGCCCTGAGCCCGCAAGACCGACAAGCCCTGGAGGAGGGTGGCACTGTGGCTTGGGGCAGAGAATGTACAGCGCAGGGTGCTATTCTTGTTAGCCATACTGGAAAGAGAAAAAAAGCCTTGTCACAATCAGTGAATCAAGGGACCATACACCTTATTTCCACATAAAACTCCCAACTTTTCCAGTGCTTAAATTCTTAACTGAACGTAGAGATTAATTATTTTTACATATTATTATTAACGTATAGGCCTATTGCTAGAAGCTGTTCTGGCTGAGCAGTCTGTACAGCGCACAACTATTAAAACGTGATCCGCATGTGGATAACTAATGTGTGGTTTTAACTCAAGATGTCATAGATGCAAATATAATCAAATTTGGGTTGGAGGGGATGCATTCTGTCTTTGCCTTAGTGTGAGCGTATCTGCACATAGGAAAAGAAACAACATTGCTATGAGTAGAAGTTACAACATACTGCTTAGACATGCACACAGAAAACAGAAATTAATCTGCCAGTAAGAAGCATGGTAAAGGAAACATCACTACCACAAGTACAAACTAAATGTCAGTGTGCAGAAACAACATGCAGTGGTAAAAAAAAACAACACCACACAAACAAAACCCATTGCATTAGGTAGAAGTGACATTACCAGAGATAGAAATTAGAAAAAAACATTAAAAGATAAAAAACTTCAAACGGTACCTGATTTTATTAAAGGTCTTCCTGATATCACTTTCTACAACTTAACACCATAACCACATGTAGAAAATTTGTAGCCATTTCTTTATAGACCTGCTTTGTTAAATGAGACCCCAAAATGGCATCCATTCACATAGAAGGCAGATTACAGATGACAAAAATGCATCTCCACACCACCTGTGTAAGGGAATTATCCCATTGTTCAAATCCAACAATTTTCAGATCACAATTTAATTTTGTACCAGATAGAAATTAGGTCATGATATATTAAATGGACTAAAGCTCTGAGGAATTAGGGCCTGTGAGTACATGGGCAAAACAATACCATATCTAACAGACATTTCTGCTCAACTCAACAATTGTTTAAGAAGACAGTTTTCATGCTTCCACACCTGCTGCATGTGCTGATCTTTCTACATCATAGATGTTTGTTGCAACATTAAGAATAGGTGTTTTTCTAAATCCAAAAAAGGACTCTTTTGAGATTGTTTTAGATAAGTAAAGGACATGGACTTTCTGAATAAAAATACTGTAGGCTGATGTTTAAAGAAGCAGACAAAATCTGGACTGAACGTTACTAACAGGCAAGACTCGAGCCTGAATGATAAATTGTCCGATAAGTGCCAAAAAATGTTTGCAGTGTTTCAAAAATAGTTATCAAATAAAAGATTATTTTTTTAATACAACATTTGAAAAAGTGGTAGTTGTCGAGTTATCTGTTGTTTGGCTTCAGTGACTGCTTTAAACTCGAAAAAGGCTGAGGAGATACCGTCTCGGCCCAGGCAAAACGCCTTAATGTTCTCAGCCTCAAAAGAGGCTATCTGACTGCAGCTACATCTCACCGTGCTGATTGCTCCACTTTGGAAATGGATGATGATACCACCATTCCCTGGCTCGGCACCATTATTGCGGGGGCTCTGGTGCATAAGGCCATTTTTGCCAATGCTGAGAACCTGGGGCTCCACTTGGATACAAAGCCTAAGGAGTCTGCTGACCCCACACCCTATCAGGTTTCAGTAGTCATGGCTACATGGCTGAGGGTGATCCAGAGGCTCCAATGAGTTCGACTCCACGCCAGCTAGAGCGCTGGACCGTGGCTTGCAGGGCCAAGCATGGGGCAAGGCGCCCGTCTCCACCTCTTCCAACTCCAACTCTGGACCTCCCGCTGGCCAACAGATTCGATATCCTGGATACGCGGGACAGACTTTTCCCCTCTGGATATTCGCCACCATCCCCAAATGGGCAGATCCTCCTCCTCCTCCTCCTCCTCCACTCGCCGCAGGTTGCTGATAGAGGCTATGACCAGGAGAGGATCTGGTAGGGTCACTGAGCTGCAGACAGCAGAAATCTCCCCAGCCGAGGGAGACTGCGCCCCCCTGCTGCAGAACCCTCTGGCAGTGACCACCCGCAAAAACACGGCACATGCCTTGACCCTCCATGATGCCTCCTCTCATCCAACCAACTTTAATAATAATGACTCCTTAGTGCAAAATATCCACTTTGCAAATGCAGTCACAAACTGTTTCCCTGGTGCTACAACCCCCGACATAATTGAAAAACTCCCTGGCCTCCTCGCTTCGCTCCCAACGACCATCAGGAAAATTATAGTACATGTTGGCACAAATGACACCTAATGACAGCCATCTGAGCTGACGAAACTTGACTTTATTCACCTCTTTGACCTGCTAAACAGGAGTGGAAAGTCGGTATTTATCTCCACTCCAATCCCCACTCTGGGTTGTGGAGCTGGCCGTTTTAGCAGGATCCTCAGCCTTCACACCTGGCTCAAGTCTGTAGCACTCATGGCATTGGTTTTATTAACAATTTTTACTTATTCTGGAACTGCCACACCTTCTTCGCACGAGATGGACTACATCCAAACAGGTTAGGCAGTCGCATGCTGGCAGCTAACCTGCAGAACGGTGTTCTTTTCCCTGCAATTGATTGACTAATTACATCACCTGCTCTCAGTTTCCCCTCTTCTCCCTCTCCTCTGTACACCATTTGCAAACGTTCCATTTCTGTTAGCATAATTGACCCTCGCTCAATTCCTGTAATTTTCTCGCAGAGGCTGGTCAAATGGAATAAACGGACCCTGTGTAATACCAATAACTTGAGAGATGCACACCATAACCCCGCTGCCAGCCTCCACGTTAAGAGTTGTCCCTGCCTAGATTATTTGCAGCACACCTGAACTCATCACCGGTCAGTGAACAGACCACCTCTTCCACACCACTTAATACTGCCACCTACTGGTGTAGAAAGCCATCACCTGCTAGTGCTATTTCTCGGGCATCACATATTCCGGTAATCACAACGCACAGGTATGGTAACCCAAATGTGCATAGGACACACAGGAATAATAATCTCCTACAGATTCAAGCAAAGGAACCAAATGTAGTTACTAGTACTAATATACTTTAAATAACACTTTTTAATGTGAGATCCCTCTCCAATAAGACTTATTTTAGATTTTATTTTATCTGAACATTTAGATTTTATGTCGTTTTTAACAGAAACATGGCTTCAAATGAATAATCATAGCCAAACTGTTGAACTGTGTCCCCCCCAATTATGATTTTAATCAGCCCAGAGTCCGTGGTCGTACTTTAGGTGTCAGAATTTCTACTGTGGATTTACTAGATATGGCAGTATCTGACCACAGATGTATAGTTTGAACTGTGAGTCACCTGCTAATCCCACAGTCTTATCCCACGCCATATGTTCTCACATGCTAAATGACCATAGTGTGGCTCAATTCTGCACACTGTTTGACAGTCAAAGCCCAAACTTGTCTGAGTATTCCAATGCCAACAATCTGGTGGATAATTTCAATGTGATCTGCTTGTCCTTACTAAATATTGTAGCACCCCTTAAAGTTAAGTTGAAGGCCAGAGATAAAAAGCAGCCTTGGCTCAATGACAGTACTCGCAGCTTAAAAAGGGAACATAGGAAAGCAGAACGTAGGTGGAAGAAATCTGGACTCCAAGTACACTATGCTAGTATGAAGGAGCTGCTATCACAGTATAATAGAATGGTTAAGGAGGCTAGAACAAAATTTCTTTCAGAACTTATCTCTTCGCACCACCATAACCCAAGGTATCTGCTGGCAAATCCAGCCCCACCTTGTGCCCCTACTGAAAGTAATGCTGACTGTGAGGTGTTGTTGTATTTTATTAAAAACGTGCCACTTACTCGGATTTTCCTCACCCACAGCATGACAGTTTTAACCAGTTTTATCCAATTACATTTACGGAACTTGTAGAAACGGTATCACATATGAGTGTATCTTCCAGTCCTCTGGATGTAATCCCAATAAAGTTTTTACTAAGAGTCATGGATTCTGTAGGGTCTTGCTTGCTCTCGATTTTTAATAGTTCTTTATCCCCCGTGTCCCAGATTATTTTAAAACTGAGTGTGTGAACCCACTGTTAAAAAAAACGGGACTGGACAACTCCCTCCCCGAAAATTATAGACCAATCTCCAAGTTGCCCTTTATTGCTAAAATGTTAGAACAAATTGTGTCCAAGCAGCTTCTCCATACATTGGAAACAAATAACATCTTTGAAAAGTTTCAGTCGGGCTTCAGGAAATACATTCAGGAAACAACATTGCTCAAAGTTCCCAATGATCTTTTGATGGCTGCAGATAGTGGAATGTGCTCTGGGCTTGTACTCTTAGATCTTAGTGCTGCGTTTGACATGGTTGACCACAGCATCCTGTTGGAGAGAATGAGGCGCTGGGTGGGGGTGTGTTTGAATAATTATACGGCCTCATACTCTACTGTTAAGTATGGTGTGCCGCAGGGGTCAGTCTTGGGACACATTTTATTTTCATTATGTGTTATCATATTCCTCATATGGTATCTCTTTCTACTTTTATGCAGATGATACACAGTTGTACCTGCCCATTGACAGTTTTGAGCAGCACACAACAAAGCTGGTGCAATCATGTTTTTATCATCTTAGAAACATTTCTAAAATCCGACCTTTAACTTTTAAAGATACTGAGACCATTTTACATGCTTTTACTTCTTCACGTTTAGACTACTGTAACTGTCTCTTTACCTGCCTGAATCGAAAATCTATTGATCGGCTACAGTATGTTCAGAATTCAGCTGCCAGGCTTTTAACTAGAACTAAGAAACTTCTTATCACTCCTGTTTTGGCCTTGTTACATTGGCTCCCAGTATGTTTTAGAATTGATTTTAAGATTTTACTGATGACATTTAAGGCTTTACATGGTCCGGCACCGTGCTATATCGCTGACCTACTAGTAAGTCAATTTAGCCCTTGAAATTTGTTTTAACAGAAGTATAGTCATTATTATTTTCTAGGAGTAGGCATTTGCATGCTGACAACACTGCAACAACAGAGTGTTGCAGTATGGGCGGTTTGAAACCTTAATGTTGCTAAGCTAGTGAGTTTCTTGGTTTCTTCATATCCTTTTATCGTGGAAAAATGAAAGGACTTTGGAAGGTGAGATTAACCTATGTGAGTTTTCTGATGGCTTGTGTAATGTGTTGTGCTGCCACAGACAAAATTAATTCCTGACCAGTAAAAAGTAGTCCAAAGTTCTTTCCTGAAGAAACTGACTGAGGTCTTAATGCTGTGTTCACACTGAAAGCGAAATCTAGCGTTTTGGGTGGCTTAATTACCTACAAAGTCAATGCAAAGATGCAAATTCCTGCAAATTTGCATATTCGCTGGTTCACTCGAGTTATAATTTTTCAACAAAAGCAAAAAAAAAAACAACAATTACGTTGACATGTCGGCAGTGTGGAAGCATTTTGATGTCTTTGTGTCTGAGAAAGACGCAAAAATCGCTATTTGCAGACACTGTTCTGCTGAATTGTCTCCTAGCACATCCACTCCATCTGTGGCTGACTTCTTAGAAAAGGCAACAAACGGTCTGACCCAATTTGAGTGTTTCTGTAACTCCTTTCTGTGAAGGCGATTAAGCTAGCCACACCTACCTGGGCAAGCCGACAGGCAGGTTAGCGACTTTATTCTGTCATTTTCTCTCTTTACAAAGACAGATGTTGCAGTATGAGAGTCAGAGAGAACAGAGGTTATGAATTCTTGGTCGGACTTGATGAATTAAGCATGAGGATACTGAGGATACACATGTGACAACGTCCGGTTTTCAAAATAAGGTGCCTTTTCAGTATGATAACAACATTAATTGGATTATATTCACAGAAAGTATAAAACATATTACATGTGTACATTAAAAGTAAATGGACACATGTAATTTACTTTACTCGACCCTCTTGGGCCTCTGACCAGCCCACCATAGTCTCTCCAAATCCTACAGCAAACACTGATTAAAAAGCACATTTTGACTATTTAATTTATGCAATGGTAAGAAAAATGGCAAAAATGCGAATTTACTTGTTTTTCGTTTCGGTGCATCCCTATCCACTGTTGTTGTTAGCTTCATTTGGCGCCCAGAGCTCTGTTGGACTACTACTTCATATTTATATGAAAACCAGACAAAACTGGACATTGATTTGAAAAAAGAAAGCGAGGAATTTGAACTACCTGGTGAGTTCAGAAAATATGTGTCTCTCTATTCCAGCTATCGTTGTACTTTACTGTGAACAAGTTGGCATAGCATATACGTATACAGTCTATGGTTGCGAAGATTAAATTTGTGTTGTATGTGAACACAACATTAAACATCTGTCAACTAGAGGTGCTCCGATCAGCAGGGACGTGCACAGGAATTTTGAAGGGCAGTTGCTCTGACCTGAAAAAAGGCACTAAACACAGTATCCAAAATGTATTAACAATATAAATGTCACCAAAATACATATGAGAAAAAGAGTTCCTTATATTATTGTTTATTGTTTTTTTTAATCATTATTATTTTTTTTTTTCCTTTTTTTTTTTTTATTTGAAAATAAATAATCTAGATTGAATTGACAGATGGGGAAAACTCGCTTCTAATAAAATATTAAATAAAAAAACGCTTAGATTTCGGAAAAAAATACAATCCTTTTTTAACCTTTTGGCTTCCCGTACATTCAGTTGCGCTTCTAGCTCGTATTCACTTCTGTTGGTACGTATCACGTATGGTAACTGGGCAAAACTACGCATGATTTGTTGTAGTATGATTGCATAAAGGAAGGAAACAGGAATCGACTGACGTGCAGGCAGCGCTGCAGCAGTGCAGCCACTTAAACAGAGTTTGCCCTTCCCCTACTGACTTTCACTTTCGGTGCCCGAATGGAAGTGAATGAGGCTTTGCGATCGCGATTATTTTTTTATTTTATTTTTTTTTCTCGGAAGGGCGAGTCGGAAGGGCAACTTGAGTCAGGAAAGGCAAACGGGCAGTTGCCCGGGCAACCAGAGCAACCCCCCTGAACTCTGTAAGTAGCATCGTGTTTTTGGTTTGCATGACTGATAAGACCGGCTCACAAAGCCAAATGTGAGTGTGTGTCATCATTTTATAAAGTCCTCTATTTTGTCCATCGGGTCAGCAGCGTTTTCAAACAAACATCTTCTGATTCACTGTTTTAATCTGGACAAGAGGCGGAAAAGGTAGCAAAAGGTCTCCGTTTTTGTAACGAAAACAGAGAGAGAGAGGCAGTCAGCTGATTGAGTAGCGCTGCTCTTTGCATCAGGAAACTCACATTGAAAGATCAGTCTCTCTCTGTCTGCCTGATGCGCTGTGTCTATTAAACTCCGGTTGCAGGTGGCGTGTGAGTGAGATGAGCACGGCTGGGACAGTTTCACATGATCGCTCCTGCGTGTTGCTCCACTTGTCTGAATTCTGCTCAACTCTAATTGTAAATGATTATGTGGGTGCATTAATCCCTTCTTGTCTGAGAAGGACTTTGGTGCTAGCTAGCTTTGAAAACCGCTCACACAGCATAGTGAAACATTTTAGCTGTCATTGAAAATTTGTCTGGCGAGTATTGCATCATCTGATCAGCTTTTCTTATCGGCCTTTTTAGCGACCACCGATCAAACTAGTTAAAGCCATTATTGGCCGATTATGATCGGTGACCGATTGATCGGAGCACCCTTACTGTCAACCAGTCAATAATTAACCAGTTTTTAAAAAACCTCATGGAGCTCAGAAAGATTCTCACAACCCAGAGAAAATCATTCAGAAAATAGGACTGCTCTATTCAGGCCATACAAGTTAGTTTTATTACTGTAAACTGTCCCACTCTGTAGTACATATCTTGGTTACAGTAGCCCATTATCACAGCAGACATTTTGACTTAACATAGTAGAAAAAGCACAGCTATTACTACTGTAACTGTACTGTATTGTATTGTGTCCCAGTAATCCTGTCCTATTGAAATCCAGCCTTCATTCATTTTATTATTTACACCTGTGATTTTCCTACTGTGACAGGTCTACTGCAGAAAACAACCAATTTAAAATTATTCAAAAATGTTTCTGTCCTGCTCTTTTGTTAAAAAAAAGACTCTTGGCTGATATATTGTTAATTTTTAAAAATTCTCAAATATCGATCTCAGTAACAGCTTCAAATTTCCAGAATCGTTCAGGCTAGACAGAGCTGATATCAGTCAAAGTATTGTAGCCGATCTGATTTTTATTGAAAATGACATAAGTGATAAAAAACAAGTAAACAGACTGCCTGCACAGTTTGCAAATTTGTTTGTAGGTCTTGTAAGGCAGCATTGTTGCACCTAACTTTGGATGTGTTTTGTTGCTTTACTGTTGCAGTTAAGGTAAACTAATCATGGCAGTGAAACTTGGGCTGCGTTATAGAATCAACAATTTCAACACTGAAAATATTGACTTCTCCATTATAATATAAGAAATGCTTTACCAATAGCCAATAAATGTGTTGAAGTTCATCTGCTATATTACAGCAGACTGAGTTAGGTATGTTTTCTCCTGTAAATTGACAATTCTTACATCCTTACTCATACAAAGCGCAGGCAGTGTGGATGACCGGAGGCCCGGGACAGCTCCTCGGTGTTTCCTGGACTCAAGCCGCGACACCAGGACGCTCCAGCGCGCTTGAACAGGGCTGCAGTCCCGGAGCCGTGGAGGATTCCTATAAGGTAACTCCGAGGCACCAGTCCAACACCGTGGACACACCACATCCTCACCCCGCTTCACTCACCTGTTCTGTGGATGTTTCGAAGCGAAATCCCCGCCATCCGACTCCGCCATCTTCTAGCACAGAGCAACACGCATAGGGCATTTTCAGAAATGTTACCAGAAGGTCAACGGCACGATTAGCCTGTTCATGCTGTTTTAAAACTGTAGAAACAGACTGTTATCCAGGCACGGACTAAAAATAGCTGTCCGTCTGAGGTCCTGTAGTGGACACGGTGTTGACCTCTCCTACCGGCTGTTTGCAACGCCTCTTTCTTCTGTACTGACAGTTTTTGGCCGCTCGGTGGCGCCACTGCTACATATCTACAGGTGTACTGGCTGCTGGAGATTGACCAGTGGTCTGATGGATCAGTAGTGGAAGAAGTATTTTGATCCTTCACTTATAGGCTAAGTAAAAGCAGCATTATCATAACCTAGAAATTCTCAGTTAAAAATTAAAGTCTTGCATTCAACCTTTTACTTAGTAATAAGTACAAAAGTAGGCTTTAACCAGGGAAATTAATTTACTGTCACCAGTAAAAGCACTAAATGAATGGTGAGTGTTATATTATTATGTATAATAAGCTATTATTAGATTATTATTATTATTATTAATGATAGCCTACATACATATGTACGTATTTAGGGGTTGTACTAGAACAGGTTTACATGGTTTCATTTTTAAAAAACACCATATTTTTTTTCATACTGCACTTTGCTGCAGCTCCACTTTTCACCCTGTGTTGAAGGCTTCATTTTAGCTATGGAGTGATACATCTTTAACGTCTCTAACTGATCTTTGTTGGGAGTTGCACAGTTCCTAGTTAAGGACTACTAGCCAATCAGAAGCAGAGAAGGGCGGGTCAGCGAGATTCAGCTGTAGGCTACATGTTGCCCACCAGCTTGGCAAAATGGACTGTAGCAAGAGTTTCAGAGTGGTCAGTTATTAATCTGTAATAAAGGTATCATCATCCATAAAGTTGTAACTGAGCTCTGTCTCTACATCACAGTATCAACTTTATGTCCATTGACTGCATGGAGGGTAGCTAGTGTTTGGAAGAGAGAGGAGAGGTGTGTGCTGCCGCTCAGTGTTTTTGTGGGCGTGTCGGACTAGCCGCTTGGCGAGGGTTATATGAGGCGCATTTAGCTTTCATCCCTGTGACATCACAGGGATGAAAAGGAAGTGGCTGATCTACAAATGAGCTGGGTTTTTGTGTTTTGTTTTTTTTTGATAGGCAGTGACAGACAGAAATCATAAAACGGTAGGAATCAAGAAAACCCTCCATAAAGACACTTCTTTCAAAATGACCATAAATGTTTGCACAGCCATGAAATGCAACTTCTAAGCTAAATGTACATAAACAGGACATGAGTTCACTGGGTATTGTTTTATTGCTAATGAAAATTTAGTTTGACAGTACAGAGTCGAGAGGATTCCTTTCTTCTATAGAGGCGTTATTAGCCTTATATTGCTTTGACATTCCAGGGCTCAACGTTAAACTTTTTTGCAACTGATATAGATATAGGGAGTACATCTGTTTTTTTTGTTGTTTTTTTTAACAGACTGCAAATACTCATTGAGCCACACCCATCCATACATTTGTCCAAAGCTTGATGAGCATTTGACATTACGTTTAAAACCTGAATATTATTGTTTTTAAATAGAAATGTAACAGGTAACAATAAGTTTTAACTAATTTAACTAATTGAAAGTTGGATAATTGCGTAGATGCAGATATACAATATAGAAGAATAATAACATTTAGGATCAAGGATATTTTGTGGGATTCAAGCGATTATAAAGAGGAACACTGTCAAAAGCATTAGCATTCATTCAGTTTGAGTATATTCTCTTCAGCAATAGATAAGGAGAGAGAACATTGTGCTGCAGATTTCCTCCTCAGTGGAGCTGGGAATCAACTGAAGACAGTCATATATTGTGGTCTCTGGCTCCCTGAATTGAACCCTCCGTTCGTCTTTCTGTCTATGGTTGGGTTCTGTGTCTGACCCGTAGTTGGGACTTGGCCTCTTCAGAATGGAGGTGGGGACTTTGCCATTGGTCACCTTATGTTTCGGTGTGTCCTCCTGTTGGTGGTGGGTGTCATTTCTGTGGCGGACCTCTAAGTGTTTCTCCCGGTGGGAATGAGGAAGACAGTTGACGGTGTCTCTCATGGACTCTGCAGCAGCGAAGCATTTGGACAGTGCAGACATACACTGACCCAGTGAGTCTAAATATTCAGTCTTGCCAATCTCAGCATAGACGGTGGCTGTAATGGGGTGATCATTACCAAAGGCCCTCTGCTGGATCTTTGTAGCCTTACCGCTGTATTCTAGAGCAAGATGAGGTTGTTTACTCATGATGCACAGCTGGGCCAGCCATTCGAGGTGCTGTGCCTGGGAGGCCTGCTCCGAAAGCTCCTCTGGAGTTGTCCATCCTGCAGAGCCCCGCGTAGCCTCCTCCTGAGGCCCTGTGCTCCCCTGAAGAGCCGTGAGCGCAATCAATGCCACTGAATACAACATTTTTTCAGCCTGGATGAACTGGAGTGCTTTCCCATAATTCTTTTCAGTGATGAAGAGTTCTGCAATCTGAGACAAGTGATTAATGCCCAAATCCTTGTAGATCCAGGGTCATCTGCTGGGAAAAATGGAGTCAGACTTTGTTTTCTCTGTTAGCTGAAAGACAACAGCAAGTGTCAGAAGACAGAATTTACTTTGTACTGTTAAACTGATATGTCTTTGACAATTGACCCTTCACTAAGCCCCGCCCCCTTAGTTACTGTTGCTAAGTCCGACAAACTGTTGGCGCTGCCACTGTCTATTACTGCACTCCCTGGAGAAATATTGTCAAATTTGTTGGAAAAAGCGATTTCAGAAAGAAGCAGACAGTTTTGCAGTTGTATTAAACATTTGAAGGTTCTATTCAGGCTGTCAAACTGACTCAAACAGACTTGAAAAAAATGAAAGATAGAAGCTAAAGTCTACCGATCACACAGTACAAGTGAACCACCACATCCCCCAACGACTGAGACAAAAGACTTTGGGCTTTTTCACCTTGCAAACCTATTACATGCACAAAAAAGGTCAATAACTCAATAAAGGATAAAAAAAAAAAGCATAATACCACCTCTTTAAAAGCCCTTCTCCCCAGTTCAGTAAGTACTGTATGGACACAGTATGGCAGAAAAAAAAAGTCATGGGAGGGAAGATAATAATGTCCCATACTTTTTTAAAGGATCAATAGTTATGAAGGACACAGTCCAAGAACGGCCTTATGAATAAGAATATATAAATTATTAAGTCTACGGACAAGTCAGATCATCAAACTGATCAGAGAAGCTTTGAGATTTGTGACATTAAGGGGAAAAAGTTAACACAAAGACACAAAGTTAAGTAGTTCACTTTAGATTAGATCTTTATTGTCCCACAAGAATAAATTATTTTTTCAGCAAGAGAAGCAGAATAAAAACATCAAACTTAAGCACATTAAAGATACAATAAGACATTTGAAGACATTAAAAGTGCTGCTGCTATGCACGCTATTCAAAATAAGAGAAGGTGAATGAATCAAAAAGCAAGGAAAATCGGCAACATGAAGAATAAAGATGAGAAAACAATGTGCTATGCTGTGTGAAGAACCAAGAGGTAGCACGTAATGTACATGCACCTAAACATGTTCATTTTCTTCTAATATGTCAGCAAGAGGAGGTGTTTCAGCTTTGGATGATACCAAAGCATCCCATTGCTCATTAACATTAAGTTTATCTCTGAGCTCTTCAAGACAAAAATGCTGAGGGAGGCTGTAATGTAGAGTCTACAGTCTCTGTAGAACAACCTGCTCCGCTGCCCAGCCTGAAGTGGATAAAAAGTAAAGCAGCTTGAGGAGGTGATGAAAACAGCAAGCCAAAGGTAGAGAAAGAAGATCTTCGACCCACTTTTTTTAACAGTGTAATTTTTAACCCTTGCCAATGATCTACAATGAATCATCCTTCATATCTAATGCTCGTCTAGTACATGGGAACAAAAGTCACCTGCACTAAAAGTGCAAGTGATTCTGACCGTATGAAACTGTAACTTGTATAAATGGGAAATGGGAAAAATAATAAGGATGTAAGATGAGGAGGAGTTGCAGAATGATCTCCAGGGGTCTCCAGGCCCACAACACGAACTAGAAGGATAGTTGGCTAGTGTAATATGGTGCCGTAAAGCAATACACCATTCTCGCAATAGGTTTCATGCCCATGATTCCAATGCTAGATAGTGCAATACCAGGCGCTCCAGACCCGTAGTGGCAACGACAGGGACACCAAGTCAGTGTAACATCAAAAGGTTTTTGTATATTTGTGACCTGTTTTAAAAGATTTACTTTTAAAGCGGCAAACAGGGCGGGGAAGTGAGAAAGTATTTTGAGACAGGCTTTAAGAATGTCAAACATCAAACAAGTTTAAGACAAAAGGTACACAGGTATAAATTGAGCTGTAACTCTATGTGTCACTGTGACCAATAATATAGCAACATGTTCAAGAGGGAGACAAAATAGAGTAGAGATCCAATAAGTGATCAGTATGTGCTGTAAATTCTGCTTATTCTGAAACTCCTTGACTAACACACACTTTTTCTGCAATGATAGTCTGCATGCAGCTTACTTAGCGATGGGCATAAAAAACACTAGACAGACGTAGGTGTCTGTACTCTGTTACTGTAGTTTCCACAGTCTCCTCCGGTATGTCTTTGTCAGTCAGCCTGCAGAGAACAAAAACAGTTGTAGGGAAATTAACTTGAAAAAAATATGAGAAGAAAATCAACAAAATGACTTCAAAGAGTTGTCACTTTCAGAATGGCTGCTGTGTCTGTCTACCAACCCAACCTCCCCCATGCCTCTGAAACTTGTGGTTTTGCTGCAGCTCATTTAACCTGAGAGATATGAGACTTCTCTGACATTTATGAGAAAGACAACAGAGTTCCATGAAGACAGGTTGAATACATGGACTCTTACATGCTGATGAATGATCCTTCTAGACTTTACACTATACCTCATGGAAACCTTGAAACACTGGCGTTCACTTCATGGATTTATTGTTATGTTTATGTTCCTTACAACGATCAGCAAAGGTAAATAAATATAAAAAACCCATCTTTTCTGCTTCTTCACTTAAGTAACCTTATGGCAACTTTTGGTTTACTGTTAACCTCTATCTGATGGTATCAAGTGCCGAATGTTAATCATACATATGAAAGTGAGAATTGTTTTTGCAGTACAAGTAAAACACAGCCACAAAATGTTGGTTAGCTTATCAGCAGCATGTGGTTTACACTAACAGATTACATCCGCATTGCGTTGCCCTTAGAATATTACTGAAAAGCTGATGATACACGGGACAACTTTTTGAGCAATTTTGCTGGGCAATCTTGCTGGTGGCAAGTCAGACTATGTTTTGAACGGATAGCAGCAGAGAGGGTGGCGGAGTGGTGGGGTAAGGGGGTTACGGAGGTAATTTTTACTCATTACCATCGACGGCAACATTGCCTAGCACCATTGCTCTAAAAGTTGCTCCGTGTATCATCAGCTAAGGGCTAGCCTTTCACAGTTTTGTTAAAAATTTACATTTTACATGTTGGCAGGTTGGATGTCTGTTTTCTCAGTTTTGAGCTTGAGTTTGCTCAGCACAATGGTTCATAGGGGTTCGGTGCTTGGACGGAAGGACTAAACCTCTAACCATGTCAGAATGACAAGTTTAATATGATGTATCACACATTACAAAATGCTTTACAGAATAATTAAAATACAATGATAAAATCGAAACAATATAATCAAGAGGTAACTTTAAAAGTAGATTAACAGCAAAAACGTTTAAATAAAATAAGAAAACTTCAATCATTTTTCAGCATTGGGTTTGTTGCATAAGATGTTTTCTCCAAAGAAAATGTTTTTGTTTATTTCTGTTTAAATCTTAAAATAAATGTTAAAATGAATTATTTGGATAATTTTTAAATGTTTTACTCCTAAGTTTCAGCATGTGAGGCTCCTTCCAGTCCTCAGTGCTTCAGAAGAAACACTGAGGAGTCCATGTACAGATGTGAATGGAGCATGAATATGACTGAGAGGGATGTGACATTTGACCTTTACTTTGAGTGAGTATTGTTTTGAGTTTGAGAGGAAATCCCAAAGCTTCTAAAGATTCCAAATACGTCAGGCTGAAGTTTAGGGAGATATGTCAAAAATTATGTAAAAGGTGTTTGGAATATTTGCCAAATTTTAGTAGAATATACACTGTATATGAGATACAGTCACATAATGTGTGTATATATATATTTGAAAGGAAAGGGAATTACAGTTTCTCACAAAAATGAGTACACCCCTCACCCCTCACATTTTTGTAAATATTTGATCATATCTTTTCATATGGCAACACTGAAGAAATCACACTTTGCTACAATGTAAAGTAGTGAGTGTACAGTTTGTATAACTAAATTTGCTGTTTCCTCAAAATAATACAACACACGGCCATTAATGTCTAAACTGCTGGCAACTGAAGTGAGTACAACCCTGAAAAGTGAAAATGTCCACATTGGGCCCACAGTGTCAATATTTTGTATGGCCACCATTATTTTCCAGCGCTGCCTTAACCCTCTTGGGCATGGAGTTCACCAGAGCTTCACGGATTGCCACTGGAGCCCTCTTCCACTCCTCCATGATGACGTCATGAAGCTGGTGGATGTTAGAGACCTTGTGCTCCTCGACATTCCATTTGAAGATGCCACACAGATGCTCAATAGGGTTTAGGTCTGGAGACATGCTTGGCCAGTCCATTACCTTTACCCTCAGCTTTTTTAGCAAGGCAGTGGTCATCTTGGAGGTGTTGTTATCATGTCTTCGGTTCGTTATCATGTTGGAATACTGCCCTGCGGCCCACTCTCGAAGGAAGGGGATCATGCTCTTCTTTAGTATGTCAGAGTACATGTTGGCATTCATGGTTCCCTCACTGAACTGTAGCTCCCCAGTGCCGGTGTTCTGTCGATTTATGCTACCTATCGAGATATGCTACTTAGCGGTTCTGCGCATGCGCACCACACGCAAGCATGGTCTGTTTCCACGCCCATAAATCTGTGCAACCTTGCTGTTGGGCATTCTGTCGAGACAGCGGCTAGTCATCAGCAATATCCAAATATAATAATTATTGGTCTATCAGAGTGCTACTCCTAAACTCTTAAATAAAGATGTTATAATATATATTCAACATTTTCCCCATCTCATTACAGTACACATGGAGTGAGTAGTGGTGCAAAATTAAATTATTCTGTCGTGGGAGCATTATTTGATAGGGGATAATAGTCTATCAGAATATGCTACCCCTGAAATTATGTTATAATATAATCTAAAAACCGAAGACGTCATAAAATGGGAAATGGGAACACATAAGGTAGCATTTTTCGATAGGGCTGAGTGACTCGATAGACTGCTATCGATTTGCGCTACGGTAGCATTTTTCGACAAGGCAACATATATCGTCAGAACACCGGTAGCACTCATGCAGCCCCAGACCATGACACTCCCACCACAATGCTTGACTGTAAGCAAGAAAACACTTGTCTTGTACTCCTCACCTGGTTGCCGCCACACACGCTTGACACCATTTGAACCAAATAAGTCTATCTTGGTCTCATCAGACCACAGGACGTAGTTCCAGTAATCCATGTCCTTAGTCTGCTTGTCTTCAGCAAAGTGTTTGCGGGCTTTTTTGTGTATCATCTTTAGAAGAGGCTTCCTTCTGGGACGACAGCCCTGCAGACCAATTTGAAGCGGTGTGCAGCGTATGGTCTGAGCACTGACAGGCTGACCCCACACCCCTTCAACCTCTGCAGCAATGCAGGCAGCACTCATATGTCTATTTCCCAAGACAACCTCCGGATATGACGGTGAGCATGAGCAACTCAACTTCTTTGGTCGACCATGTAAGGCCTGTTCTGAGTGGAACCAGTCCTGTTGAGGCGCTGTATGGTCTTGGCCACAATGCTGCAGCTCAGTTTCAGGGTCTTGGCAATCTTCTTATAGCCTAGCCCATCTTTATGTTGAGCAACCATTCTTCTTTTCAGATCCTCAGAGAGTTCTTTACATTGTTATACAAGCTGTAAACTCACTACGTTACTACAAAGTTAAAATACACTTTTAGTCTAAAGGTCAAGGTCTGTGTCGAGTCTATGCCATAGCCAACGGTGTAGGCTACGTGCCATCGTGAGCATTTACTCATACGTTGGTGTCTGCGTCGCTCTGCAATTACACTGCCAAAATGCTAGTTGGTGGTGGGGTTTCTAAGTTCCACGGTGTAGAGTTTCTTCTTCTTCGTTGGTGTAGGCTACTAAAAACATGTTACTTTTAGTGAAATTACTAAAACGAAGAAATGAGAGAAGGTGTCAGAGGGGCTGATATGTAAAACCCTTAAACCAACTGAAGCAGAAGAGAGACAAGCCGGAAATGTGTAAGAGGAAATGCAACCAAGTCAACCAATCACAATTCTTGCGGTCTGTGTTGCCACAACATGTAGTTACATTTTTGGGAGGTGCCTGTTAGGCTAAGGTGTATGGTGTGGCATACGGTAAAGCATAAGGTACAGCATAGGGTACGGCTTAGGGTATGGCTTAGGGTACAGCAGGGGGTATAATGTAGACTCAACAGTAAAGTATAAATTGGCCTAAATACTAGGGACAGGTGGGATGTTCTCAGTTTCTGCCATTTTCACTGCACTCAAAGTTCTTTACATATTCATCTGTAGTGGAAGAAAATTTGGAGGCATTAAGGAGACATGGTCTTGCATCAATGAAGAACAACTTATCCAATATCGTCCAGTTGATATTTGGGTAGAAGCTCACGTAGGAAACTCAAGCTGCACATCAACCAGGACATCTGTTGTACTCGTCCACACAGGTACTGGATGCTCCTCTTATTTAACAACATGGGAGATTAAAAGACACTGTTGTCCTTTTAATGGTACTTAACTGCAAGCTAGCTTTTATTTTTACTGTAATGTATGGGATTAGAACAGTCCCATAGTGTATCTGTAAATCTGCATCCATATCAATTTACAACTCATATCCATCTAAATAGCTGTTGATTCACAAATATATGTCATGGTTATTCAAGCTTATAAGTAGTAAAACAGGGGATCTGAACTAAAATGCAGACACCAAGGCTGAGCAGGTTCTGTTCTTAGAGTTTAAGGATGAAAATAACTCGCAAACAAAGTGAGGCAGGCAGTTCAGAAGGCAAAATCTAAAGTCCATAATTAAAAAGCAATAATCCAGACTCCAAAGTAAATCCAACAGAAGTCCAGAACACAGACAGAGGGAATTAAACAATGGGGAACACAAAGGACAAGTAGGTACGCTCAACGATATACTAATACAACATTAGAACAAACAATTGGGAGACACAGACTTAAATGTACAAGGTGGCAGGAAGATTAGTAAAGTGAAACATATTCAGACAATCAACAAGTCAAAACAAGTCCAAGTCGACTCGGGGTTAGCTGAATGAGTTTTGGAGGAGGGATTTCAGGGGCTAGTGTACTGAGAGCAGGAAAAAAGAGCTGGTACTCTCCGGCGGACAGCCATAGGGCTGGACAGAGACACAACAGAAGACCTAAGGCAAAGCAAAAAAAATTATCCAAGCTCCAAAGTATATCCAACAGAAATCCAGTACATAGGCAGAGGGAGTCAAATGGGGAACACAAATGACAGGCATGTACGCTCAGCCATATACGAAGATGAACTAACAACAAACAATTGGGAGACAGACTTAAATGCACAAGGTGGCTAGATGATTAAACACAGGTGAAACATATTCAGACAAGGAGCACACAGACAGGAGAGGCAGAAAACTTCAAAATAAAACAGAACTTAAATTCAAAACCATGACCATTTCCATTGAATGTTGATGTAATAAATATAAATATAAAAATAGTTGTAACTTAGAGACACAGATTCATTCCCAGATTTACTGGTATTTACAGATACAAATCACTCTACATTTATTTGTGCATTGTGTTTTACTCATCTTGAAATTTTTGAATGCTTGCATGACTCTTCTAATCCCATCTAATGTTACTATAGACAAAGCAGAAATGTATATAAAAGTAAATAAATGTTAAAATGTTAAATGTAAAAAACATCATATACAAAATATTTTGCTTTTTATTTGCTTGCAGTTAAGTACGAAGCACCACAAAATATTTCCATTTCTTGGTTAAACAACAACCTCATCTTAAGATGGAGACCTGCAGAAAACCATCCAGCTTTAGCCGAGATCTGGTTCCGACAACGTGACCTCCCCACAGAATCATGGGAGAAGGTGAGGCAAATTTTCTTAACAAATTTAGAGTATGTGAACCTGTTCTTTTACTTTAATGAACATATTTAACATTTTATCCATTGCTGTTACAGAGATTAATAACAACAAATATCACAGATGAGCCTCTAATGTGTGAGTAGTCTCTTATGTGTCATATATCTTTGTATTTAAAAAATAAAATAAAATAAAATTTATTTCAGCCTTGTTTTATATTTGTTGTCAGGGATTTATTTGTTCCGTGCTTCTTTGGGATATACAGTATATCTGAGACACACTGAAAGATCATACCAATGGTTTTGTATGTGATGTTTTAGCCAACTGATTACAACTCTCTTACATTGCCAACTATTTTCCCAAGAACACAATACATTTTAGACTTATTTCCCAACAACTGTAGTAGTTCTACTAATGCTGAGACAGAAGGGGCTGTAAGCTAAGACTGCGTGTGGTCAGAGGTGAAACAGAAAAGACAGCAAAACCCTGCTGTTCAGCCTGGAATTAAGTTAGAGGAACAAGAATTTTATGTTTTTCTTATTATTTAAACAGACCAGGTCACTGTTGTGAATCTGTTGAAGAATTCAGCTTACCAGGTTCAAATCAGACATAAGTCAAATCCGTCCATCATCAACCCACTGTGGAGCGACTGGTCTCAAGAAGTGATTGTTCCTGCAGGTGACGTCATTTATTTTACGGTGTATCGGTAACTACTTTGGATGTTATACTGTAAGTAATCCATTATTCTTTCCAGTGCTTGAAGTGGAAAAAAAAATAGGTGGTGTAGCACAAACGCCTTTTAAAGTCCTGCCCCACCAAGGATGTGACTGGAAAGTTCACGAAAAGTGGCATTGACGATTGACTTTATGAAGAGACTACTCTGTCTATTCAGACAGAGATTAACATGCTGGTGCCAACAGGAACAGGTGAGCGTCACATAATGCCCACTGGGTAATACAGTTTATAGGGCTGACCCTGAATAGTCAAAGATTCGATGTGCAGAGCCTGATTCGACTGTCAATCTCACAGTCGAAGCTTTGCATAAATTAAAATGCCACCTATTTCAATGAGGGGTGCAACAACTAATCGACGTAGTTTAATAATCGATTCGTTCATGACGTCATCGGGCCGTAGCGACACCGTCAGCTTAACGGAGTAAATTGATGTGAACAGTAAAGTTACAACAACATCAGAGCTGCAGTAACACCTTCACAACCTAAAACCTCCAGAGTGTGGCATCATTTCACTCTTCACACAGCCAGAAAGGTCATGAACTGCAGCAAAGCTGAGCTCTCCTGGAAACATCAGAGCATCTGAAGAGGAGGCGCGTAACCTTGTGGCTCTGTGGATGATGAAGACTCGTCTCGGTAAACTAGTTAGCGAGCTAGCTTCACGTTAAAGCCGTGTTACTTGACGTTATGAGCTGAAACGTTTTCTATACAGTTGGTCAATTTGATTGATTTTGACAGTATGGTGCTGAGAGTAGCACATAATTATGATACACAACGGCCGCGTTCAAATCCCAGTTGTGCCCTGACTTTACAATCATAAACGATGCATCGCTCATGACGACGTTCCCAGCTGGAGAACGTGTTGCTGCCGAGTGCGCAAGATTAGACAACACCGAACAATTTCATACTTTCTAAAGAAGAGAAAACAGTTCCTGTCTGTGCGTGAGGCGGTGGCTAATCCACCCCAAACGCCCTTAAAAAATCACGGAGGTTTGTTAGTTGTTGAGTAAGGGGAAACTCAGATCAGCTGCTTATATTATACGTTCATTAAAAGATGCATTTTTGAAAGCTGTATTTATTTTATTGTCATGACTGTTAATTAGCACATGCCTAAAACAACCTCCGGTTTAATTTAAAGGCTAATAGCTAAATGAGAGGCATTGCGTCATTTTGCGATTCATGATCCGAATAGTCGATTATCTGTTTCAATGATCGACAGATTAATCGACTATCAAAATAGTCGTTAGTTGCAGCCCTAATTACAATATACACTTCAATGTGTAATGCTGTAAATAAACAGATGAAAAGAAAGAAGCTTTTAATAAATGTTTTTAAAGTGCAAGAATAAATCCAAAATTGTAACCCTAACCCTTAAGGAAGGGGGCGTCAGTGCGCATGTGTGGGCATAATGTGTATGTGTGTAGTGGCAGAAGTACACTTGCTGAAGAGACTGAGCCCCAGCTTTGCCGGTGTTGTGCCCAGTTGTCTGCCCCTCGTGAGACGTTAGGATCATTTATCAACATTGATGAACCTCACAAAGAATAATGTATCGTTTTTAAACAGTACCGCGATGTGCATGTACAGTTAGTTGACAGGCACGCAGAATGGCAGGCGAGCAGAGAGAAAAGGGTCAACAGTAAGCCTCAGTATAGTTGGAAATCTACAGTGTAATGTACAAGAAACAGTGACTAATAAAGTCGACTATAGGCAAGAATAGACAATTCTGATTCGACTATGTAAATCCTTAGGCAGGGAACGTCCTACTAGTTTATTTAGGACCATAGGAAACAACCAGAGAACCTGATATGGAGAGGGCAGAAAACTGTACCGGCAGCTTGTGAGAAGTGTTGGTATGCAAGAAAAAGTCCCGGTACGCTAGAGCATAATGTAGTGCCAGTACTTGCGTACCGGTGAGGACCGGCCCACTTCAAGCACTGGTTGTGATTGAAATAATTTTTGTTTAGTGATATACATCATTACAAAAGGTAAATGTTAAATAATTTTAAAGCTGCACTAGGCCTACTGTAAGTCCAATTAATTTGTAAACCTAAATCACAAAGTGTCACTACAACAGAGAAGGGCATCAAACCCCCACTGACTGATATCTACCCTCTCTAAATTGTGTTTTCAGGTATGACTACTAGCCTGAAATAGTCTGTGCACACTGGATTTCATAAATCCAAACTCAAACATGAAATATATATTTTAGAAATTAAAAGCCCCATCTGAACACCTTTAACATCAACATTATTTTACTTAATTTCTCAGGTTTTAATTCCTCAAAAGTTATACAGATGCCTCTTTCCTGCTTTTGGAAATGGTAAACTGTGAACTGGTGCAGCTTTACAGAAAAATATTTAAGATTTATTCCAGTAAAGGTTTTTGTTAAAAAAGCTGAGACAAAGAGTTTCAAACAAGATTTAAAAATATTCAACATAAATTTCATGCTCACTAATATTTTGTGTTTTTACTGCAGAACTTGAAGAAGAACCTGAAGTCTACATGACAACAGAACTAACTAAAGCAAATGGGACTCGAATGGTGACACTAATTTTAAAGGTGAGCCAGTGATATGGAAGACATAAACACTTGTGTGTTTAGAGAATTTTGTGAGAAATGTTGATTTGAACTGAAAGCTTCATGCATAATTTTGAATAATTTAACAGTTTGCTGTGTTTGTATGAACTCTGAGCTCTCTTCTGCTCTTCAGCCGGTGCCACCTGCTGCAGCAGTCAGTGGAGTGAATTACAGCCTGAATGACACACATTCTTCTCGTGGATGTCCTTGTCGGAAAATGAGACCTATCTATGACATAAAAAAAAATACATACACCACTTATGTCTCATACTCTGCTGTCAACATCTCTGTTTTCGCTATAAACAGAGCAGGGTATTCTCCTCCAGCAGTCATACAAGTACCTGCCGCAACTGCTGCAGATTTAAAAAGTAGGTTAAAGTGTATGTGTGTGTGCTTGAGTGTGTCACATATTATGTATATTTATCCTTAAGTAGACCTTTAAAGGCTGTTATTTCTGTTTTCTTCCCTGGCAGCTTGTAACCAAACGTTACTGGATAAAAAATTTAAAACACAAACTTGCCTTGAGTTCTACAAGCTTCAGGATGGAGATTCAAGGCCAGAAAATGTCATCACTTTAACGAAAAGGATGGGGGAGAAAAAAAGGAAGCAAATCAGAAAGAGTAAGTTGCATTTAAAGTCCTTTTAGGCACACAACTTCATCCCCTCAGCTCTACAGAGGACAAGCTAACTTTTGGCCTAATTGTGATCCTAATCGAGTTGACGGTTTTAAGACGTACAGAGGTACAAAAACATTATTTTCAAATATTATTTGATTTTTTTTACAGCATTACAAAGATAATAAAAATGGTAACATTACAAACCTGAACCAAATGCAGTGGTAATTTCACACCAAACACATCTGCTGTGCAATTGTTGTTTGTGTCATTAATACTTGTGCATTGAATGCTGGGACACACTTGTGTGTATTTTTTGTGTAAGACAAACTATTAATTAATTTGGTTCTGTCTTCCGTCACAGCCATGGAGGACTACGTTCGCTACCTTTACTTTGAACACAGATGTGACCGTGGGAAACCAAAGACAGTTAAAATGTGCCTCTTTTATCAAAAAGAGGGTGGTATGTAATCCTTAAATTTGGAGTCACACATTATTTTATTATTGCCCTCAAGGACCTCCACGTACAAGTGTTTATATGGTTGAGTTTGAGTAGTTTTAGGCACATAAATGACTTGGTTAGGGTCAGGAAAACAATGTATGTGTTAAAGTCAAATGTTTTGTTGAACCATCCAACCCCTGAACCTCCTCCCTCAGTGGACTTTGTGGCTCCATAATAACAATGTATGTGTCACATATATTCCTTCCTTTACTCCCAGCAGACAAGAGTCGTAATTACTACAGCTGCTAGAGAGCTTTGTCACCATAAACTTTGCCCTTTTTAGTTAATTTGCTAAAGTCCTTTTTCTTGGCTTACAATTAGCAATTTACTACACATTTTGTGGTGACAGTGTGTGATCCACCAACTCATCTACCTGACACCTGGGCATCAATAATAAGTCAACATAAGTGGTGCTCTCGTGTATGTGTGCATGTGCTATGTGACAATCTGCCTGGGTGCTAGGTAGCAGTGAAAACATGGTATGCAATTTCATTGATTTGGGCATTCTCTCAGTAAGCAAGTGGTCGATTTGATAATCAGTGTTTGGAGAAATGCTTTACCAAAGTAACTCAGTCGCAGTAATATTTAGCTTTTTGCTGTAACACAGTAATATGCTAATAAAATGTAGGTAATTTTATACACGTTACAATCTAAATAATGCGCATTACAATCTCAATAATGCACGTATAATAATTCCCCAACACCGCAAAACATTTCGGCACCAGAAAAAAACCTGTGAGTAAAAGGGGGAGCTTGGCTCTTCTTAATAGACGGTAGCTCCAGTGATAACATGATTTGTAAAATTTTGGGGGTCTCTAAAATGTTGTCAATATGGATCATGCATAAATATAATTCTGTACGTTTTTTGTTTTTTTTAACAATTTTCTTTCATGATTAGAGAGGCTGCTGTCAGCGCATCCTGACCATTCCTGTTGGAGCGTCGTGAGAGTTAAATAATCAATGAAGTTATGCTGCTATACCTTGTGCGGAAATATGCACAGCGTCTTTCTTTATGGGAAGATGATTCATCCTATTTCACCTATGTGCAACCCACCCGCTATTAATCAGAATGTAAATTTTTATGACAAAGACCCACCCAATCCTCGGGTCTAACTGTATATGCACATCACTAGAACCTACCTTTGCAGGCACATCTTACTATCTGAATGAGCTATGTAGCTATTTTTAACTAAAAATGTTGTTTTTCTCTTCAGAGCCTCTCAGAAAACCTCAGGACTTCATTGCTTTTGATGAAACACAGAGTTCCGCTGTCCTGTCTTGGAAAGCGATTCCATCTGTAGACCAGCGAGGTTTCCTCACACACTACAGCCTCTGCAGCGTGAAAATCAGCTCACAAGATGAGCCGAAAGGTGTGAAGTAAATTTTTTACTCATCTGTAGCTTTTTGCACTTATTGCAAGCGAACAATATTTCACCAACTTCTGACAAACAGTGAGGAAAAACTGAGAAAATTAAACTTTGTCAGCTACACAGCTACACATGTTTGACTGTGATGGCAACTTTCTGTATCTTTTCCCAAATCTCATTTCATCAGAGTGCTGTAACTTATCAGCCTCACTGATAAAACACCATCTGGAAAACTTGACACCTGGAGCAAAATACAACATCACCCTGGCCGGAGTGACACGAGTGGGTGAAGGCCCAAAAGCCACAATAACTATCAACACACTCCCAGAGAACCCTGTGAATGGTATCAGAGTTACAAAATTAACCTATGTGTTGAAACAGCTTTGTTTTGTTTTTTGTAGTTAAATACAAGTCATTTGAGCAGTTTTCCACATGTGGGTGCTAACAAATGTTTCCCTATCTTCCTTTTCCTCATAATTAGTGTGGTGGAGTCTCGGCTTGCTGTTTGTGTTCTTTTTAATCTCAATAATGTGCACCTTAATCTTGAAGAGGTAGGTGACTCTTACTGTAAATATTCTGCATTTTGAGATAAATAATAAATAAACCTTACAACATAAGGCATGCATAATACATTAGATAGGGATGCATTGGATTTCCCCCATTCTGGTCTATATCTCCCTGCCTCTGCTGAATTATTTTATCCCTGGTGGGGACAAAATGTATCCCCCCTCAAAGTGATCAATGCTATTAGTGGTGCAATGGATCACAATCACTAGGGATTTGTTAAGGTTAAATCGATTTTGAAATGTGCCATTTTGGCTCTGAGGTAGCCGCCTTTCTTTGTCTTTAATAACCACTTTGTAGTCTTGCTCAGTGTAGGACTGAAACGATTCATCAGTTAAATCGATTAATTCGACAACTTAAAGGTAAGAGCTGTGAGATTGTTTTGGCGTTTTCCCCCTCTTGTTGTTCCTCTCCTCTCCTGGAATGTTCATTCAAGGCTGAGAGAGGATCTCTGTTCCCCAAAACACAGAAACCTAGACTGTCTAAATGATAATGCATCCCTTTGCTCGGGGCCAGACGCCCGAAGCTGCCCTGCATCGATGCTTCGTTTAAACTGTCTTGCGCACTGTTTTGCATGGACATTTATCACTACATCGCACATCGCGCTTGAGCTGTGATCAAGCAAACACGGCGTGTTTATGATGGTGCCGTTTGCAAAGTAGAGGAAGACAGAGAAAATTGCCAGGGACGAAGACAAAATTGTTCAAAGTATAGGATTATTTCAAGATAAAAGAAATCAACAACTCTGTAATTCTACAGTCTTGCACCGTAAAACGAAACTAATGTAACAGCACGACGGCACCTGATCAGAAAGCACCCGGACCTCTGCCAGCGGACTACAGACAAGGTAACAGTAACAGCAACTTTAGCGTTTAACTGAAATCATGATTGATTGTTGAGTTGAAGGCTAACAAAAGTAAGGCGCAATCCTCAGCTGTAAATGTATACACGTGCGTTTGTAGTTCTCTGCCTGGTTGGGCCCTGAGTTTGGGTTGTAACGTCACAGTCATGAGTTAACAGCTGGGGCGCCAAGCAAAAGTACTTCTTAAACGAAGAATCGATTAAATAATCTGTAGAATACTCGATTACTAAAATCAGCGTTAGCTGCAGCCCTAGCTCAATGTCCTGCCCATTGAACTGGGCAGGATAACCAATCTGATTGGTTACATGTCACAAATAATAGCCTATCAACACTTGCGAGATGGGAGCTGCTCTGATGACCAGTGGAGCTGTGTGTTGGAGAGATTTTTAGCAGATACTACAGAAGTGGGAATTAACATTACAATCTGATGATCTGTTTCTATGATGACAAGCAGCCCAGTGTCCCAGTCACACTCAATGCCGGCGAAATCGACAGCTCTTCCTTAATCCAGTCACTGTGCTTGAGAGTTATTGCGCTATTAGAATAAAAATATTGCTCTAGTTTACTAGATAAGTTGAATAATAAAAAAAAAAGCCTGTTAAAATATTCCTGCAAAAGCAGTGAAAAAGTTCAAGTTTTCAAATTTGTGGTTTCCCTTCATGAATAAAAACGTTTCAACGCCCCCCCCCCCCCCCCCAAAAAAAATCACACTGTCAGTTTCATTGTTAATACACAGACTATGAGTAACAAAATTATATTACAATTTGTAGCAAACTCTTTGCTTGTAAATTTTGAATCTAGAATTTATATTTGTGGATCATGTATAGTTTAAGGATTTTGAATCTATTTGTAGATTGTGTTTTGTGTTAACAAATATAACTTTGTGACTCATAGTTTGCGCATCTACAATGATATTGACATTGATTTACCCCCACAGATCTAACTAATGGTGAACATTAGTGCAGTGTGTTTACAGAATAAATGCCATACACATCTGCTTTAAGTTTGAAGTTGCTGTTTTAACTGCAATCTTTAAATCCACTGTTTATCCTAGGTGATGCTTTTTGTAACAGTTTCAACTCTGTTCTAAATCTTAGAATCCAAAACAAGATCTTCCCTCCTGTGCCGACACCGGTTATTCCAGAGTTCACTTCTCATCCAGCAGAGAGTCAGGTAAGACACCTTGCCAGGGATTATCAGCTGTATGTGTGGAGTTCTTGCACAGCTTTAAACAGCTGGACATTATATTGTCCACAATGGTGGAACTTTTTCTTCAACTTTAACCGATATTTTAAGTTATCAGTTTAAAAAGTTAAAGCATAAAACATTGTAGACAACGTACAACACTAAAGAAGATATAAAAAACACTAAGTGATTCTAAAAAATATAAAAACTACAATCTCAGGTTTACGATTTAAAATTTTGTAAAAATCTACAAATAATACAGCAAACAAACAATTTTATTTAGAGAGATTAGCTGCATTTACACCATAATATTCCTTTAATAATCGGAATAATAGCCTAATCTGAATAAAACTGCCTCCCATCCCAAGTGTACACATGATGGCAACGAGGTAGCAAATAAGTTGTATATTTTAACGTGTGTGTGCGCTTGTGTTTTGTGTGTGGAGGCTTAGAAGAGCAAAAGACAGACGAAGAGAGACTGATGGTGCAACTGGATGTGTTGCACGTATTTTTTTGTGGATTAAGAGGGAAGTGGATTAAATGGAGGAAAGTCCCTCATGAATCTGCTAAAAGACCATGTGAGAAAACCACAAACGTTCAATTTGACCAGAAAGCAGAACTACAATCAAACAAGATTGTCAGATGTGTCAGTGTCAGGAAACCATGTGATGTCACATCCTCATACCTACAGTGCCTTGCGAAAGTATTCGGCCCCCTTGAACTTTGACCTTTTGCCACATTGCAGGCTTCAAACATAAAGATATAAAACTGTAATTTTTTGTGAAGAACCAACAACAAGTGGGACACAATCATGAAGTGGAACGAAATTTATTGGATATTTCAAACTTTTTTAACAAATAAAAAACTGAAAAATTGGGTGTGCAAAATTATTCAGCCCCCTTAAGTTAATACTTTGTAGCGCCACCTTTTGCTGCGATTACAGCTGTAAGTCGCTTGGGGTACGTCTCTATCAGTTTCGCACATCGAGAGACTGAAATTTTTGCCCATTCCTCCTTGCAAAACAGCTTGAGCTCAGTGAGGTTGGATGGAGAGCGTTTGTGAACAGCAGTTTTCAGTTCTTTCCACAGATTCTCGATTGGATTCAGGTCTGGACTTTGACTTGGCCATTCTAACACCTGGATGTGTTTATTTGTGAACCATTCCAGTGTAGATTTTGCTTTATGTTTTGGATCATTGTCTTGTTGGAAGACAAATCTCCGTCCCAGTCTCAGGTCGTTTGCAGACTCCATCAGGTTTTCTTCCAGAATGGTCCTGTATTTGGCTCCATCCATCTTCCCATCAATTTTAACCATCTTCCCCGTCCCTGCTGAAGAAAAGCAGGCCCAAACCATGATGCTGCCACCACCATGTTTGACAGTGGGGATGGTGTGTTCAGGGTGATGAGCTGTGTTGCCTTTACGCCAAACCTAACGTTTTGCATTGTTGCCAAAAAAAAAAAATTTTGGTTTCATCTGACCAGAGCACCTTCTTCCACATGTTTGGTGTGTCTCCCAGGTGGCTTGTGACAAACTTTAAACAAGACTTTTTATGGATATTTTTGAGAAATGGCTTTCTTCTTTCCACTCTTCCACAAAGGCCAGATTTGTGCAGTATACGACTGATTGTTGTCCTATGGACAGAGTCTCCCACCTCAGCTGTAGATCTCTGCAGTTCATCCAGAGTGATCATGGGCCTCTTGGCTGCGTCTCTGATCAGTCTTCTCCTTGTATGAGCTGAAAGTTTAGGGGGACAGCCGGGTCTTCGTAGATTTGCAGTGGTCTGATACTCCTTCCATTTCAATATTATCGCTTGCACAGTGCTCCTTGGGATGTTTAAAGCTTGGGAAATCTTTTTGTATCCAAATCCGGCTTTAAACTTCTCCACAACAGTCAACGTTGGATCATTCAGAGATCCTCACTGAACTTCCGGAGAGAGTTTGCTGCACTGAAAGTAAAGGGGCTGAATAATTTTGCACGCCCAATTTTTCAGTTTTTTATTTGTTTAAAAAGGTTTGAAATATCCAATAAATTTCGTTCCACTTCATAATTGTGTCCCACTTGTTGTTGATTCTTCACAAAAACATATATTTATATCTTTATGTTTGAAGCCTGAAATGTGGCAAAAGGTCGAAAAGTTCAAGGGGGCTGAATACTTTCGCAAGGCACTGTAAATGACATTCATTCATTTGCAAGTGACTCCCAAAAAGACATATGACCGATGGCTCTCACTCTCACACTTACTCATCGTCAACTGCTTATCCTGTGTACAGGGTCACGGGGGACTGGAGCCAATCACAGCTGACATTGTGCGACAGGCAGGGTACACCCTGGATAGGTCGCCAGTCCATTGCAGCATTTACATTTTGATCAAACAGAAATTGACACCGACTCTGCAGCATCTTTCAGTGCAGTGTATCTTAGAAGATATGTCAAGAGAGTTAAATCTGGGGTAGGCAATGTTGGAGAATTAGCAAGAGATAGCTAGCTTCTGAAATCAATTCCCTACCCCAGCTTTAAGTGAAGAGAGAGGAGCGTCTACACCTCACTTGCTCTTAAAACTGTCCAATAAATTAAATTAAATATTCATTTTGACACACATTTTTTCCCAAACATTCATGCGTCCTAAAAGATGAAGATGAACCCTAGTGACTTGGTGATTGCTTGACTTTGCCTCTAGCACCACACTGAGGTTTACATTTGTTGTTCTGATATAATATAGTAATTTTCTTTCCTTCTGTTCTACTTTGTCTGAGTTTTCTTTGAAAGGGGGCAGCAAGCAAAGAACATTATTGAAGTGATGTTTGTTCTCTGGCATATGAAAATAACGTGGAATCTTGAATCTTACTGCCCTTTGCTAATGTGACCTACAACAGGAGATGCTGGAGGAAAAAGAGGAGGTGGATGAGCTGACGCTGTACCAGCTACACCCAGAGGGCAAGTCTGTCTCCGAAGACGCAGAGGAGATCACTGACCTTGCAGGAGAGTGGGATGATGGCACTGACGAGGACATTGAGAATGTGAGGGGTGATTCACGGATGTCAGGAGGAACCAGCGATGAGTGTTTGAATAACAGCTCCACAGCTCAGGTACTAAGGAGGTCCACTCTAGGAGAAATTACAGATCTGGAACAGGTGGACAACGAGATCGCCATGCTGATATACAGGAATGGTTTGGTTTTTGATGTGAAGACAGATTCGCCTTAAAATGGATTTCACTGAGGGTTTTACTGCCTCACAAGCACAAACTTGAACAAAAACTATTAAGGGTTCACATGTTTGTTGACTTATATGAAAGACTGGACAAATACTTTTCATGTTCTAATAGTTTTATCTTTTTGAGCGTATATTGTCTTTTTGCAATGTTCTAATCTAAAATTGTCTTGTTAAAATGAAAATATATGTTGAATTTTCATGTTGAGTTATGCATGTGACATTTTTATATAAGGACGCAAGTATACAAAAGCAGAAGAGTTAACCATTCACAGGCTTTGTCAATGCCTGTGCCAATAAACCTTTTTTTATTTGTGCAGAGCAAATCCTGGTTTAGACTTTTATGCTTTCAACTTTTTGCATGTTTTAGGTGTTCAAAAATCTCATCATAGACACATTTGATTTTAGTGGTATTCTTTGGGGATGGTCTATCAGTAGGTCCACCACTTGGTCCAATATCTAAACAACTGTTTGACAGACATTAATGATCCTCAGAGGATGAACTCTGAACTGTAGACTCTTGCTTTTGTCAGCAGCTATACCTAGATCCAAGGATGTAGGTTTCGTGTCAACAGTGGAGGGGGCACTTGTGTCAATGGCACATCAATGATAAATGAATTCAGTAGAAATCATTATTCTCTTGCTAATTTGCATCTGACTGTTAACTGTTTATGTACTTAATACATTGACTAGACACTAATGGAACAGCGGTTCTATTTAGATGTTTTGGTCAAAATTATTGGGACGATTCAGTAGTCGCTGAATAATGGTAGTGATATGTCCCTAACTTCTGTCTTTGTCCGTGTCTAGCTCAATCTCAATGAAAATCAATAAAATAAACTAAAATATTATCAAACCATAAAATGTTATACCTATACGTATACCTATGATAAGAGATACACCAATAAAACAACCATAAAGAGTCTGACACATTGTTGGTCAGTATACCAACCTGATGCTGCAAAAACAGAGAACCAGTGTATGTGATAGCTCAGCAGCACAAAAGTGAGCCTGTCAAGAGTTGAACATGTGACAGGAAGTGGTCGCAAAAAGACCATAAGACCTTAAATGAGGCAGCACATGCAAGGTGAAATGCTAGATTACTCATAACCAAAGAAACTTCTGTAGTGTTTCAGTCTACCCCGTTTGAATTAGAACATGTAGTGTCGATTTTGTAAGAAGTGATGACACTTAACAGAATTTTCCACCACGCTGCAAGGTGTTTTTTTCTGGTGCCTGTCAATTTTATTTGAGGCCTGCTTGAGAAGAGTGAAATCAGCAAGAACGTCCCTCTGTTGACAGCCACAGTTTAATCTCTCATCTTACCACATCAAGATTAAAATCATCTGTCCTGACCACAGACAATCATGCCCAACATCTGATAAATGTAATGTGTGAAAAAATACAATACAGATACCAAAACAGATACCACTGTCTTGTGTTTATGTGTGTATTCATTATAGCAAAGACATAGTTCCCAGAGCTTATTTATCAAGGTTTAATACCTATACTTAATTGTTAAATTCTACCTATATGGTGTATTTCAGTAAGCATTTACACAGAATTTTTGAGTATTTATGACGTTCCTCTATAAGTTAATAAAATAATAACATCCTGAGATGCATGACAGGGCACAATGTTGGTGACATGAGATGTAAAGATGCATCTTAATAACAACTATTTAAAGCAATTGTTCTACATTTGAAAAATGTAAATATGCTTCTTCTCGTTCTCACCAAGTGTTAGATGTGAAGATTGACACCACTTTCATGTCTAGATGAAAAATATGAAGCCAAGATGGGCAGCCAGTTAGCTTAGCTTAAGAGCTCAGTAAACACTGAGTTTCTCACTCATTTTCATTTTGTAAATTATGATGCTGGTACCTTTCTTGTGGAATAAAGCAGGTCGGAGTTGTTTTGAAAATGCATCAAATTAAGCAAAGTTGCAATCATTGGTAATTTCTTCATTCATTTTCATGCAGCTCATAGCTGAATAACTTGCAAAGTGCTTGTAGCCTCTAAGGGAAACACATAAAAAAAAAAAAAGCAGGACTCATCTTTTCAGATTCAGAGGCTCCATACAGCTTACCACAGCAGGTTTTCCTGGTCCCAACCTCTGGTTCTCAAAAGTAAAAAATTTCACATTTATGTTTGTCACACAAATTGAGCAATTATCGTCCGTGACCCACCATTGGAAATGCTCCTAAAGAGCCTACGGCAAGCTGGAGCTTGTTGTAGGCCCTTGTAGGCTCTAGGCCCCCCTTTGGTTTTAAATGGTCAAATAATGTCATGTTGATTGGTCCACTATTGGTTACAATTGATCCAGATTTAATTTCAGGATGTTTTGAGATTATCTGGATTGAAGAACAGAAGAGGTAAAAGTGTCTGGCATCAGTTTTCAATGAGAAGAAATTAGATGTTGTCTTGTGAGACCAAATATGTAAATTAAAAACCGAACAGACAGGGAGCTGATGTCTGCCAAATGCATCAGTTGGTTGATTAAGATGTTATAACATAATGTATGTAGTGGTTTGGTTTACCAGTGGTCTTTCAACACCAAGAGAAAACAATGTTTGTCTCTATACTATGAGCTGTCCAAAGGGAAGGGAAGTGCAATGGGCACCTTTAGATTCAGTCATGTCACTAATATTTAAAGTAGTTGAACAGCATTTGGAGTTTTATTTTGACTTTATTGTCATACAATAGGTGTTGCCCTTAATGCACATTATGCTGGTTTCCTCTATTAATACTCTGTAATAGGGTGGTGGTGATGACGCAGTGGATGACACATGCCTCTAGTGTGAGAGACCTGGGTTCAATCCCCCACTGTGACACATCCATCATTGTGTCCCTGAGCAAGACACTTAACCCCTAGTCGCTCCAGAGGCATGCAACTAGTATGTATAGCAATTGTAAGTCGCATTGGATAAAAGCGTCAGCTAAATGAGTAAATGTAATACAGTACTTAAGTGTTTCATTCATGTCATATGTTGGAGCCTTTGTCCAGCAGGATAGAGGCCTCGGCTGACTTGTTTTATTTGTAGGTATGTCCTCCCTCCCTTCTGATTTTAAAAAGAAAATAATATAATCTGAGTCAGATTAAATAACAAGGTAGTTTAAGAGACAGCTACAGCAGGTAGAATAAAAGGGTTTTTACTAAGGATCCTGTTTTTATTTTCTATTCAACTCTTTTAAAACTTTTTCATATTTCCCTGTTGCTTTTATGTTTTATGTAAAGCACTTTGAAGTACCTTGTTGTTGAAATGAGCTATAAAATAAACTTGCTTTGCCATGCCTTGAATTCAGTCTGCTTTCCCACCTGTACTGTGACTCATTCCCACCAGAGGGCAGTGTCAGCTGCAGTTTTGAAATCAGAAACTTGTATCTCATCACCCCAGCTGAGTCTGTGTATTCAATATGTCACAGTTTGAGGGTTTATTATTAGCACACAGAACATTTCTGAGCAGTCTGGGGTGTATTTAATTTACAATAAAATCTGCAGGGAATTATTATTTCCTCCAGTGGACTGGCCTCCATCACAACTAGGCAGAGAGGGGAAAGCATCTGGGAAGGGAAGATGTGTGGTTGTTCCACTAAATGATTGGTGAATCTAGCAGGAATGTAACTGGTTTGAACACCTGAAAAAGGTTTTAAATTGCTGAAGAAATCTGAGATTTGGGCAGCGATTCAAAGATGTAAAACCAGGCTAAGAAATGGGAAAATCCCCCGCAAAATGTAAATATGAGGGAGGGAAATGTGTGTATGTATAGTCTGCAAGTCAAGACTCTGTGTGGGATATATGGTTTGAAAAAGCTTTGTATGGAAAGAAACATTACATACATTACATTACAATACATTACATTACATTGCATCAAGCTTATCTGACAAATCAGCTGTAACATTATGCCTTGTGGAATATGACAGAACCTAGTCATCTTAAACAAAAACATTAGTCACATGAGTCACTCTGATGTTAGCAAGGCTAACAAGATATTCATGTTAGTAAGATTTATTCAAACAGCAAAGCAACAAGTTTAAGATGGACAAACCTTTGACAGGGAAGACAAACAGTAAAAACAGTAATGCTCACCAAGCAAACAAACTACAAAGAAGTCTGTCTTGCTCTTGAGTTCTGTGTTTCTAATAAGTGAGGTAACCTTGTGTCTTTTGGGTATACATTTTTTTTAAAACTTCAAAGTGTATCTGGTTCTGCAAAGACAACACAGACACAAGGTTTGTACATATACTTTATTACTTCAGGTGTCCATGTGAGTTTTCTCTGAAGGTCAAATAAGATTATTTATTATCAATGAGGGGAAAATTGGCTGTAAACAAATGACATGAATTTTCCTTGATGACTTCTGAAACCATACCATTTTAGATTCAGTTCAGGGCTTGCTGTTGTTTCTGCTGATGTCAAGTGGAAAACAGGATCTATATCATCCTCACACCTACAGGTCAATAGCGCTGCGGTATGTGATTATTAACACGCAAACAGGTGTTATTTCCATAACACTCTTGTTTCAACTCTAAAAGCTTTGAAGTAATGCGGTTAGTTTCAACGGTTTATCTAATGATTTACTATTAATCTGTCAGCAAATGGCAGCTAATAAGCATCCATGCAACAATCTATTTATTTTCAGTTCAATTCAATTTTATTTATATAGCACCAAATTACAACAACAGTTATCGCACAGCGCTTTTCATAAAAAAGCAGGTCTAGACTGTACTCTGTGATGTTATTTACAGAAGCCCAACAATCCCACCAAGAGCAAGCACTAGGCGACAGAGGCAAGGAAAAACTTCCTTTTAAGAGGCAGAAACCTCGAGCAGAACCATGGCTCAGGGTGGGCGGTCATCTGCCTCGAGAGAGGAGCTCAGTGCATCATAGGAAATCGCCCGACAGTCTAGGCCTATAGCAGCATAACTAAGGGATGGTTCAGGACTCACCTGAGCCAGCCCTAACTATAAGCTTTATCAAAGAGGAATGTCTAAAGCCTACTCTTAAATGTGGAGATGGTGTCTGCCTCCTGAGCCCAAACTGGAACCTGGTTCCACAGGAGAGGAGCTTGATAGCTTGTAACGCTCTGGCTCCTTGTCTAGTTTTGGAGACTCTAGGAACCACAAGTAACCCTGCATTCTGGGAGCGCAGTGCTCTGGTGGGGTTGTAAGGTACTATGAGCTCTTTCAGATAATATGGTGCCTGACCATTAAGAGCTTTGTAGGTAAGAAGAATGATTTTAAATTCTATTCTGGATTTTACTGGAAGCCAATGCAGAGAAGCTAAGACAGGAGAAATATGAAATGAATATATCTTTTCCTGGTTCCTGTCAGAACACGTGCTGCAGCATTCTGGATCAGCTGAAGAGTCTTAATGGACTTTTTCAAGCAGCCTGATAATAAAGAATTGCAGTAATCCAGCCTAGAAGTAACAAATGCATGGACTAGTTTTTCTGCATAATTTTTAGACAGAATATTCCTGATTTTCGCAATATTACGTAAGTGAAAAAAGGCTGTCCTTGAAATTTGCTTAATGTGAGACTTAAACAACATGTCTTGATCAAAGATAACCAAGATTCCTCACAGTGGTGCTGGAGGCCAGGGCGATCCCATCAAGGGAAACTTAGCTATCTTAGTTAATGCGTCACGGAGGTGCTTAGGCCCCCAGAACAATAACTTCAGTTTTATCTGAGTTTAACATTAGAAAATTACAGGTCATCCAGGTTTTAACATCATGAAGGCACATTTGAAGTTTAGCTAACTGATGAGTTTCATCTGGCTTGATCGATAGATATAACTGAGTATCATCTGCATAACAATGAAAGTTTATGGAATATTTCCTGATAATATTGCCTAAAGGATTGATCATATTTGCAAAGGTACATGTGCAATATTATACACAAAGGTTACTATTTGATGGATTGTACCAGAATTGTACTAGAATTAGCTTAAAGCTACCTACCATGGCATCATCGAGTGTATTTAAGACAGAAGCCAAAACAATTGTATACAAAGCCAATAAAACACAGAGTCAGAGGTTAGCTTTTCAGTTCGGCTTTAAAGCCACTGATACAACTGGAAATCTTTGTGTTGTCTGGTATCTACCTTTGCACAGAATTGCCACCGTTAAACAAATTTGGTTATTATTTAATGAGTAAAAAAGATAGGTGTAACGACGGCTTGTGGAGTCAAATTAGACAAAATAGGCAGGTATTTTAATTAGGAAACCAAGTCCAAAGTGGCAAAGCAGGCAGGTAGAAAGAAGACGGCTGAAATGAGTTGGTGATCAGTGGTGGAAAGGAAGTAAATTTTTGGTACTTTTTAAAATACTTCACTACAATCATTAGACAGTTACTAGTTATTTCACAGATAAGTATGTTAAATATAAAACAAAGAAGTTTATAAAATACAATGCATTGTTTGAGAT